ATTCTTCAGGGAATGATGAACCATCGTCAGATCGCACAGCAGGAAGCTGAGAGGCTTGAGCAGGACGAGTCTGTGCCCCGTCATCACCCACAGCAGCCCAGTGGGAATGTGCAGCAGAACGAGCACGCAGTCATGGAAATGCATCAATACGGCAGGCCCCACTCAACCCGCGATCAAAGACCGCAGCAACAGCAGCAACACCGTATCATGCATCCACAACAACCGCCACATGGACAGCAGGCTGGCCCAGCTCCTCATCCTCCGTATGCGTTGTCCTCAGGACAAAGTCATGCTGAGTATCCTGGATTCGATCCGCATCATGCAGCTGCGGCGTTTGCTAATAGTGGCGATGCACAGGATCGATTTCACAGCCCAATGGGCTTTCCCGCAGGTATACAAATAGTAGGATCGATGCTGCATTTAATGTATCGGATGCCTATTTTCTGACACTGATCTTGTTTTTTCCTTACACCGTTGTTTAGGTGGCCAGGATAGGGGAGTGCTCGTTCGACAGCATAGGCCAGCTTTCGATAATGGTTTGGCCAGCCAAATAAATGTAACCCCTGAGGAGACCAGTAGATGGAATTCATCATCGCCCACGCACTTTCGAAGAGACGTGACGGACCCTACTTTTCACGGGCAACAGCCACCGCTTCCTCATCCGCAGCAATACTCGTCGATGCCATCCCAACAGCAGAGATCTCCTTACTCTCCTCCTCCAGCATCCCAGCCTTATTCGTGCGAGCAGTGGACGGATGCCTCAATGCCTAATCATGGCCAGCTGCACCAGAATGGCATGGATGTGAGCGCACAGCTCCCAGTCCTTTTAGTCGCAGAGCAGGGAGAGGCAGGGCTCGTACCTGCTAATCAGATAGCGCTGGCAAAGGCGAAAGTAGGCAAGGGCAAGGGGAAACCGAAGAATGTTGTCAAGGTCTCAACGGAGTATGAGAGAGCCGAGGGCGTTTTGTCCGCTCCGCCCTCATCAGCGCCACCAGAGCAGTCGTTCGACCCACACCAGAACGGCTTTCCGTTGCAGGAGCAGGGAGGTGTCGCGCATCAAGGGCAAGATTCTTCGATTGAGATGGCAGCGCAGTTTCCAGTCTCAGACGATAGATATCCGGCCATGACTGGTCGAGGTAAAGGAAAGTCCAAGGCTGCTTCTCAGTTTTCGATCATCACGGACGTCCAGCGCACCCAGGATTTTGACGGGCGCTCATCGAGTATCAGTTCCAGTCCTGCATCGGCTCGCCAGAGGTCTGTAAAGATGGAGGAGAACTTTCAGGATCGAATACCACACTCAGAGAATGGTTCGAACAGCGGCTTTACAACAGCGGGAGGTCATGACCTAGCACCTGAGAGTCTACTTTTTGGATCGGGCATGATTTTGGTCAAAAAATTGCCCGATGGGTCGTCATCATCTTCTGAGGGATCAAAGCAGTTTCCACCATCGCAGCTGTCGATCAAAACAGGGCGAGACTTCGGTATAAGGAATGAACCAGCGTCCGCGACATTGAACACCCCTACTACCCCTCTTTCAGCCAACTCTGTTAAAAAGAAGCGCTCGCGTTTGCAGCTGGAGAATGGAGAAAAGGAGCAGACTGTCTCGGCTCTTGCAGGACTAACTCCGCAGCCACAACTGTCCAAGACCGACATGGCAACACCTTCGTCCCCGCCTCCCCCACCGCCTCCTGTAAGGGGTAAGAGTGCCAGTCGACCTCGCAAGGGAGCTGCGTCCGGAAGCACGGATGCTGACATTGAGCGCAGTAACCAGATTACGCGATCGCCTGGACCTGCATGGATGATGTTTGGCGCAAATAATACCGGCGCTTCAACCGCAAACAGCAGCAGCGTGAACTCGGCCGCGCCTGGTGGCTCATCCAAATCAGGCGACACCAGCGCTATAACCAACAACACTGGAGTGAGGCGCCGACCCCCTTTGCCGCCTTCAAGTCTTTTGGCAGAGAACGAAAAGCGCAAGCCAAAGCGGATCAAAATCGAAGACAAAGATGTAAGGCAGGTTCAGCGATCGTCTTCCTCTCTTACAGATGTGGGCGATAGCGACAAAAGGAACGAGGGTGAACTCAAGTCGAACAGTAACAAGCACGTCGGGCTTACTGAGGATGGCAACGATCGCGACAGCGAGGATGAAGATGAACTCGAGGATGAAGAAGATGAAGTACTGGAGGAGGGTGAGCGTGATAATGCTGATCAAAGTGGCGCACGAAAGCGTCGATCGCCTGGGGATGATGACGACGACCATCATGGTGATAACGATACGAACCCAAGCGGCGGTGGCGGGGGTAGCAGTGGCACGAATGGTCAAAGTCAGGGATCTGGCGGAGGAGGCGCGCGCAAGAGCATGAAACGCAAATCCAACTCGAATCTCGGGGGTAGCAATTCGAACAAGAAGACCAAGGAAAAATCTAAGGGGTCCTCGTCGGCAGTGTCACAAGAAGGCGAGCTGAGCGTCAGTGGTCGTGAGGGTGAAACTCCGAAAAGCTCGGCATCAACGGAAGACTCGACTGGCATCTGCCCAGATGGACGCAGCAAAGCTGGTCGACGAAAGAACGGCAAGAACGACAAGGAGCGTAAGGACCTCAAGGCGCGCGGCACCATCAGAGCAGCAGGATCAGCCGACACCGACACTGAGATGGGGTACCTTCCAATGGAGGATGATATCGAATGCCCCCACATGTTTGGAATTGACGAGTCGGACAAAGACAAGGGGTTATCGTCTTCAGAGGACGAAGTCGAGGACGAAGATGAGGTGACGAAGGATGAGGACGCTGCGGTCAAGGACGAACCCGAATCAGGGGTCAAGTCCTCCGGCGTTTCAACCGCATCTAAAAAGCCCAGTAGCGTTAGCAATGGCGCAGGATCTAAGGCTGGAGACTCTTTGGAGATGCCGGATGATATCCAGAAGCAGGGACGTGAATGGGTTGACCGATTGGCGATGCCCGAGTCTGCATGGGTAAGTCATTTGTGCGATATTTATGCTGTTGTTATTGCCGCCAACCGAAGCACTGATTTGGACGTGTTTACTAACCAACGTTGCCACTTCTGTTCTACAGGAGGAATCTTACAAGATTTACGAAAGAGTCAAGCGCCTGAAGGAGCTCAAGAACCGGCAACCGGTGCGCAAACGAGACGCCATCTTGGCTGCGATCTTATATATTGTCTGCCGAGATCAAGGATCTCCTCGAACCTTCTCGGAAATTTGCACGGCCTCTGGCGTGAAGCGCGGAGACATCGGGGCATATTATCGACTGATGCTCAAGATCCTTGAGCCCTCCAAGAACGCGACCGCCAGTGCTCGCGACACTGATGCCGAAGCCTTTATGGTAAGCTGTTTTCTGTGCTAAAGCTGCTGATCCAAAATTACGTTGAGACATTTAAACAATGCTAATGAGCTCTTTCCTCACGCCAATACGAATAGACACGCTGGTGTGAATCGTTGTCGCTTTCGCCTCAGGTCCGACAGGCAGCCGTCCATGTGTTCAGTATTGCCAACACATTGAACCTGACCTCTGGCAAGTGTCCGTCTTCTGTCGGCGCGGCAGCCATCTATCTGTGTATTTTCGCATGGAACGATGCTCGTAGATTGGCGAATTGTCAGCGGTTTCAGTGCTCCGGCTGCCAGTGCCAAGCGCCTCAATCACATCCTGGCCTGACGCATGACCAGGGTTGGATCAGGAAGGACTCCAAAGACGTTGCGATCGCTGTTGGTGTTGTGAGTGCGACCCTGATGGGGTGTTTCCGGAACTTGGCCCCTGAGAGAGAGAGACTGATTCCTCCAGAATTCTTGAGAGCCGCTGTAGAAGGCGTGTAGACAGTTGTCATCATGTTTTGCAGATCTCAAAAATGTGAATACAACATTAAAGAGTAATATGCCTTTATTTTGTACATGTTGAGTGCAAGAAAGGATGGGAGGAAAGTGGAATGATGTAGCGAGAAATGGCAGGATGCAACTGCTCACTTTTTGACGCCAACGACAGGCTTCTTGCGCTCCGGTATCCTCTCCTTCAAGTTCTCTGGCTTTGTGTGTTTCCTGACATTCTCCTCTTTGACCTTTCGTGCGTTGATCATGATGGACTTCTTCTTTGTGGCAGTCTTGATAGCCTTTGGTACATTACGATGACGATTAATCCTCCTAATCTCTGGCACGTTCGCAAACTTCTCCTTGAGTTTCTCGGCATATTCGAGATGGGCTCTCTCGCGATAGTCACGGACACCCATCTTTTCAGAGGCACGGGCCTTCCAGAGACGGACGTTGCCGTCGTCAGATCCAGAGAGGACGTATTTGTTGTCCATGGTGTAGAGCACTGAGAAGACGCGCTGCATACGGTTAGTGTGATAGATGTCGCGAGAATGTCCCTGGCGGGCGTTGAAGAGTCGGATGGTGCGGTCGTAACCTCCTGTGACAATCTCCTCTCCTGTTGGCGAGTAGTCGACCGACATTCTAGGGAACAAAAGGAAAGTAAAAGGGAGCATTAAGAACAGAAATCGCAAGCTTAGAAAATTGATCCGCTATTCGCTCCATTGATGTTGTTGAACTAATAAATGATCTCGTCAACTTACACTGCAGAGACGTGGTCCTTGAGGATGTTTTGGGCCTTATCCATATTGCGCATATCAAAGGCATAGATATTGTGATCTTCGTTCGCCGCCATAAAGTTGAATGCCTCCATTGGGTTCCATGCAATGGCGTTCGTCCTCATAGCCAGAATCAACTTTGTCACGGGCTGCGATGTCCGAAGATCATAAAGAATAATGGTTCTGTCCGATCCTGTTGAGGCGATGATGTTGGTCTCAGTCTGGTTAAACTTGACTGTGTTGATCGTATCCACGCCCCAGTTCAGGGTCTGGACGGGTTCTGCCCTGTCATGGTCCCAGATATTGATCTCAGATCCTGAGGTTGCAAAAACGTTGTCCGATCGATGATGTGAAATCCCACTGAACGCGTTCTTCCCCGTATAGGTCGCGACCGGTGCAATTGTTGAAGCACCTCCTCCATCCATATCATACGCCGTCATTGTTGGGTCCCAGATCTTGACCGTTCGATCGTTTGAGCAGGACAAGAACCGCTCTCCTTCCAAGAAACTGGAGACCCCCGTGATCATCGCCTTGTGTCCGACAGTGCTCCAAATTGTCTTTTGCTCCGAGAGACTCCACAATCTCAAATCGCCATCGCCTCCGCCCGAGACGAGCCAGTCCAACTTCTTGGGGTGCTTAGCCATGGCGTAGACGCCGTCTACATGCCCTGAAAGAGCTCCGACGAAGGGCTTGGCAAACATGCGCTCGACTTTGACGGCATTGAGGGCTCGAGTATACTCGCGGGCTTTTTCAAAGGGGTGGAGAGACGGGTCGAGGTTGCGCTGGACTTTGTGGATGTCATTGGAGCGCTGGCGAGTGGACTCCTCCACGCTGCGGGAGAGAACTTTTACTTTCTGATACGAGAAGAAGCGTTAAAGCCTGCAATATTAGAATAGGTCCTTGGGTGAGTTGCTCGGTATTCATTGAAATGCAGTAAAACTCACCATGGAAATAGATGTGTTACGTAATAAATAGACGTGGATAGGGCGAAAATGGAGGAGAAATGCGAAATGGATGGCGAAGGAGTGGGTGCACGCTCGGAGAACAACAAAAGCAATGGAGTTTGGTCTCTCTTGGTTCCTTTAGAAGAGAAGTACAAAAAAAAAAAAAAAGTCAACAACCAAGCCACGAGCTGTGTTTTGATAACTTTTTTTTTTTTTTTTGTGCTGTCAGTCAAGCACGCACACCACCTTCGCCTCCTTTCACTCGCAAGATTAGTTCGCTTCATTCACCTCGAGTCTTCTCTTTCCTCACACTTTCCCCCTTTTCCCGTTCCGCACAGAAGACTAAACCTTCACTATGGCAAAGGCAACAAAGGCGACTATCAAGTATCAGAAGAAGCACCTTAAGTCGGCCATTGAGCAGCGCCGAAAGAAGCAAAAGGCCACCCAGCTCTACAAGAAGCGCAACCCCAAGAAGTTTGGTCGTGGCGCCAATGCCGAAGGTTCATCGGGTGCTGATAACGAGGATGCCCAGGACGACAATGAGGAGGAGCACGATAATGACGACGCTGAGAATGAGAAGGGCGACGAAAAGTATGTATCACGACCCTCTTTTTCCCTTGTCCACCCTCTTGACATTTGCACTGTAGACCATGCTCATCTCGCATCTCGGGAGTGGAAGCCAGGAAATCTAATTGCATTATCGATTGGTCTTTATTATAGGTCAAAGGGCTTGAGCGTGGACGAGTTTTTCAACAATGATCTGGACTCTGACGATGAGGAGGAATTTGAATCAGATAACGAAGACTTTGCTGGAATCGACACCATTGTTGAGGACGGTGACGGCTCAGATATGGAGGTTCCTGTACCAAAGAAGCAGACTGCCGCTGACAAGGCGAAGCAGGCTGCCAAGGCAGAGGCTAACCAGAAGATTCAGTTAGAGGCATTGAAGGAGAAGGATCCCGAGTTCTACAAGTACCTGAAAGACAACGATAGTGAGCTCTTGGAGTTTGATGGAGAGATGGAGGATTTGGCCAGCGAGGAGGAAGACGAGGATGAGGACGAGGATGATGATAACGATGAAGAGATGGAGGGAGGTGATGAAGAGATGGAGGAGGCCGAGCCAAAGGTATGCCCTATGGTCATCATTTTACAGGTGGTACCTTTTACTATCATCTTCAGTTCTCTAATACGCATCAACATTTGGTTTCTGTTTTTAATAAGAAAAAGAGCAAGAAAGCCAAGAACATGGAGGAAGAGGAGACCATGGACGGCGTTCCGCTCGTCACAAAGGATATGGTCGCTGCATGGCAAACTGCTCTTGTGGAGAAGCACTCTCTCCGTGCCCTTCGCCGCGTCCTGCTCGCCTTCCGCGCTGGAGCCCACTTGCATGATGCAGAGGACAGTCGAACATACGCCTACAGGATCAATAGCCCCATTATCTTCAACAAGTTGGTGGTCCTCTGCTTGAAGCATGTCATCCCTACGCTCGACCACCATCTCCCCATTCAGACCACTGCCGGAGGCAAGCCAAAGCCAGTCAATTCTGGATCGAAATATACAACTCTTCAGCCCTTGATCAAGTCTTTTCTTCAAAACACGGTGTTCCTGCTCAAGGAGTTGACGGATCAGGAGATGATTTACTTTGTCATCCGCGAGTCTGAGAAGGCCATTCGCTACCTCGTTGGATTCCCCAAGGTCACCAAGGACTTACTGAAGGTATTTAATTTATTTATTTTTTGCAAAAGAAACGATCCACTTGAAAATGATTATTTTTTAGATAACACTTACTTTTTTTTTTCTTTAGCATTTGTTGTTCTTGTGGTCGACTGCCTCAGACCGCGTTCGTATTATTTCCTTCTTGACGATCCGGACCATGTGCCTGCAATTGGGCTCCACTCTCCTTGATCTGGCCTTGAAAGGCGTTTACCTGACTTTTGTCCGATATGCCAAGACAACAACGGTTCATACGTTGCCTAACCTGCATTTGATGCAGAACTGCGTTGCTCAACTGTACGGTCTCGATTTCGAGCGATCCTACCAGCATGGATTCGTTTATATTCGTCAACTCGCCATCCACCTCCGCAACGCCGTCTTGGTCAAGACCAAGGAGTCGTTCAAAGCTGTTTACAATTGGCAGTACCTCCACTGCCTGGGTCTTTGGTCCCAGGTAGTATCGACACATGCGCTCAACAACGCAGGACAGCCCACGCCGCTGCACGCTTTGATCTACCCGCTCGTTCAGGTCTCGCTGGGAGCTTTAAGACTGATCCCGACTTCGACCTACTACCCTCTCCGCTTCCAGATTATCCGCAACTTGATTCTGTTGGTCGAGAATACGGGCACGTTTATTCCTCTGGCGCCTTTCCTGTTTGAGGTACTCGAGGGAGGGGAGATGAAGCGCCCTGGTCGCAAGGGAACGTTGAAGCCTCTGGAGTGGGATCTTGGATTCAAGTGTAGCAAGGAATACAAGGGTTCGCGCGTCTATCAGGATGGTACGGGAGAGCAAGTGTACGAGTTGATGACGGAATACTATGCGCTCTTCAGCACGTCGATCTCGTTCCCAGAGTTGGCAATCCCTGCGATTGTGCAGTTGAAGCGGTTTATTAAGAAGTCGTCTCTGGTCAAGTTGACGAAACAGTTTGCGGGGCTGGTTGACAAGTTGGAGCAGAATTCGAGGTTTGTAGAGGCGGAGCGCAATAAGGCAGACTTTTCGCCAAGTGATGCGGCAGGTGTATCTGGATTCATGAGAAGTCAGGATAAGGAGAAGACGCCCCTGGGCAGCTACTGGAAGGGCGTCAAGCGGAGTGTGATGGCAAAGCGCAAGATGATTGAGGAGGCACGCAAGGACAGAGCGGAGAGGGAGGATAAGGCCGAGTCCTCGGGATCGTCAAGGAGAGGTAAGGGTGATGAGGACGAGGATGAGGGCGAGGACGAGGACGAGTCGATGGATGAGGACGATCTGGAGGAGGTCGAAGATGACTACAGCGAGTAGGAATCTTGACACTCTTATCCTCTCAGACAGGCACTTTCATGCTTACACATTTTACACCCGGCATATCCATGACACTATTTTTTTTCTCTTCATATCCTCATAACTTCATATTATCATATTAAAAAGAGGAACAAAACAACGCCTATGTGGACAGCGGAATGAACGAGCAGGTGGTGGTAATTTTGCAGTATCGAGGGGCTGAAGTTATCTGCTTTCTCAGAACTTATCCCCGCCCAAAATCAGTGTGACGAAGCGTGGGGCCCGTGTGTAGTAACTCAACGCCCAAGCCGGACAGGCCGTTAGGGACTATAAGAGCAAAAGAGGTTTATATCGTTGTCATCCATGAGCAACATTGCACTTGGTTCACTGGGACAAACTAGTCTGTCCGCAAGAGGAGACCATAAATCGACAGAGAAAGGGAGACTCAAGAGGGTTGGATGAGTGTGGATGTATGGATGCAGGAAGAATGGAGAGATGGAGTTCTCTCTCTCTCTCTCTCTCTCTCTCTCTCTCTCTCTCTCTCTCTGTTGTTGTCGTTGTTTTCTCATGGAGAGGCTAAGCAGTTTGTTCACGGACTAGTTCTAACGTTCAGCGAGCTGTTGCAACAGGTACAACGGTTTATTCGAGAATGATGTCATAGTCATAAGAATGCTGCGCCTAGTTTCTAGAGCACCACTTTGCTTAGCTCTTCGAACTAGGATTAGACAGCAATCAATCGAATAAACCACTGGTTCAACCTAGAGCCTCCTGACCACTCCGACTGTTTGCAGCTATCCAATACGCTGGCAACCCTTCCCTGGTCCCTGGCCGTCTTTTGTTTTTTCCACACGACACACAATACATAGCACTCGCGCAACACACAATACGTACACAACATACACGCATTGACGAAGGTCAAGGCCAACAAGAATCAAAAGACAGAGAATTCAGCGACACGCGACCCCTCACCAAGCAAGTGTCCTCATTGCGGGTTTACAACCATCGATAAAAGTGTTCTAAGATGCCATATCAACGATGTTCATACGCTGTTTTTCATCTGGGATCGGAACCGTCCAAAGTCGGTCAAAGTGGAACGAATTGATGGTCTTTACCGATACGATCCCTGTAAAAAGACATACGACAAGGGCGTCGTCCATGCGCTTTCATATGAAGTCCTATACTTGGTTGCCCGAGCCGGAAGAGCCTGACTCTCCAGAGCTACTGTCGTGAACCTATACTTATTCAGAGTCAGAATAATCTTTTCAGAGCAAGGTGAAACAAAGCCAGGGAGAGTGATATAGTTTCTAGGAAGCAGAGTCAAAGGAAGCGTAGGAGTATATTCAAGTCACCAGATGAGGAACAAACAGGTATAGAACTATAGAGATATCTCTGCGATATTTTACCCTTATGTATTCACTTTCAGACAAGAGATCTTTATTTCCAGGGCAGACGGGCATCTTATATAGCGGTTCCCGTCTGCACCACATTAAGGGTACTCTGCTTGCACGTACTACATAGGCCAATATAGTAAAGCAGGCTTTTGAACAAAGACTGACGACGGCATCCTACTTACCGTTACGCCTGTGCTCGGATGTTGGCAGGGTGTGTGATGTTGAACACCTGTAACGGTCAAGCAGTGCTGGTCAACACAATTGAAGTATATGGACGGATGCGATGCATTGATGCTCATCGAGAGTCGGCCAGGAATGGTACGATTGAAACGTCGTTGCCTGATCCGACCAGATCTTATCACGGCCGGGTCCTGCCCCTGACCATGGGCAATGGCGCTGGGTACGAGAAGCCAAAGTTGATTATTGGCACAGAAATGTTCGATGGCTTGGTGACGTGCTCGACTCGTTTGGATGCTGAGGAAAAAGTCGACATGCGGTCGGACCAAGCAACGACACATTTATGCTGAAAACAGAGGAGGATTGCAGGGCTACGCGGATTTTCTTCGAGGACTGTTGTTACTTAATTTAGAGTTGATTGATAAACGTCGTGTAGATGTGGTGTATGTGGAGCCCACATCTCTTTCCTACTTATTTTTGATCCTCATGTACAGTACATCAATATATTTCAACGACGACAATGCATACCACGTCATTGTTGGTAGTTCTCTTCACCAACTTCGACAGCTCAAGGCGGCCTTTTATGACCCCTCGACATACCATTTGTATCGGGCTTGGGGTCCTCTCACGAGCGCCCATGTCTGTCAGCCATTTTCGATCTTTACATTGCACCAGAATGCGTCGATCACCCGAGGAAATGGCCATGAACTCATGGTGTCTTCTGTTCGGGGCAGTGCCTGTGATGATAGTTAACTCGCCCTATCTAAGGATGGAGGTTGAGGCGGCATCGAAGCGGCACGATCAGGAGGAGAACGAGAGCGCAGATGCCCCAGCTGTGGAAACATGGATGCACGGGATCTCAGGTGATAATGGGGAGATTGAGATGAAGCAGCGCGAAATGAAGGGGGCCGAGGAGAGTATTCCCTAGTTTTTTTTAGCGCCAGATTCCCCACGCGCGAGAGGCGCGTTAGTTTTGCATATCACGTGCGTGTAGACAGAGAATTTTTCTGTAACTGCATACTAGCCCTCTAATTGCATACCGCAAAAATAAACAACTGATTTTTTCAATGGGTTCAGGTCCAGCAAAGATTGGTAGCATCGAACGAGTTTACCATTGACGTCCTCCCTTTTTTTGCTTCCCTCCTTCACTCTCCTTGCATCAACTTACGCGGCAGAGGATTCAAGAAAGCTCAGCAACCATGTCCAGCCAATATGATCTCACCTCGAAGATGATCCCCTTCCTGGATCAGCATCTCGTCTTCCCCCTCCTCGAGTTCCTCGAGATCAACGAGGTAAAAAAACAGCCAATCCAGCCACTTGTCGAATCTCGCTTGGATCCAGCCTTGGAATGGAGGCAACTGGACGGCTGGAGGCGACGGCAATCAACGCCTTATCCAGCCGATCGCAGCCAAATTGTTTGAACAGCTAGGAGAGTCGACCTTCAATAGCACACCCTAATCTATGTTCTTTTTGCTTTTATTCTGCGGCGTCTGGTTCATACAGCTCTTCTACACCCCTACCTCGCTGTTGGAGGCCCGCTATGAGCTGTCCTTGAAGACCAACATGATCGACTTTATTGACAAGCTTCATGGAGAGTTGGAAGACGCTGGCGTCACCCCCGCTGGTAAGCTGATCCCATGGTCAACGTGCTGTTATTTCGTCTGGAAATAATTAACCGAACAAGCTTGCTAATACGGACATATCATCTTAGCCATCGAGCTCGTCAAGAAGCGCGATGAGATTTTGGAGCGTCTGGAGGCTGCTCAGGCCGAGGCGCGCAAGGTTCTAGATGTCATTGAGAACCCCGATGTGATTGCTGCTCTCCGTCAAGATAAGCTTCAGAACTTGCAGTTCTTGAATGACAACTACAGTGTAGGTTGGCTGGTCTTTTCAGGAAATTGGGCTTGCAGATTGCCGCAGTTAGAGTGGCACCATGAAAGGACCCGTTTTGAAACACTATATGATTGCTCCGCGAGAATGACGCGTTAGCTAACATTTCACTTCTGCTTGAATGTTACGGTGATCTTTCTAACAATAGATGACTCCCGAAATGATCCAGACGCTTTACAAGCTTGGCCAGATCCAGTACAGCTGCGGAAACTATGGTGGTGCTGCCGATATGTTGTACCATTATCGTGTGTTGGTGAGTTGCATGCCTGGATATCCAGTTCACATTATGGACGCTAGGGCTGTGGCGATGGTGATTAACATGGATATATTATTTTTGTTGTGAACTTATAAAATAGTCCACCGACGACAACCTCGGACTCTCTGCTCTTTGGGGCAAGTTGGCCTCGGAAATCTTGGTCGGAAACTGGGAGGTTGCCTTTGAGGCCGTCCAGGAGTTAAAGGAGAGCATTGACAAGACTGTATGTATTTTGCCGATTACAATTTGCAGGATCTCAGCAAAGTGAACGTTCAGGACACAGTGGAGAATGATTTGAATGCTCATCAGGATACATCTTCACGTTATTTATTTGATTCCATAGCACTTCCCCTCTGCTCTTCATCAGCTGGAGCAGCGCACCTGGTTCCTTCACTGGTCCCTGTTCGTCTTTTTCAACCACCCCAAAGGCCGCGATGCTGTTGTCGACCTTTTCCTCCAGCCTGCGTACATCAACACCATTCAGACCTCTTGCCCATGGATCCTTCGTTATCTCACTGCTGCTGTTATTACCAACAAGCGCCGCAAGACTCTGATTAAGGATCTCATTAAGATTATTGAGCACGAGTCGTACCAGTACCGCGACCCCGTCACCGAGTTTGTCGAAGCCCTCTACATCCACTTTGATTTCGACTTGGCGAAGAAGAAGCTGGTCGAGTGCGAGGAGGTTCTTGAGAACGACTTCTTCTTAGTGGCCATTCAGGAGGAGTTCATTCAGAACGCCCGTTGCTTCATCTCGGAGACATACTGCCGCATCCACCAGAAGATCGATGTTGCAGAGTTGTCCCAGACGTTGAACATGACCAAGGAGGAGGGCGAGAAATGGATTGTGAACCTGATTAGGGACACCCGTGTGGATGCCAAGATTGATTTCAAGGAAAACACAGTTTTGATGAACACCAACGCCACGTCTGTTTACCAGCAGGTCATTGAGCGGACCAAGGGACTATCGTTCAGATCCCAGGTCTTGGCGACTTCGATCGATAAGCGTGAGACTGCCCAGGCCAAGGCTGCACAACACGAGAAGAGCCACCCTTCGACGGAAGCTGCCTAAGCGCGTGTAGTTTTTGTGTCTTTGAGATCGGATTAGAGTACTTGTTGGGGGACGCAGGGGGCGGTTGAGGTTGCAGTACGGTATATATAAAAAAAAGACGCATTAAATGTTCATGAAATTATATACAAAAACAAACGCATAAAAGCCGAAGTTTGTATGTGGATTATGAGACTGAACAGGAAGCAGACGGTCCAAGGATAAGCGTTGGTTGGCTCCGTGCCGCGTGCCTTGATAGACGGCACTTCATCGCAGCCGCATTACTTTCGCGTAGAGGTGCCTTGCACGATCGTACCCGAATTTTCTTTCCTTCACTCCACTGTCATTTTCAGATCTTTGCCACCACTCCTGGGATCCACCTCTCCATCCATCCTGTTAAGCTCGAGACAGTATATCTCCACACTCACGTCGGCTTTGTCGAGAGGGCTTCAAAGCAAGTACAAAAGTCGTCGTTTTCGCAAACGCTGCCGTTATCACATTCATTCACCACAAAGTTTGAAAATACATCGACCACATCTGCTATCCTCGAGCATACTGTCAGTGTCTCTCTCGACGTCCAAATGACCCTCACCTCTGATTAGCCCACATTGGAGCCCTTGCTGACCAAGGAGCAGGTCCTTGTAATCGGACTCTCTCTCTCTCAACCCAGCGTCCGCCTGATCCATCTGTCGCTTAGCGAAGCGTTCAAGAACCTTTAGGATGCCACCTAAGAGCCCTTACTGCTTCCTTGTTGCTAGGAGTAGCGCGCACTGAGTTTTTCGCAGACCCTGTTGTCGCTTCTCCCCTCAGAGGACACGCCAGCCCTCACGGAGCGACTGCAGGGTGTGTCCTTTGTTCACAGCCGCGTACCTCTCGCAAAGACTTGATGGTGTTTCGACTTGGCACCAACTCGGATGTACTCAGACTCCTACCGATATTGCAGTCTTGGAGGGACTACGCGACATATGGCGCAGTCATTGGACGGTCTATCGCTGCTTTAGGCTCTTGCAAGGTACAAAGAAATGTCGAACCGCGATGAGCACCAAGTGTGAACTGGAAGAGGAAGAGGTCGAGGCCAAGACTCAGGAGCAGACAGCAGACAAGCTGGAGGAGCTAGAGATCGAGATAGAGGAGTGCGAGTCGAGCTACTGTTTGAACTTGAGTAGGGACAGATACTTTCAGTTAATTTGGTGGCGAACGCAATCGGCTCGGATGCACAAGAACTTAGTTTGTTGCCCTCGCATGACTTTGCTTCTTTCCATTCCTCCTTCGTTCTCTCCTCCACATTCACCACTTGTGATAGTTAAACATGATCAAAGAAGATCTCTCCAGGCTCGTTCTCGTTGAGAAGAGAGGGGCGACGACCATCATCACCATTAATAGACCTCACAAGCGCAACTGCGTGAATGGCCCGACTGCCAAGGCGCTTTATCAAGCATTCCTCGACTTTGATGCAGATCCCAAGGTAATACTTATGGTGTAGAAGAGGCTCGTTTCCTTATGCAATGCTCTGAGGTCTCTATACTCAGCAAATGATTGTATCCCGTCCTCTGGACATAGGCTGCGGTCGCCATCCTGACTGGTGCAGGTATCATTCATGTTCTCTGATACGTGCTATTATGGTATTTATAATGACTTGTTCTTCAACTAATCTATCTATCAACCACCAAACATGATGCTCTTGCCTTCACGCGTACTCAGGCGGACACTTTTGTGCCGGTGCAGGTAGCATGATTGATGTTGATATGCTGGAGCCGGCGACATTATGCGGTACTTTTCGTTTTTTCTCACGCTAAGCTATCGTATTATGTATGAATGAAACATAGATCTGGCTGCTATCCAGAACCAAGACGATGCGAACCCAATGTCCTCAGAGTGGCCAGATACTCTTCCTGGACCTATTGGTCCCATGGGGTAAAAAAAACAATTTATTCTTCCTTCAGCTCTACGACGTGCTGTCACCGACATTCAGGCACTTGAACTGCTTCATATCTACCCATGTTTTTAGGCCTACTCGCATGATGCTGTCCAAGCCGGTAATTGCAGCCATTTCGGGCTTTGCAGTCGCGGGAGGACTGGAGCTGGCACTGTGGTGTGATATCAGAATTGTAGATGCGACATCGACCCTGGGTGTCTTTTGCAGACTACGAGGAGTGCCGCTCATCGATGGTGGCACGGTTCGACTACCTCAGGTCGTCGGGCGCGGCGTTGCCATGGATCTAATGTTAACCGGGTAGGAAAGAAAAATAGAGAGAGAATGTGCCTGTAAGTCTTATCAGAGTCACTCTTGCTTATTATGATCCATGTTTTCCTATTCCAGACGTGCGGTCAAGGCCCAAGAGGCACTTAAACTTCAGCTTGCCGCTTGCTATCCAGCATCTTATGAGACTGTGAGCGAGAAACCCGCCCTGGAGCAAGCCCTAACATTGGCCGCTTCGCTTGCGGAGCACCCTCAGACGTGTATGCGCAACGATCGACTGAGTGCACACCTCGCCAACCCTATTCGAGAAGCTATGCTGAGGGAATTCGAGCTGGGATTGGAGACACTGACTAGCGGAGAGTTTATGGAGGCAATTAGTAGGTTCTTCAAGCAGGAAAAATCGGCAAAGCTTTAAGAGAAAGGGGGTGCCAGGTCATGTGAAAAGGTGATAATAAAAGTTAAGTCTGCCCCGTTTTTTGTTTCCTTCCTTGAGTTTCCAACCCTGACAAAGTTCACCATGGCCACCATGGCGCCGAATGAACAGCATGCGCATTCACACAAGCATGAGCATGAGCACTGCCACGACCAAACGTACACTCGACTAGCAGCAGCGCTCAAAGGGAACCATAAGGCATTGGACACCGTTACCGACAAGCCCGTCCTGGAATGTTTTAAAAAGGACAAGTTGGCACTTTTGGCGACGCAATCCAACGCGGACCTCGATTCTATCAAAGCTGCATTTACGAAAGCACCGACCACCGATACCATAGCATTTTTAGATCGGTTACTTGCCTCTGGACTGGCTCCTGTACCTACTATCAGGTCTTTATGGGAGGAAGGACACGATCAGATCGGCGGCACGTCAATTGACAGGACCAAACTCGATGACCGGTTTAAGATCGGCTTCTCCAGACTATGCGGACATGCGATTGAATTGAACAGGGAGAACAACGCCAGCGTCAGCCGTGGTCTTAGCAAGTCTGGAAAGCTCGAATCAGGAACCTATGTCTTTGCGCGGGACGAGATGCCGTATGCCTGTGTCATTGAGAAGGTCTGGCGGGGTAGGCGCTGCGAGGAGTGTCTGAGGCCACTGCCCAAACAAAGATCGGAGATCGTGAATTGCCCCACATGTCCAACGGTCGATTCTACTTTACCGGATAACGCCGCCGACAAGGTGCCTTCTCAGCTGCAATCAGGCCCTTCAAAGTTCTGCAGCCATGAGTGTCTCAAAGCAGCATGGACATCGTGGCATGGATTTGAATGCAGATCTGCCAAGGAGCTGAGCGAACTGAGCCAATTGACACGTCTGGCCCTTCGAGTGTACTGGCAAAATGCACGGCATGGTGTCCCAAGGATAGCATCATCATCCAAATCGCTTACCTCCGTTTCAAATGACGATATCAATTCACTCACCAGTACGGCTGCAGGACTTTCTCTCAATAACATCAGCAGCAGCAGTAATAGCAGTTGCAGCAACCTCACGCCTCGGATCACCAGTGCGGACGGATCTGATATCCTTCCTTCGCAATTGTGCCACAATTTTGACCAGCTGGATCACACCCGCAGGATATCCTTTTTGATGACTGGATACTATCTTCAGCAGATACTCGATCTTCCAGAAGATGCGACTCTGGAATTGGCACATCTCCAGGCTATGGTACAGTTCAATTCGTTTGCGATCAAGACCCAGATTTCCGAGTCGATCGAGGGCTCGGATTCCATGACCCATATGAACGACTACGCGATAGGATCAGCATTGTACCTGTTGGCATCTATGTTCAACCATAGCTGTGCACCCAATGCTATGGTCGTCTTTGGCAAGGATGGATACGCGCTTAGGGGCTCTTCTAAAGGCGGACCAAATGATTCGAGGGGTCCTGATCCTCGCGCGATCAACGTTGTTACGAACAGGACCCAAAAAATCGATCCAGAACTGACGGTACTAGTTGAGATCTCGTATGGCCCCCAGGCGGGAAGAATGAAGATGGAGGAGCGGAAGGAGTGTCTGAGGAGGTCGCATCTCTTTGAGTGCAATTGCTCTGCATGCAATGATAAGTATGTGTCCGTTCTTTGTCCAAATAACAGGTCCGAAGGGCTATTTGGAGCACATATTAATCGTGGTGTGTCTTCGTAGATACGCTGAAGCAGTCCTGAAGAAGATCTACAAGTGCCCAAAGAATGGGTATTTATGCCGGCCCATGACAGAGAAGGATAGAGCGTGTCCAACATGTGGGTGCGAAATCGACATGGTATCGCGTAATAAGGTAACCATGCCCTTCTCGGAGCTACGCCTCAACTTATTTTGAACCTCTTTTCTTGTCCAAGCCGTTGTTAACGGATCCATCGTCTTTTTATTTTGTTGATATGATAGATGCACCAACAAATGGCACGACTTATCACAGAGTCTCAAGATCCATCTTTAACCCTGAGCAAGCGGCTTATTCTTCTGAAAACACTGGAGAGCATACAATCCAAGACGTTTGTCGATACATGTATCCTGTACGGCAATACTTGCGACCAGCTTGCGATGGTATATGCCGAAAGTGGGGACTTGGGCAGCTCGATTGAATGGTGCAAGAAGGCGCTCAAGGTTGTGGTGGTCCATTTCCCGCATGACTCGATCGAAGTCGCCCAGGAGACGCTCAAACTGGCGGGCCTTTTGTTCAACAAGTAAAGTTACCTTCCGCGAATACTTCATATAGGCCTAAGATCTGTTGAGCATGGATGCGAATATTAATGTCCCATCTCTATTCTTTAGTATGCAGACAAAGGAAGCCATGAAACAGGTCCAGATCGCGATCACGCTATACAAGGGCCACTATGGCGCTAGTTCCAGGCATCCAGACTTACTCGAGCTGTATGAGATGGAGCGTTTTCTGAAGCCTCTTGTTTAAAGCACTCTACAGCATAGTATACCCACTAAATCTCTGTGTAATAAAGCATATTTATTGAACAAAAGCATCACTTTACTACGGGCAGGTACAGTTTGAACTCTGCAGGCAGGTCGCTCTCTTGAACCAGTCGATCCGAAAAATAGATCCTGCGTATCCTACAGTTGGCATGGACTGTAATCCTCTGTGTTTCTACATAGGCTGTGCCATAGGCCCGCTTTGTGTAGTCTGCCAAGTTGAGCTGGATCTGGTTCCATCCTGGATCCATGCGCAGGGGCATGGTGGTGATGTAGGGCTTGATACGCGTTGTGGCCTATTTTTTTTTTTTTAAAAAAAAAAAAAAAAAATTGAAAATGAAAATAAAAAAAAAGCGTTGTTCCAAGGAGCGAACAAAGAAGAGTGAAAGAAAAAGAAAGATATATATTTATATTGTCAGCAAGAAGACTTCATCTGTTTTCTTCCTCTTGACGGATGACAAAAATGGGTGTCCACTCGTTCAAGATGTTGAGCTGCCGTTCCTCGTAAGGATGTCGACGTTGTTTCCCATCAACGAAGTGCGCAAAGTGTTGAGACACTATCGAAAAAGAAGTTAGCAAGTTCAACTTCGTTCTTATTCGAGTTTTTTTTTTTTAAGTGTTGTTCCCGACCTGGAAGTTTGACGCTCTGAATCTGCGCTTCTCTCCACGATCGTCCAGCACCGTGACCTCGAAGCTCCAGTATTTCCCCAGATTCTTGACAAGAAACACAAGGAACGGCAACTTGATGCCTAGTGTCCTGGTGGCGAGAGACGGTGTAGTGATAAACGTCGCGGGCAAATGGGTCGATATCAGTTCCAGCACCCGGGAGTTGAGCGTGTCATCGACGACAAAATCAACGTGTGGATCGGGCACAGGTGTTGGTGGAGGTGTCGATTGTGAAGTGCTGTCGCTGCTGGTTGTCGATGTTTGCTTTGAAGACGAGGTGGTGGATGCCGTTGGTGGTGGTCCAACACGCTTTGCCCAGAGCTGCAGAGGATCCGATCTTCATCAATAAGGTAGTAGGAAACAAGGCCAATTAAACGTTAGCGCGCCATTGATAGCGGATCCCTGAAGTCCCATGGTGACGGACAGTAATTCGACTCTACATACCCCAGACTGTAGAATATCGACAGAAAGCCGGACTATTGCAAAGGCAAAAGATCATTTTGATTAGGGTTGAATCATCCTGGACCTGAATGGGCTGCCCTCAGCTCGGCGACCTGTCTCTCCACATGGTTTGAACTTGCCTGGAAAGTGTTCTTGAACATCCTTATTGTTCGCTCCTTGATGCTCGCCGGTGCTTTTTGAATGAAAGGTTCACTTGCACAAGCAACCATCACCTGTATTTTGTCTGCCTTTAAGAGGACCAGCAAGCCACTTCGATCCATTTCCACACTCAACTCGCTGTTTATACACCTTACTCTTCCTCGCACTCACAGCGTCCTACCTTTTGTTTCGTAGTCGGCCATGAAGTCTGTACTTGATTGCTGAAACTGTAACAACTTGATATGACCTGCCTAATTACCAAAAGCACGTCTAATGAACATCATCTATCAATGTATAGGAGAGTAGCGACCGCTGCGCCCTGTGCCCCAAGCGGCGGCGAGCTGTGACAAGCACCTCTATTATCTGCGAGGCGTGCCAAAAGTGGTTCCACATCGACTGCTTGGGTATCACTATCGAAGAGACTGAAAATATCAACGAGTATCATTGTGCCTACTGCGTCGACTTTGTAGGGCCAAGCACCTGTAAGTGAGAATGTCTTTCTTAGCGCCCTGGGAGGGCCTTCAGTAATGCCTTTTCTTTGCTTGTATCACGTCTCTAATTTTTTTTCTTTTCTTTTTCTACGAGTTGTGGCTAACTCCTATTGCGCGCTTTCTAGTCAAACGGACGACGCGTTCGAAAGCACTTGACGCGAGTGGGACAAGGAACTCCATCGGCACAGCAGCAGCGGCCCACAACAAATGGAAATCCATACTCGACTCTCGCAAGTTCCAAAATGAGGATTTCCCGCGTGTCTCGGGGAAGGATATCACAGTCCAATATCTGAGGGAAACAGGTTTTCGGACACCCATTTTGATCAAGCTGGACAAGGATGGAACGACGAAGGGCCTTGATATGGTGATGCCAAAGACATCGTGGACCGTGAGCGACGTACGAGACGCCGTGGGCGCAAACGTGGTTGTAAATGTCATCGATGTAGCCACTCAGTCCGAAGCGGAGCAGTGGGACATGGGATCGTGGGCAGCGTACTTTAACGGTACAAAAAGGAATCGGATTTACAACGTGATCAGTCTCGAGGTCTCGAATACACCGCTTTCGAAGCATATCAGGACACCACGCATTGTCAGGTAAGATCCGGGATCGTCTTGGAAGTACCTGGTCACGGCCGCGATTTGTATGACACTAACGCGCGGTGATCGTTGGATTATTGACATGCAGAGAGCTAGACTGGGTAAAAAACTTTTGGCCAGCCGACCTGAAGCATGGAGGTCCGCAGGTCAAAAAAATTTGCTTGATGAGTGTGAAGGGCTCGTTTACAAATTTGTAAGTGATGCGTGGAAGATGTCTGCACTCATACTACAATCATGCACTCGGACTAACTCTCTGGTTTTGCGCACCCATAGCCACGTCGATTTCGGAGGATCGTCGGTATGTCAGTTGAAATTACATCCTATTCTAGTGTCTAATGCGATTAAGGAGAGCGGACTAGAGTTGACGTCGACTTTTCTTTTTTCTTTTTCTTTTTTCTTTTTTCTTTTTTTTTAACGTCCGTTTCCATGCTTTCTTTTCTTAAAGGTCTTTTATCATATCATTTCAGGATCCAAGATATTCCTCGTTGCAGAACCGACCCCATTCAACCTCGAAAAATACAAAGAATGGTGCAAAGAAAACTCGGCGTCTTTTTTGGGAGATCAGATCAAATGCTACAAGCTGGAACTCCAGCAAGGCGATACATTGTAAATATCGTATCGGCACCCAAGCCTACTTTGAAACAGGTTTCTGCGAACCTTTGGATCGACTTTTAATCCACATCTTTATCTGGAACGGTTAGATTGATCCCAGCTGGATGGATTCATTGCGTCTATACCCCAGTTGATTCCATCGTGATTGGTGGCAATTTTGTGCACTCGCTCCATATTCCGATGCAGCTCCAGATCGCGAGGATTGAACAGGTGACCAATACTCCATCCAAGTACCGGTTCCCTTTCTTCGAGAAATTGTGCTGGTTCGTCGTTCTCGGTCATTATATTATGGAAACAGGTATGACAAGCTCCTTTGGTAAACATAGAATATATGACTATACGAGACGAGGTGCTGATGCTGACCATCCTGCTTGATATTCTTCATATTGTCCTAATCATTCCTTCCAGACAAGTTTTCGGCTCTTTCAAACATAGAGCTGCATGGGCTTTTGGAGTTAACTGATTACTTGTTCCTGCGGCAGCAGCACCTTAATTCCGGATTGAATGTTGGATCTGAGAAAGCATCGATCAAGAAAAGTGTGCCCCCTGCAGCATACAAGTTCAGGCCCGGCGGGCAGCTGGAACTTTTGAGGCGACTGAATTCAAAGTTATGTTCCATTATCACGGAGCGCGGCAAAACAGTGAACGAGAAACACCGGTTACTCTCACCAAACGATTTTTTAGAAGCGCCTCCCGCATCAGCTCCCAAAGCCAAGGCGAAGAAGGCCCCTGGCCACGAAGCACTCTCATCAACCGATGTCGTGCAGTCGTCGTCATGGTCAAATCCAGACGGGAAAGGATTGCCCAGAAAGACTGAGGAGCAAGGCATGGAGATTGTGGAGCCTCATACGAAGAGAAAGCCCACGGAGACGCAGCTGACAGCAGTCTCCAAGCGGAAAAAATCTACATAAAAAGCAATAGCATGTTCACCACCCAAATAACCACCGTTGTCGCCTGCGCTGGAAAAATAACAATAACAATGCTGAGCGCAAGAATTTCCTTGTGTCGAAGGTGTATTTCGAATATTAAACCGCGTCAAAGACGCCGGGATTGCATAGCAATTTACGTATGCTTTGATTCGATGAAAAAACGCGTCAATGCGTCAAGGTTTTCTAATATCAGAGTTTTTTTTGCAGTCCTGTTCAGGAGATTCATCTTCAGCATCCGTCGGGTCGTCAGGGGTTAGGCCTGCAGACGGGCCCTTTACTGCCGAACTTTGGCCAGTAGCGGGGACATGGTCGAATCGCATCGTAGGGCTCATCAGGCACTGGTGCATCCTGTGCGTTAACCGTCATCGCGAACCAAAGGACAATGCATTGTACGAAAAGGGACGTGGAGCGTATTTGAAACGATATTTTTGAGGGGCCGATTAAAGCTTTCGATCGAAATGACTGGTATTTAGGCGCAGCTTGCGAAGGCAGGGAAAATTCGAGTTAAAGTGTACGGCGGTCTGCTGTGGGAAGAACTAAACTGGGGTATGTTGTGTTGTTTGAGACGTATTAAGGCCCTCGCAGTGGTATTTATACGACAAGGTAGTGTCCGGCAGAACTACACACTTAGAAAAATGCGCGTCGAGACTGGAATGCAGGAGGTGATAGGCAGGATGCGATACATTCAAGGGGGGGAAGGGGGGACCTGCTCATGCGTGGCTAAGTAACAAACTCGAGCACGTCTACGGCTATCACACAAGCAGTGCAGAGAAGGGATCAAATAAAAGAATGGGGGTTTTTTTTTGCTACTAGCGGCATGTTAGTGGGCAGCTGGTTTCTTTGCCTCATCTTCGGCCTCGCTTTCAGTCTCTTGAGCTCTGCTCAAGCTGGTCGGCACGCAGGACCGATCCCAGCATACCAAGGCCACGGTGTTTTGGGACATGGCATCAAAGCCGAATCAAAACCGCCACTCAAATCGTTACTGGTTGATGTATCTGCCACTTCACTTGTCGCTGAAGAAGCGCTTTTGGCCCGTACTGGAAGCGCTGCGGCAGAACTGACAAGGGTTATGAAGGCCAAGAGGAAAGTGAAGGCGGAGAATTTTCGTGTTGCAAACATTTTTGCTGGGAATATTGTAGGTAAAGCGAAGAGGCGTGCAATGACTTGAATTGCAGTGATAAATCGGAGGAACAGAGAAAGAAAAGTCAAGTGAAGGATGAGAAACGAGTGTGATGTTCAAAGCGAACATCAACGTTGCATAGAGCGAGGAGTACCTGGGAAGATGATGGGCATCACGGGGCTACTATGCGGTATTGATCTGTTTTCGGCGCTATTTTGCGGCCTGGAATCAACTTACTGCGCTGTATTTGGTAGCGAGTAGACGCGCCAACTATGCGAGAAACAGTACAAACAATACAAGGTGCCGTTGGCAAGCATCATTCAAGCGCTAAGGAGCTTTGCCGGATCCGTAGAGCGTAGATTTCACTTGAAACAGCTTTATTATTGAATGATTGGATATGCCATGCTTAATGAGAGAGATTAATATGGGATGTGTGCATGTATGAGTGTGTTAAATTATGCCGCGACCACCGAAAGGCCGCGTTAGTGCTGCTTTTATGTTCACCCTATTACTGGGATTTTTTAGTAGAATCATTATATGTGGGGCGGCAAGCAGGGCCACGTCCGAATTTGGGGCTCCAGTTCTTGGAGCAAGGCAGCGGTTTCGAGTTGTCACCATTATCACCCTGAATAGGAGTGAGAGCATGGCCGACGTTCTCGCCATCAGCACGCTTAGTAACAGGCTTGCAGGCCGGGCCATGACCGAACTTAGGGTTCCAGTTCTCGGGGCAGGGCATGAGGTTCAAGTCATTATCTTGAGCAGGATCAGGAGTAGGGTCGACGTTTCCGCTCTTGTCACGCTTGGCAATCGACTTGCAGTTGAATCCGTGCCCGAATCTTGGATTCCAGTTTTTAGGACAATCAGGCAGCTCAACATCAGTTCGCCTGATAACAGGGTGACAGGCCGGACCACGGCCGAACTTGGGACTCCAGTCCTTGGGGCAAGGAGGGAGAGAGAAGTCTGACTCGGCGGCAGCGATGAAGACAGCGGTGGTTGAGGTCGAAAAGACGCTCAGGAAGATACAGACGTAGGGAAGAGAGAGCTTCATGACGGATGTTAGAATTTGTTGTACTTGGAGTATTGTTGTTTTGTGATTGCGGGTATGGAGAAGATGGTGAGAAACACTGAAAGAGATGCAGATTACAGATTCCTTTTATTTCAACGAAGGCGGACGGTGGATGCCTTGCATGCGCGCGGAGATGTTGATGGAGATATGATGAAGTAGTAATAGAGTGTGACATGAAGTATTAGTAGGGCAAGTATGGACGAGAGCGACGTCGGGAGGAGAAAAAGCGCTGTCTATGCTGGGCGCAATTGTCACTGTGCAAGGCGGATGTGCGAAGTCCAACACGACAGTCGAACAAAAGAAGAGCTCTAGAGCGCGGATAAAGAATAGAGGAACAAGTTGAGCAATGAAAGCCAGCCAAATAGGGGAGGGAGACAGAAAGAGGCCGTTGAGTTGCACCAATGGATAGGACTGTACAGATGAACACTTTGATGGGAGTCGCATCTGGCACGCTTTCGGCCGGACCTTGGAAAAAGGTCTGCTTTTCTGTGCAATTGCGCACGGATGGTGAAGTAAAGTTAATGCAGCCTGCTGCTTCTGCAAAAACAAAGCTTGACTCGAACGAACAAAGCATTTGGTTTTATTTCGTGTCCCGAAAACGAGGAAAACTGAGCGCAGACACGACCAACACACTGCTGCGACGAATGCATAACGCGCTATGTCGATGAGAGGATGAGCGGAGAGCATGGCGGAGTTGCTGTCGGCTAGCTTACTCCTGGGAAAACTCGGTCTTCGCTCCATTCGTCAACTCAGAACATTCGCTTCTACTGTGGCTCTCATTCACTCATCTTACGCCATGCAATTTGTTTCTTTGCAAAACCATACCCCGATCCAGCACTATGGCCTTGCATGACACATTCTTGTTTCTGTTTCCTCTAGTCGCTTCTTCAGGCGCTCTCTTTCTTTCTTTCATTTCTCACGCTAAAGGCGCCTGCACATTTAATACTATCCGTGACAATATTTCTATGGTCCACGCCGATATCCTGTGCGGTCGGACCTATAACTGACATAGGGTAATGGCAGATTAGTTCATGGCCAAATTTGGAGCTTCAATGTGTCGGGCAAGGTAGGATGAGAGCTCAAGATCGGGTACTCGCCATCGCTGACGAGCGCAAAAAACCCTTTCTTTTGTCCTTTATGATCTTTGTCGTCACTGCTGCCATTTGCTTTCCTACTATTGCGGTCGCTGTGGAGTCTTGAATACAGTAACTGGAACCGCTGAAGTAATTGTGGTGAGACTGAGGAAGGTGAACAAAGCGTACAGACTGGACTGGGTGTACCTTGTGGCTAGAGTTTGTCTTCATAGACCAAGAACTTTTTGCATACGCATGTCGGACCACGCTTTGAACACTTGGCATGCCCTTTCATGTCTCGCGCTCTACAGCACTTGAAAGCAGAATGCCCAGTTCGCGGGAATACAGGGTGGGTCAATGGGAGTGACGATGTAGACTATGGCTGTTGTTGCCTTTGCTCGGCTATACACAACTGCTCGAACAAAGCGTGTTCTGCGGTGCTTTGAGAGACGCGAAGGTGGACGATAACCTAGCTTATCGACAGTCGGGGGGACGAGAAAATAGCGTGGACACTCCATATCATTTGCGCTCACTATTTCCGAATGCATCCTGACCCCATGGAAACTATGAAGTAAACTATGCCTATTTAGTTCGTCGATACGTGTACCTTTCATTCGCCGCATGTCTTTACACGGCGAAGACGCCGGATTAATACGCGCTCCTTTTTCCATTTCGACTTCTGCCTCAAAATACTCACATAAGACCTATTCAGCTACGGGTATTGGTCTGCTTTGCACCGCATTTTGAGCAATATCGCACGTCCTGGATTGAACGACATTTTGGTAGGAATGGATTCCCGGACAGCTTTATTTTATATTAGAATTATGCAATGTATGTGATGTATAAGATGTATTCGAGGTATACAATGTATCAAGCCCGATTCTGGCACATCTCTACAACAGAGAGTTCATTCCATTTCCTTATACAGATCTTCCTCCGAAAAAATAGAATCTAAGACTGCTGCTGCTCCTTTCTCATCTCCTGCGTGTCCCGCGCCCCAAGACTTTCTCGTGGACGACGATCGCTGGAAACGCCTGTTCAGAGAAGTGTGTGATTCGTCGTCTACGAGTGGAGAGGGATGATGTGAATGCAATGGTGTTGGATCCAATGTGTTCTTGTCGTGCATCACAGGTTTATAAGCCCCTGGCTTCCGCCTATCATTCGTAAAGGATCTGGTTAGATAAGAATTCTACTTTCCTAAGATGAACAACAAATAGCGCAGAGGAAGATGTTAGACAGCTTACATTGACACGACAGGATATCGAGTCCTCAATCGCGTGCTATTGGTCCCCCTTGATGGTGAAGCAGTGTCTGCAGGATTCATATTGCTGTTGTAGGCGCTCTCAACCTCGCTATAGTTATGGGCGCCACCACCATCTGTGAGCGTCCGGTGCCTCTTTCGCGGATCTGAGTCTGCATCATTGTCAACATTTTGCCGCGTTGGGCCACGCTTAAGAAGCGCCTCGGAATGATCTGATTCTTCGCGCTTGATAACGGTTCGCCTCTGCGCAGACGATGTCGTTGCTGCCGATGATTCTAATGATTCGCTCGCGTGGCTCTTTTTATCCATGGAATGAACTATTTGGCATAAAAAAGACAAGCCATTAGCTAGACTGGTCCTTTTGCACGAATTTTCCATGTTCGCTAATATGTCCGGATCCGATGTTGCGCATACCATTGCTTGCTGCCCTTGTCACTCGATTTATTAATGCCTGTGCAGTGGGCGAGACACCATTCAAATGATTCTCTGCAGATTGCTGGTCTGTGCTCAATTCAGCCGACTTAGAGCGAGAAGACTTACGAATCAATGGTTCCTCTTCTTCATCCTCATTCGTATCTGCAGCATGCTTTCTCATGCCAGGGTCGTCGTTATTGTCCCAACCATACCCATCCTGCGGATGAGACAATAGCGGAAGTCCCAGCGACCTAATGCCCCCCTCTTCCTCGGCATCCTGAAACTGACTCTTGCTCGCGACAATTTTTGTCTCGCGCTTGGTCCGTTTCGTTTGCACAGCGGTTACGGATTCTGAAACGGCGATGACTTTTGAATCCTGCTCCACTGCTGCAATCTTGCCTCTACCCCTTCCTCGCCCTCTTCCTCTTCCTCGTCCTCGTCCTCGGCCTGCCTCAATAGTACTCGGCTCAGGTTTGACATCCTCCCTCACAAAGTCTTCGTGCTTCTTGATGTCTGACAAGTCAACCTCATCCTTACTTTCAACTACTTTACCTTCGAGTATTGCTCTCTTTCGGCGTTCTTCCTTGAGAGCTATTAATATTAAACGTGCGAAGAAGGAAAAATGAAAATGTCAGAAGTTTGATCCGCAAGATTTTGAGCGTCTAGTTGCCCATAGTAACTGTTTTCGCATGTACTCACCTTCCTCGAGGCTTTCCATTCGCTGCTGCAACGAATCTTTTGATTTGATTAACCGGACAATTCTATCCTTTTTTGTATTGATCAACACGCGGAACTATCCGTTCAAGAAACGAAGAAAATGTTGGTTAGGACTCCGGCAATAGTAAGCTGCAAATGTGGCAAAAGACATATTTCTTGGATTACCTTCTCCATCATGTTAATCTGCGACCGCAGCTTGTCCAATTTCAAGTCCGCGAGTAAACTCCTGCTCTCTTTATACTGAGTATCGAGTATGACCATATGACCTCTCAGATTATCGCTCAAACACTGCAATGCGCAAATAAGAAATAAGTATGAATTAGCCTTAGATCTCCACATGCGCGTACAGTGCAGTGTCGAAAGACAAGTCGAAGCATACCTTGAACTTTTGCCGCTCCTCGATAGTACTCTTGACCCATTGTCGCAGGATCGTTTGCGACTCTTCTGGCGAAACCTTTTCTAATTTCATGCTTCCAAGAATTGTCTATTTGGAAATCCAATGGACCAGCCGAATAAGTTCTGGTTTGCGAATGATTTCCCAAAAGACACAAGCAATACATTCTCCTACAAGGTTCTCACCTTTTGCTGAAAGGTTTTCCCTGCAACAGTGTTAGTTACTGAGCCGGCCCACGTCAGCTACGTTGATCCATGCAGAAGTTTGAATATTTGCATCCATACTCAACTTTAAGAGTATGCACGATAATTTCACAATGAATGGCCGCTTCTTACCTCCAAATCATTTGGCACCACTGATGGTCGAACACTCAGTGTCAGGTCCCATTTATCCCCATCCTTTTTGGGGACTCCTTTGAAGGCGACCTTGGTCAGACTTTCGTACAACTCCTTACTGACCATATCTTCACATCGAGTCTGTCGCTGTGCCTCCCAATCCTGTCGCGTCACTAAACATTCATTTGAACATAAAGCGAGAGAGGTACATGGGTTCTAGTGGGTGATAATGCTTAGGAACGCACATGAGTAGTTGAGGAGACTGAAGCTTACGTGTGCCTTTCCAGAAGGAGGAATAGTCCATAACAAAAATCCTGCACTGCCTCTCTTTCTCACCACGTTTTCTCCCACCGACACTGCTACTTGCATTGTCCGTAGCGTTGTCACTGCTTTCGCTACTACAGACGGATTCCCAGATTGTTTGAATAGCATGGTCGGTTTTGAGGGTTCCCGCCCGATGGTTCTTGCCATTCGAGACATACCCATGAATGTGAAATATCGATACCTCTTGGCTGCTCATCCTAGTGAGATAAAAAGTGGAGCTTTAGTTACTGCCGTTCTCTTTATGTTGTTAACTCTGTAGCTAGTGGCGAACAGTAGAATGTAACACACGTTGCTTTTTTCAATGGAATTTGCCAGTCGACATCGAAAGCTGAATGGTGTGAAGTGCAGGACAGGTTGAAGCGAGGTGCAGCAAAGGAATGTTGAATAGAGATGTAAGAAGCGGACTGGCGCGCTGCTCACCTGTATGGGCTGAGAGCAAGCACGCACGCGTTGGTGGCAAAAAGCCTTTGCCACTGAGAACAGTCCCTTCTCGGACGACCAGTGTGATCAGTGTGCACTGCTTCACGACATTCTTTTCACAACGATGCCGAAAGAAACACTCCCCATGGCGATCGAGGTACCGGAGCGCAAGATCAACAGGAAGCATAAGCTTACATGAATGGATGAATGTTCGATACCAGACACTCAATTGCTGGATATTACATACGATAGATGAGGCCCACCGTAATCAGTCAAGGCACAGCAGAGGCTCCAGAGAACATGTCCCAATCATCACAGTGTCAGGCACCTTCAACTCGCCTGCAAAACCAATATCAGCAACAGCAGCAGCAGCAACTCCCTGCAGATTGCCTGCCTTGCAAGGTCGTAGGCTGCGTTGGATTCAGTGGCCTTGGCCTGTACTCCTTTTACCAAGCACAGCAGTTGCCCAGGAACCTGGTAGCCCGAAGGCTTGGTCTCGGACTCATGGGAACAGGTACATATCTTCGTCACTCTTTAAATCGAAGCGAAACGTTTGCGGAAACCACTCCTAACAGCCTTTTTGTCAGTGTTCATCGGAGCGGCTGTCTACAGGTTAACTATGCCCACAAACCAGGAATTATCATCGTTATCGAAAAAGTAAACCGTTCCTGTATCTTCAGCTCATTGTTTCTTCATGATTGAAAAAAATATATTTCTTTGTAAAAAAATTTTAAGTGAATAAACGGTGTATAGACCTAGATAAATGTGTAGTATGGTGTATGTGCGTGTCTCCTTCTTAGTGCTTTCCCTCCTGGGCACGGAAAGAGCTGCTGCTCCATCGTGTTTTTGGTATTTTTTAAAGATTAGAAATTAGAAAATTATTTTTTGGGTAAAGAGAACGGGCGAGTTCTTTATGTCTTGCCAAAGTAGACCTCGCGCAATGTCTCGTGCGTGTAACGCTTCTCGGCATCGACTTCCAGCAATCCCCTGATAGCCTGGCGGGCATCGTCTTCCCGGACGGCGTCCAAAGCAGGCTCGAATTTAACTCCGTCGTCGTTCGTCAACTGGAACTCGGCGAACGCGTTCGAAGAGAAGTAGGTCTTGCGGGCGTGCAACTCGTAGATAATCAATCCCAGGGACCAGCGATCCATCGAGACAGACGACAGGACATTGGCATCACTCTTCTTGCGTCCGTTCAAGATCTCAGGGGCAGCATAGGTGACCGTTGTAACAGAGGTATCGACGGTCTCACCGACAAAGCGTGCATGGCCGAAGTTCCAAAGCTTCCAGATCAGCTGTCCGTTGCTGTTCTTCGCATCCTGTCCAGGAACACCCTCGAGGTAGAACGAAGCAGGGCGGACGTTCAGGTGAACAACATGATGCTCGTGGCACCAGCGGAGAGCATCCGAGAGCGAAGCGGTCAATTGACGGATCTGGATCGACGACAGCTGCTCTGTCTGCATGTAGGACTCCAAGGTACGAGAGAAAGAGCCCAAGATCGAGACATAGCGGTATTCGGCAAACGTTGGCAGTGAGTACAGGGTATAGAGGTCGCAGATATAGCGGTCAGACTTGAGGTGCTGAAGCATACCAGCCTCACGCTTCCAGTGGGCCTCGGTCTTCATCCACTTGATCGTGCGACGAGCGTTGGGGGCTTTAACCTCCTCAACGTGCGAGTAAGCAGTGTCCTCAATGTTGACATCACCGGGTGCGAGCATCTTGAATTTAGAGAACATGACGGCGCCAACAGCGGCGTTAGGGACGGCAGCAGAGGCGTCAGCACGCTCGTAGCGCATAATGCTCAACTTGAGAGTGATCTGGGTCTTGTTCGCGGCCTGCTCAGCGGGGGTCAAAGTACCACCTCCAACAACACGGGTCGTGGTAGTGGTCTGGTGGTTGTTTCCAACCAAGGTGGCTCCAGCTCCGACAACAACGGCGCCTCCTGGGATGCGGAAACCGCCATCCTCGGTGCGCTCAACAACAGTGCGGATCTCCTGTCCGTCGGGTCCGTTGGTAATCTGGTAATAACGGGTCTCTCCGGACTCATTACGCTCAGCAACGATGCGGGTCTGGGTCGAAGTCGAAGCACCCTCAGGGACAACGCCTCCAGAGACGGTACGGGTGGTCGTGGTAACATTTCCGGTAATGACGGCGCCAATGACCTTGCGGATCTCACCGGACTCGGTTCTCTCCTCAGTCACATAGCGCAGCTCACCCTCGGGCTCCTTAACTGGGATATGGACCCACTCGCCGGTCTCCACGTTGCGCTCAAACTTGGTGCGGATAGCGTTGCCGTTGTACTGATCAATAATCACATAGCGGATCTCGCCAGTCGAGGTGCGCTCGGTCACAATGCGGGGTCCCATAATCACGCGAGTAATCGTAGTACCGGAAATGATGCCTCCGACAATGTAGCGGGTCTCACCAGTCTCGGTGCGCTCAGTAATGACATGGCGAAGCTCACCGGTCTCCTCGTTCGTGGGGGTCATGCGGGTCTCTCCAGACGAAGTACGCTCAATAATGACACGGATAGCGTTTCCGCTGAAGCCACCAATAATGATGTAGCGGATCTCACCAGTCGAGGTACGTTCGGTCACAATGCGGGTCGATGAGGTAACAGAGCAGACGCCTCCAGGGATGACGCGGGTGCTGCCAGACTCGGTGCGCTCGGTAACAGTGCGGATTGCTCCTCCAGCAATGATACCGCCAATAATGTAACGGGTATCGCCAGACTCGGTGCGTTCAGTGATAACATGGTGGAGTTCTCCAGTGGGCTCGTTGGTAGGGATCAGGCGGGCCTCGCCAGACACGGTGCGCTCGGTCAAGACACGGATAGCATTGCCGCTGAAGCCGCCAACAATAACATGGCGAATCTCTCCAGTGGAGGTGCGCTCAGTGATGATACGGGTCGAAGAAGTCGTAGTCGTAGTTCCACCGGGAATGATGTGGGTGGTCTCTCCAGAATTAGATTCAGTGCGCGAAGAAACGATATGACGAACGATACCAGCGCCGGCAGCGCCAGCAATAATTCCTCCAATGATGTAGCGGATCTTGCCGTTATGGTCGCGCTCAGTGATAATCTCGCGCTCCTCGCCCTCGGGGGCATCAACAGGGATGAGGATGTCCTCGCCAGTCTCGGTACGCTGAGTGATGGTGCGAACAGTGGTAGTGTCAGGAACAACACCGGTCAAGACGTGACGAGGGGAACCATTTTCAGAGCGTTCAGTAACCACAGTGCGGCCACCAGTGCCGGTCGTGGTGTAGATGCGGCCGCCGTTCTTGGTGGTCGTGACAGTGGTCTTGCTGGTTATCGTGGTCGATTCGTTAGAGTCAGAGCGCTTATTACCGGCAAGGACAGCACCGGCACCGAGAACAGCGCCGCCCAACAAGACGTTTCTGCCGAGGTGGCTATCAGAGGAAGTCTCCTCAACCTCCTCAGTTGTCTCGGTAGTGGTCGTGCCTCCAACAGGGTACACTCCACCAGGGCCGGTAGGTCTCTTGGTCGAGTTATCAGAGGTAGGTCCGCCGGGAACAGGAACAGGAACGGGAGCACCGCGACCATTCTGGGTCTCAGTGGTGTTGTCATTTGGACCGCCAGGAACGGGAGCAGGGGTAACATGGCCATGGGAAACCTCTTCACGGTCATCCTTGTTCTTACGATTAGCAGCGGCAGCACCAAGGGCACCGGCACCAATAAGACCGCCAGCGATCGCACCAGGGTGCATACCGTGACCAGATCCAGAGGGACCAGAAGGACCACCGGGATAAGCACTGTTGTTGGAAGGACCACCGGGGTAAGTGTTGTTGCCGGAAGGACCGCCAGGAGGGAAGCTTGAGTCGCCGGAAGGACCACCGGGGTAACGAGAATCATTAGAAGGACCACCGGGAACAGGGACAGGGGCAACATGACCATGGGAAACCTCTTCACGGTCATCCTTGTCCTTACGGTTAGCGGCAGCGGCACCGAGGGCACCGGCACCAATAAGACCGCCAGCGATCGCACCAGGGGGAATACCGTGACCAGATCCAGAGGGACCACCAGGAACAGACGAGTCACCAGAAGGACCACCAGGGTAGGCGTTGTTACCGGAAGGACCGCCAGGCAAGTCCTTGTCTTGAACAACAACGTCATCCAGATCACCGAAAGGACCAACAGGAGCCAGAGGTGGGATTCCGCCATGAGCAGAGCTGTACTCGGAGTGACCAGCACCGCCAATACCTCCAGCAGCATACTCCTCCTCCTGGTGTCTTCTGCGACGACGGGCAAAGATGAACAGCAAAGCAATCAGGCAGATCAGGGCCAGAAAACCGAGAATGCCTCCGATGATAGCGCCAGTGTGATTTCCGCCGCCAGAGGTCTTGGAACCGTCGCTGCCGCCAGGGAGAATAGGACCAGTAGGAACGACGGAAGAACCAGAGGAAGTGGATGTGGGAGGAACGACAGTAGGGCCACCAGATGGGGCACCAGTGGGGACGTCGGGGCCTGGGGCTGGGATCCAGACTCCACCACCAGAGCCACCACCACCGGATCCACCGTCGCCAGATCCACCACCACCGGTTCCTCCACCTCCAGATCCACCGCTACCGGTTCCTCCACCTCCAGAGCCACCACCACCGGTTCCTCCGCCTCCAGATCCACCACCACCGGTTCCACCACCACCGGTTCCACCACCACCGGTTCCTCCGCCTCCAGATCCGCCACCACCGGTTCCACCACCACCGGTTCCTCCGCCTCCAGATCCACCACCACCGGTTCCTCCACCTCCAGATCCACCACCACCGGTTCCACCACCACCGGTTCCTCCGCCTCCAGATCCGCCACCACCGGTTCCACCACCACTGGATCCTCCACCTCCAGAGCCACCAGATCCGCCGCCACCGGATCCACCTCCTCCGGATCCACCGGTACCAGGGACGTAGATTACGGTGGGAGGAGTGATGGTACCTGGAGTAAGGGACTCACCAGGTTTCAGGTTGGTCGAACATTTATCAGCGGAGGCACAGCCACCATAGACAATGATACCCGTACCGCAGTTGGCGACGCCAAAGTCTCCAGAGATGGGAGCTCCCTGGGACTCGGGGACGATGGTATAAGGTGCACCGACAGTGGTGTTAACGCTCCAGACACCGACACCAGCATCGTTCTATTTTGACGACAAGGCAAAAGACAAATGCAATAGCGTTTAGTTTTTGATTTCAATGAACACGATGTTGAGATACGCGACATGTTGGTAGGAAGTATTGGAGAGACACGCCAAGGAAAGAAGAACGAGCGATAAGGATGGGGATAAGGCTAAGCGAGACTACATCTGATTGTCTGAAGATCGATTGTGGCACCATCCATTGTGCTCAAGGCGTGTCCAACTCAACGTCAAGAGCAAAATTAAGAGAACAAACAACAACCACCACCCAATTTTTTGTCCATGTTTGACATCGTATTACCTTGCCAAAGACATAGATAGAGCCTTCCCAGTTAGCGGTGCGAGGCACGGTAACGTTCAGGGCAGGCAAGGGGTGGAACTCGCTTGTGGTCGAGACAGGCTTGTCCGAGGGAGTCGTGGCTGAGTCGATGTCGTACCAGCCAGAGCCCTTGGGTCCAAAGAGGAAAAAGGTCTTGCCATCCTTGGGTGACGCGGCGACTCTCATGTCGGCGGGAACATTACTATTTGAAATAGTGGAAGAGGAAATATACATATCGGGCAGTTAAATCGTTGTTCACATAGGGCATACACCAAGTCGCGCCACCACACAACAACCAAAAGAAACTTACGAGGTCGTCAGTTGGTTGCAAGAGTGCACAGTGTCGTTGAGCAACTGGACGCCGGTCAAGTGAGCACCCTGAGAATCCTGCCAATGAATCAAGATGTCATCAATGGTAGACTGGGTGTTCTGGTAGACAACGGCAGCGTTGTTAGGGTAGGTCAATGTGCAAGGAATGGGCTGGTAGGTCCAGGTACGGGCCCAATGGTCCCAGACGGCAATGCCACCCTCGTATTGGACACCGAAGTGGTTCTTCGACGTCAGGAAACATTGTTCGGTGTGGTAGGGCTTTCCACCTCCAGGATAGGGCAATGAGGTCCAGATAACACTTGACCAGTCGGAAGAGCACGTCGACTGCTGGACAAAGTTGAAGACCAGGTCGCCCCTGGAGTCGTAACCGATCATGTAGGTCATGTTATTGGCGGAGTCAATGACAATACATGGGTGTTGGAGCACTGGTGGTGGCTCAGCGTGCCATTTGCCCACAACCGCGCCGGCTAAAGATACAAACCCAGAAAACAGAGTGACGGATGTGGTAAGCACCATGCAGCCATTTGGGAATATGTGATGTAGGATACCATCTGGAAAGGCGCTTAAGAGCGCCAGATGTGTATGGCTGTGAATTTTTTTTTTTTTTTTTAATTGATCGAGAGCAGTTACAACACCAAAAGATAATAATAACAGGCGGGTGTAATATGAGCATTTTGTACTGGTATATGAGCGATAGGGAACAGAGAGTGAACAGGACTAAGAGGCGGTCTGGAGCAGCAGAGAGCGAGAGCGAAAGTAAATCCGACATCATACTACCTCCCTTTGGTGGCCAATTGCAAGAGAAGTTAAAGGTGTAGAAGATCGCAACAAAATGGAGGAGTGGAGTGGCGGGACAAGCGCCCTGTGCTGAAGGGAGAGGGAAGCGAAATCTAGACCTGAAACAAGAAACCATACGAGTGGTGCCCTGAATCCCGTTCCTGAAAGTAAATAACCTTAAAATATTCATAGCAACAGGGGTCATTGGGACCGTTGGCATGCCCATGATAAAGCACCCTATGTACATACTGATTCTTCCGAGGAAGAAGAAAAAAAGATGATGGACATCACCTCACATCCCGAGGGCGCACAATCAGTCTGGTATAAAAAAATAAAATAGAAAAAATCGCACCAGCGCGTGCATGCACCAGGGATATGTGTGCAGTTAGCAGCGGACGAAATGCAGTGGCGAGTAGAGGGGATGTGGATAGGGGAAAGACATGCACCAGTACCGACCTGCCACAAAACCAAAAAAAACCAAAAAAAAAAAAACCAAAAAAAAAAGACCATAGGCAATGCCCCTTATCGGCGCATTTGCAAAGCAGTGGTATATTGTGGTCGATGCCCAATTTTTTTCTAGTCCAAAATGCTTGCTAAAGAAAACAACTGCAACGGCTGTTCCTTTTTTTACTTTGATACTGACTTTGTGATCAAAACGAATAAGACTATTGTCTTTGTGGGTTGGAAAAGGGCGGCCCTCAAAGAAACACCCCGAGGATGCATGGTGTATACGTGTGCAATGGATAGACGGGAGAAATAAAGGGAGGGGGGGGGGGGGCGGCGGAGGGTGTGCTTACGATCAATCTCGACTTGAGCCAAGGCGGGTGCGGCAGCGAGCAAGAAAGAGGTCAAGAACGATGCCATTGCGGCCTTGTTCTTTTGGCTATCCATTGTGAAGTAAGCGCTGCCCTCTTTTTAGAGTTATGTGGAACGAAGAGGGTAGGGGCCCAATGGATAGGATGAAAGAAATAAGGGGGGAAGGGGTCTTTAAACGTGTATAGGGTATATGAGTGTGAAATTAACTGAACCTCCCCGCAAGGTTGATGAGAGAAAGAGAGAGAGAGAGAGAGAGAGAAAGAGAAGAGTCGGAAGAGGAGATGAGGGAAGGAGGGAAGGAGAAGCGATGAAGGGAAAGGACCAGGGGGATGAGTAAAGAGGAAAGAAGAAAGAAGTGAAAGAGGGAAGGGAGAAGAGAAAAAGAAAAGAGCGTTGAAAGGGGAAGGGGGAAGGGGGAAGGGATGAGCAACAGAGGAGAAAGAAAGCGAGGAAGCGTGCGGAAGCGGTACAAAAAGACTTGCTCGACTCATCTGCTTTCCCTTAGTCTCCAGCCTTCCTCTTTTCGCCCGAGGAGTAAAAATAAAAGAGCTACATGGAGACCAAGCAGGGTGCCTGAATGTATAATTGTGGTCACGGTTTTACGTTCGGAATGTGGACTGGGCCTGGTCGGCCATCATGGGCCCCGCTCCTCGGCCTTGGTTCCTGGTTCATGATGTGGAATCCGCAAAGTGACGATGAACAAGCCGTCGGGACAGTCTACCGTACCCAGAGTGGGATGGAGATGTGTCTGAAAATCGGATAGCGTAATGGATCTAAGGACTGGCATAGGGTGCGGGACTAGGACTCGGACTGGACTGGACCGAGGCAATGGCAGTAGAAATGAATGGTACCACGCAGCAATTGAATAAGACCAAATAAATTGTCGACTGATGAAAATTTGTGGTGCGGTGGAGTGTGAAAACCACTCGTCTGCCGTTCTGTGCTCTCATTAATGCTTTTTATATCTCCTGCGCCTATTAGACTACCTGTTAGACTACCTATCAGAGAGCCGCGACGGTTATGGATTCATTCTCTTTGAATCAAGTCTACACCTTACATTTAGAACACTGCTCCTCGCTCTGTCGGTTCTTTGTCGGTTGGGCTTAGAATGCAATAAGTTGCATAGCAGATAAAAATGTGACCAACGGTAGCTGCTGCTACTACATCTCACAGCACGAATGTATGGTCAAGGCAACGCACTTGTGAGCTCTGCTATTGAACGATAACTCGCCCAATGCTTCTCTGCCCTTCTTCTTCACGCGCGTGTAAACTATATGTGTAGGCGAAGTTCTATGTTCTAGTGGGTGCATATCCTACGACCCATCGCCTCTTTCCCGAACAGACAGGATTGGACACTGCATTGCGCTAGATCTCCATCTGCTTTTGTCTTCCTATCTCTCGCAGCCAGAATTAGCAAAGCAGCCAGGTGCAAAAACAAACCGTCCGTTGGTTTCTTTTTGATTGCCATGATTTTAGAAAGCATAGGTTTCAAAGCATAAATAAAAGCTTCAACGTACATGCGGAGAACATCCAGAACTAGCGAACACAATACGAAAAAGTCGTGCTTAGGAACCCGGAGATGGTTCTCATAAAGCTTCTTTTCCAAAGATCCTGGTCCATTGTACGATTGACGCTGCTTTTGCAGGACTGTAGGTACATCCAAGGCAGAAATGGTGGCAGAAACTCCAAGTCGTGTCTCCGCCCATACGCTGCATGTATAGGGGGAGAGTCAGACCGCAGGATTGCAACTGAGTTTCACCCTTCGCGTCCTTCTCTCGTTGGAATCTAGGAATATACGATGGCATCCGGCAACAGCTTATGCTGCTTGTCGTTGCACAAAATATGCAGATACCTATCATTGAAATACAGACCTATCCTGCAGCGCATGTATGTAGACTAACGCGAGGCGAACAACTATGGATCGCGGTGGTTGTTTTTTGGTCAGACTTTTTTCTGCTATCGTGCCCGACTTTCCTTCCCTGTTCTCCTGTTGCGACCTGCGGCGATCTAAAATAAACTTAAAAAAAAAGGTCGTTCTAGCTTCCAAGACTATCCGTCTGCACGGTGTTCGCTATGCCTGGGATTATTTTTTTGGAGTCCATTTTTTTCGCCTTCCGCGCGCGCCATCCCCAGCCATGCAAGCCTTACTTTTTACTATTCCGCTCAAATGTTGTCTAGAATGCTCAGTAGAATACCTGACAAATATGACCATTTATACCATGACAATTTTGGCCACATGTACATTTTTCACTCAATCGCATTTCCCTTAAACTAGTACCGGGCCTATCCTATCCTGGTTGTCAATCCCCTGTGTTTTTTGTACCATGAACATAAACATTTCTATGGGAAGAAAGGAAAGGGATGAGGACAGGGGGTAGTGCGACCATGGGCACCTCACAGCCTTGTAAAACAATTACAAGATCACGCGTCACAAGCCTCCATCCTTTGTGATGGACAATCCGCTAGTGTAGCGATGGCTCGGGTTCTGGTACCACATGGTCACCTTGACAATCCAGCGCACGTTGCCCATCCACTAGCAGCAATACAACGGTGTAACGAACACCGACCATAAGCGAGAAAGAGTTATCATGGAAACATCCAGGATATATCTAATTCGCACGCTGTATCTCGCTCCCTCCAAGTCCTCTATCAATTGTTCGTCAATAGTCTATAGCCCCCTCTTCAGACCCCTCTTCAGACACCCGGCAGATATAGTTTACGAGGGGTTTGCTGCCTGGATCGCTGAACTTTGCGGTATTTTTATCATGTGCCTCCTGCATTCACCCAACAATAAAATGCCATACAAAAATGTTCATTTCTAGGTAGGGACAGACCAAGAGGATGGACCCAGCACCCAGCGCCCACCACCTCATCTCGCATCTTTGTGGGTAGACAAAAAAAAAGTACATGTACAAACAAGGCAGATCAAAAAATAGATCAAGGGTGGGTGCGCACCTGCAGCTCCAACATGCACGTTTTGCATTGGCGTAGTCTTTTTTTTTTTTTTTTTTCCACCGTTGTTCTTGTTGTGTATGGGTAACTCTCAGGGGGTTGCCCAGAAAGAAAGACAAAAGATTGAGAGGGGGCGATCATCATCATCAACAGCAGCAACAACAAATCCCCAGAAGGGCAGGGCAGGCCTGCATGGGATGATAATTGACATACATGTAGCAATGACTTTGACCCGGTACAGATGCCAGAAAGACAGGCACACGGCGTATCATCCGCGTCTTTCCGCAGCTGGTAGTATGACCTAAGCCAATGGCACGACGCATCCCGCTATCAAGATACCGTCTGAAGATTTCCTAAGCGCATTGCTGCTCATGACGGGAAAGACCCAACGCGTCCCTGACATGGTTTACAGCACATAAACACACGCGACCAAAGATCGAATCGACTCCACCGTCTGGGAAATTCCCTGCACGCCGTTCTGTAGAATGGTCATAGTAAATAAACGCGCCCTGCATCAGGTTCAGGTCGCGCATATTCATCATATTTATCATAGTAATCGAAGATCATATTGTGCTCTAGAAGCCTTTACCGCCATACCGGTTCTCCAGATCCGAATATAACGTCGCTTCAAATCCTACTGCGCCATCTATACCTCCACCCGCACTTCTAGACCCAGCGGTGCTCTTACCGTTCGAGCATACACTCTCACCGACCATCTCAGGTGTAAGGAACGACCCCGCTGCCTCTGCACCCGCGATACCTGAAGGATATAACCCCGAATAGTTCATCGTCAGCCCGACTCCCATATCCGTGAACCGAGCCATCTCGCACTGCCGGATACGCTCCAGCTGACATCTTAGCAACTTGATACCGTCCTCGGCAGCCGTCAGACTCAAGTGATGGTGCTTCTTGGCACCCGCTGCAACTCCTGGCGTAGAGCTGATCGACGATGTGCTCGCACCGAAAGCTCCATTGCTATTTGCCTGTATCGTCGTCGAGCTCGAGGTACTCTCTCCAATTGGTATCACACTCAAAGAGTTCGGTGCGATGTTGGCGACGTTGAGATTGCTGCTACTACTGTTGGCAGAAACACTCATGATATGATGCTGACTGTTATGGCTATTGAGGCCATGCTGCCCAACAATCGCACTGATCACCTCGTCCTGACCGTCAGCCGTCCACAATCTCACGCGTTCACGATCCAAAAGTGTTGACACCAATTTCAGATTACGGTCCTTGACTACTGCGATTTGCTTCTTGTACTCGGTGATGGTAGATAAAAGGTGCAGATGCACAGACCGTAACTTGTCCATTTCTGCAGAGATCAACGCGTGTCGATCCAACTCGGATGTCTCTGAAAAGTCATGGCTTGCTCTAGAAGGCGGCATGCTCATTGGTTCTTCGTCGTTCTCGGACAGAACTGGTGGGGATGGGATCCTACGGAGGACAGACGCGCGCTCAGCTCTCGAGATGGAAAGGGACCGGGTCACAACAGAATCACGATTTCCACCAGAATTTGAGCCTTCACCTTCACCGATACCACCGCCGTTACCGCTTATAGAGATGGCCGCAATCTCCTTCCCGCCTTCAACCGCATTCACAGCTAAAGCGGCAGAGTAGCGCGAGGAACTCGCCAATGCCCGGGACTGGATAGATTCACTCTTATGGTGAGTATCTGCACTCGAGACCGATACTTCGTCGTCATCTTCCATGGACCTGTTCACACCATTACCCGTAATCTTGACCTCGCCAACGATCTCCCAGACCTTTTCCACCTCAGCCTTGCGGTGTTGTATCAGCTGGTCGAGCTCTTGCTGCAGGCCACGCAGCTGCTTTCTCAGCGTACCCACATCGTCGTAGAGACTGGCGATCTGGTCATTCAGATTCGACAGCTCCTGATCTGCCAAGACGAGCGAGGCCCGAGACTCCGCTAACGAAGCTTTGAGACTGACAATTTGATGAGTCGTTGTCATCTGGAGAGCATATAGCGTCGAGCAAAGCGACTGGATAAATAACTTGTGGTCACTAATTGAGCAGGACTGAGTGTAATGGTCGATAGAGGCCGTTGACAGTCTGGAGTCAATCGCATCCTGCATATCTCCCTCGTCAACCACGCTACAAGAGTTTCGCCACAGATGCGAGGCAACACGTTCGCTCGAATTGCTCTCCTCAGCTGCCATCTCAGCGGCAAGCTCCATTCCCTGCGCCACTGCCGCCGCGATGGCCTCACGACGTGCTTGGACTGCCGGGTCATCTGGATTGGCGCCCTCGAGCTTAATCAGCAAACCTCTGAGTAGCTCCTGTGGTCCGATTTTGCGCATCAGCTCTCGGACGTGATCGAGTTCCCGAAGCCGACTCTGCTTCTCCTCCTTGTAGTCCTCCAGGTCCTGCTTCAATCTGTTATACAGATCAGTCACTGACTCCGCTTGCTCCATCAGATGGTTTAACTGGTTCTGCAGTTTGAGTTGCTCCTCCATGAAATTCGGCTGCGTATCCGCCTTGAAGGGTCGCGAGACGATCTTCTCCACATTCTCATCCAGGGCCTTTTGGAGTCCATCAAGATAGAGACATTTCTGATAAATCTGTTCCTTGGCGCGGTTGCATTCATGTAGTCGAAGATCCGCCTCTTCTGCGTCTCGAGAGATCTCAGCCAGGTTCGCCATCAGGATCTCGAAAACCAGCTCGATCTCCTCCAATGTCGGTATCTCCTCTTGAAGGTTGCCTGCATCGTCCAGAGTGAGCATGAGTGGCTCGTCCTGCGGTTGATTGGGCTGCCTTGAGACAAAGACCTTGGTCACCCTGGGTGTTACATCTATCAGCACAGTCGACGTGGACTGACCGACTTCTGTGCCACCTACGCTGCTGTGTTGGTCGCAGTTGGCCGCCTCTGAGACACGGATGTCCTCCAGCTCCTTCATGGCCTCACTCCACCGGTCCTGCAAACTTGCGTTGGCGAGCTCTAGTCTTGCGGTCTGAGCCTTAGAAAGCTCAAGTTCATGCCTCAGTGAAGCCACAATATCCTGCCCACCTTTATCCGTCAAGATGCCGTTGGGGTCGGAAGCCTTCAAAAGGAACGACCAATCTCCCAAAGAGTGCCTTGAAATGTTGTTGCTCTCGCGGGACTGAATACTGCTCTGGATGCGCTGTCCTTTGGCCTTCTCGTCCTCCTGGACCATTACCTTAACAGCCAGCTCGTCGACAAGGGCTTGCATATGTTCGCCCTCCTCAGCTCGACGCAGGATATTCGCAAGACTGTCAATCCGCTCCTTTCGCGACTCGATCTCGCTATCGAACGCCTTCGATTGTTCTTGAATTAGCTCTGTGAGCTCGTTGACAAGGAGATCTCGCTCCTTGATGTCGCAAGTCTTGGAGGAAAGCTCCTGCTCGAGTAGAGACACCTTCTGCGATAGGACCGCGATCGTGTGCAAAACGGGTTCGCTTTCGGTCGATATGCTGGCCTGCGTCGGAGAGGTCGGCCTTGCGATCATCAACCCCTTCTCCTCCAATGCCGCTCCGTTCTCGTTCTCCAAAGTCAATTTCTCGTCAGGACCTGTACTATTCAAAGCACCCTGCGGGGCCAGGACCATGGCAGGTCGAGGAAGACTATCGACCTTGGTAGCTGAGTCCCGAGATAGCTGCTCCTCATCCAGGGCTGTAGTAGTCAGCGAATCTTGTTTCATCCTCCTCGCTACCGCTTTATGCTTCGCTAGGGTAATGCTGGTGCCATAACGGGTTCCAGTCCACTCTCCACCCATCGCTCCGTGGACCAATCTGCCTAGGCTAACAAGCCCACGTCTCTTCTTCTCCTCCAATTCCGTCTTAAGCCCCTCATTCTCGGCCTCCAGTTCCTCCAGTTGCTCGCTGAGTCGCGTATAGACCGAATACAGCCTTGTGACCTTGGACTTTTCAGAATCGTAAGCTGTCAGGACCACCAAGTTCTGGCGCGTCATGTTATCTAACTCGGATTCATAGAACGTAATCACATCCCGATACTGCTCTTCTGTAATCATCAGCAGCTCGTAGGTGCTCTCGAGCTCGTACTTGAGGTTCTCCAAACTTGCAATCAGATCTGTGTTGTATTCTTCCTGGGACTGCCCATGTCCGTTTGCACCCTGGTTGTCAGGGGACCACCCAAGGAGGATCTGATCCGTGATATATTGGAGTGAGGTCTCGATTGACACGGATGTGTGGTTCTGGTAGTGCTCCAAATTCTGGAGAACTTGGTTGAACTGAAAATCGACCTCGTGCAGTGTCTCCGGCAGGTTCAGAGGCTTGAGGATGCTGTCGCGTGCTTGATAGGCTGGCACCACAGCATTCGAAGGTGTGGTCCCGTCCTTATCACCATCACCAGTCGTCCTCGCTCGTCCGCTCTCTAGCAACAGTCATGGGCGAAAAGAATGAATATCAATGAATGACACTCTCACGCTAAAAGCCAACCATCGATGATGGGGAAAATGGCATATTCACTCACCAAGGATGCGTCGCATCTCCTCTGACTGTTCTCCTCGAACGACATCCAGGGGTTTCAACCCTTTGGTATTCCGCAGCTCAATATCCGCACCCTCCTTGACCAGCACGCTAACAACCTCTAAGACGCCTCCATATTCGACTGCAAAATGGAGAGGCGTATTCCCATGTCTATCAGGAATGTTGATAAGTGATCCTAGCCGCAAAAGCAAGCGACAACAATCCGCCAGGTGCTTGGACGCTCGCTGGATTTCCTCTGGCGGAGCCAGCTTAAGCGCTCCATTGTCCATAAGTCCTCCGTGATATCGTGGCCCTGTCGATGATAGGTCGTTCGAAGAGGTCGTCGACGCTGCAGAGGACCCTGGAATCTCTTTGCCGTTGGGCGTCAAATGGTTTGATCCTGCAGACCCACTTGTTTCAGTCCTGTATCGGGTTTTTTTCCGATTCGGCGTAGGCTCCTCTACCACAGGTCCTGGTGGCGTACCCGATGACTGGCCATTAGACCCGACAATTGACGAGCCTGCTGCAGAATCATTGCCAGAAGCATCATCGTTCAAGGGTGCCAAAGCGTGTTCCAGACTAAAGCGACAGAGGTGATGTAACGCTGTTCGACCATAATGGCTCTGCGCATTCATGTCTGCTCCTGCCTGATATAAAATCTTGACCGTCTCCATTGAGGGCAATGGTCGTGTCCTGAGGGCATGATGTAGAGGTGTCAGCCCTGTCTGCAGGTCATGATGGTTAACGAGCGCCACGTTAGCCAAGCTTCCGCCTACTCCTGATCCTGATCCTCCACCGATACCACTATCGTTCAGTGAAGGCGGGGCCATCAGAAGCGACTGCAGCGACATGAAATCGCCCAGCTTGATTGCCTCCAGCATCGCGGTATGAGTCGTCCGCTGGATCTGCTGCAGATGAGCGCCCTCTGCGGACTCGTTCATATTCGCTCCCAAGGTAGCAGAAACTGCTCCTTCTGATTGATTAGTTTGTGAGGCAGGCAGCGAGGAGAGCAAGGAGGAGAGTTTGGAGTAGTAGAGGGGGTAGCGGACAAGACTTTGCGAAAGCGCATAGGGTAGGGTCGTATTGCTTGAACCGTCGGCTGACTTATCCAAGGCTGAAGTCGTTGTTCGCAGTTGAGGGGACCCGGGGGGCGTCAACAGGTGCTATGCAGATAACCCATGGCGGCATGAATACAAGGGAAGATGATCGTTTAGGGATGGCTTTCTCATATATTTTTTCTGGGGACGTGCAGTAGATCCTGCCATTCATGCGCCATTCCTATGGTGACCTTACCAGGACCTCTGGCCGTTTGCATCGTAGCGTCTCCTCAAACATTTGGACAATCTCAGGATACATCTGCCCGTATTGGATCGAGGACCATCCGTTACTGTCTGTCAAGTCGGGGGATGCGCCATGCCTCAGCAGAGTTTTGACTACCGCCATGTGTCTATCTCGTGCTGTGCACAGAGCACACACGGGAGGGGTTTAAGTTTTTTTTTTTGTTAGATGCCATTGAGCGACGTGATGCTTTTCTTGGTCAGGGTTCTGTTACATGTCGCCTACCAGCATACATCAGGGCAGTCGCGCCCTTTCTGTCGGTGGCATCAACATCGACTTTCCCAGCCTCAAGCAGGCACCTGACGACCACCTCCTTGCCCAGATAACTGGCCAAGCAGAGCGGCGTGATGCCCTTGATCTCATCCTGAGGCGCATTCAATGTCGACAGCGTGATGGAAGGGTGGGGCAGGATGCAGTTTCGCAGAATAGAGAGATGAGCCGGAGATGTTTGGGAGATCAGGGCTAGGTTGGCTGGCGTGATCGTCAGTGTATCCAGACCGTAGACTGCACAAAGAAGCGGTGTCCTAGTCGTACATTGACAACAGGTACGGCAGTGTATACCATGCAGAGGAAGATGAGTTGCGGCATTGTTAGAGGGGTGAAGGAGCTAAGATTATCCTTCCTAACGAGCCCCACTCCTCGCTTGGGCCCTTCGTTTCATGGTTCGTCTGTTTGTCTGCATAGCGTTCAATCCTCGAAGCCTCCTTGAATGCTCTCAATCATCCAACTTCCCGTGTGTTGTCCGATCCATGGACCACGAAAAGGGCGCTCTGACAACCCTGTCGCTTGAGCCGCCCCCCCATCCCCTCTTTTTACAAGGGGGACAAAGGGAAGGGGAAGGGAAATGCAAGAAGTTGCGCAAAGTGACTGGAGGCAATCGCTGCTTTACCTTCCTCGGCCATCCTTCTTGTTCAGGTCTGCACCGGCATCGATCAAGGCCCGGACAATCTCCTGGTTGCCGTTCAAGACCGCCAGGTTTAAAGGTGTGGCTCCGTAGAGGATATCATCGGGCTCAAAGTTCGTCGCTTGGCCTATGATCGGCTGCACAGCATAGGCTGATTGGCGAGGGCTGCAGGCGAATGTCTGGTTAGGATCATGGCCGTTCCTGCAGAGTTCTCTGACCAATCCCAGGTCGTTCGACGCGACCGCCTGTGCCAGATTCATTTCAAGGACAGAGACTTGAGGCGGGTTCGAAAAAAAGAAAAAGAAAAAAAAGAATAAGGTATTCCCTGATGTGGAGAAAAGAGATAAAGATCAGGTTACTGTGTGGTTGTTCGATCCCAATTAAACCTTGAGGGAGACGCGCTTGAGATAAAGTAATTAGGGATGTATATTAGTCTAGAGTAACGTGCTTCAAGAGATCTCCCTTGAACTCATTCCTCATGTGCAATGGGCAACAAAAAAAAAAACTGGCGGCAAAAGACAACAACAACAACAAAAGGAGGAAGAGGGGATGAAGAAAAGAGAGTGTGAGAGAATTGCAAAATACAAAAAACAAGAAACAAAAAACAAAAAAGAAGAAACGAGTATCAGCATGGATAAGAAAAGAAAAAAGAAGGGGTTGAGCTCATTGCGTGCAACCGCCACAATGCTATCTACCTGTAATGCACACTGCATGGGTCGTTGGCTGTGTTGGTAACACCGTTCTACTCCTTTCTTTGCCGCTCCCGCTCTATCCTCTTCATCCCTGAAAATAAATCAAGCTTGAGCAGCAAGGGGGTTCTCCTTGTCCAGATACATGAAAAGGTTTGGTTCAACATGGTAGCACCCGCACCCACTCATTGTTGCAATTTAAGCCAAGTAACAGGATCAGTCCTGCAATCGCGTACTGTGTTAAAATATGAAGCAGTAGGGGCTACTTGTAAATAGGCAATGCGAACAAGTCTTTATGGGATGAGATATCTTTCTATGTATACTACGCGTCGCACCAACTGCAGTTGAAATTATGTAAAACTCTACTTGACCATCGACGACAAAAAGATCGACTTGATGATCTGGGGCAAATCCTTGGTGTCCAGGCACACATGCGCATGCGATCCCAGAGCGCTCTTCAGCTTCTCGGCCTGGTCTGCCAATGATCCGATAAAGATCATGGACGAGGTCACTCTGTCGTCTGATCGAAGAACTAATGTTTATGATGCCAAATTAAAAAGAAAACGCGTTAGTCCTCAATGCACCCTTCAATTGCGATAATCAACAGCTTCAAGACGACAAAAAAAAAAAAAAAAAAAAAAACGTACTGCGAGCAAGGTCCTCGGGCTTGATGTTGTACTGTCCAATGTTGGCATCTGATAGCACCACGACAATATAGTCGTCCGCATCCTCCTTAACAATCTCACGCATCGCCATCGATGTGGCCGAGAGCGTGTTATCGCCCGAGAGACAGTACTGTGAATGGGCACTCATCTGCGAGATGACCTTGAACACATCCTTCTCCGTCTTAGGGTACCGTCCTTCCTTCACAAACTCCAGGTTGGGCGAATCGCCCGAGTGACCGATGATCGAGTATGCAAATTTGTGCTCAAAGTTGCGGAACGACTCCATGATCATCAGCGCGACCTCCATAGATCGCTCCAACCGTCTGTCGTGGTTATTGAACCTGAACATACTGGCCGACAAATCAAACACAAAGAACATCTTCTTGGGCTTTTGCTGGAAGCCCATCTCGGGGTCCTGGTCACCTCGTAGCTTGTAAATATTATGGTCACCCGTCAAACCCTCGATCAGCTTCGTGTCATCCAAATCACCAGAGCTCTGGTTCTTAAGCCACACGCGCTCCTTATTCTTGGCCTCGATCGACTCCAAAATTACCCGCAGCTCACGAATCTCGCGCTGCACGTTCTCCATGTATGACATATAGATCTTGGCATCTGCTGCGGTCATATCCATCGAGGCAAGGTGCTTTCTCATTGTCATGTTGTGCATCTCGATCTGGGCGTCCGAGACCAGCTTGGGAGGAGGAGCATTTGTGCGCTATTTGAGTGGTAGATCAGAGTTCAGAAACCCAGTCAGTCAATCAATACCCGTATACTTCACATTTACAGATCACCGTGGAAATAAAAGCAAGACTTACGATATCCAATTTAGAAACATCGTCAAAGCTGGGTTTGCGACCCTCCTGGGGTGCTCCCGTACGCTCTCCAGAACCCCCTCCCGAGCCGTTGCCATCGCCGTCACCACTTCCGTCGCCATCTCCGCTTCCCCCCCCTCCGCCGCCACCACCACCACCGCCACCGCCACCGCCGCCGTCACTGCTAGAGCTATCGCCAGAGGCCTCCATGCCTGGCGGCAGATCGCCCACCTCACCTTCACCGCCCATGGGGACCACTTTACCGTCAGGTCCCACAAGCTGACCATCTGCGTTCACATATCGACCCTGCTCATCCTTGTAGAGGATCGCCAACGTACGCGAGTCAAGAGTGCCGACAAGCTTCTTCCAGGTGCTCGCGGACTGGAACAGATCCGCAGCATCGACCTGCCAAACACGGACAAATCCAGAATTATCCATGGTCAAGAGCGAACCGTCTGCGAGTTCTGACATGGAGGCCACTGTGCGATCCTGCTGTACGCCCTTGAAGCCAGTGACGGGGGCATCCGCACGCAAGGTACTGGTGACCGGAATCGAAAGAGGGATGAGTACGCGCCAGATACGTCGTTCCGAGGGCGAAAAGAGTTCCAAGTGACCTTCACCCTTTCCGCTCTAGTGGCATGAGAAAAGAAACGACAGAGTGTATGGTTAGATGCCAATAGCTCATCAAGAAATGATTTCTTACAGATATCAAGCATGAATATCTTACAGGTGAGGGAATGATCTTGGCCATCTGCTGGGTCTTGCTCATATACAAAGACGCGCTTTGGAGGTTTGAGTACATGTTTCTAACATTCTCGTCCGAGATCGGTCTCATGAACGAAAACACGTCCATTGAAGCCTCAGGATCCTTTTCAAGAACGCGTTCCATGTTTTTAGTCATTGCCATGACAACGCCATCATTGGTGGTGTGCATCATACGAATGTTATCACTGAAGAGTTAAGGGCAGATATGAAACGAATGTCAGTAACGCGCAGTGCTTATTTCTCACCAGATAATAGACGATCTTCCTTTGTCTTTACCTGTTGCTGGTGCCTGGCTCGATAACGGGCTGCGAGACAAAGGTCAGACGATGCTTCGCCTTGGCACCCATTCCAGTAATCGACACACGTTGGATACGATCAGGAGTGGGAACATCTGGGCTCGACGCATACACCAAATAGTAATCGCCGTTCTGACAGTCCTTAACCAGCCATAACTTGGGGTCCAGCATATGGAAGCCTGAAATCTGAACAGGCAACTCGACCGCGTGTTGAATACCCGTGTTGAAGTCCACGACCACGATGTTAGCTCGACTCTCTTGGAAGAAGGCAATGTATCCAAGATGGGCCAGAGACTTGTCCATCAACGAGGCCACTGGAGCCAGGCCGTTCAACATCACCGAGACAATCGAGTCCTTCTGAGTGTCCAGGGAAAGGAACGAGTTGTCTGCAGGATTATGCATGCACAAGAATCGACCGCCTGCGTGCGTCTGCACAAGAGCAAGGCGCAGTCTCGGTGGTGCCCTCTGCAGAGGGAAATATTCGTACATGTCTGCGCTCCTGACCGTGCGGTGGGCAGCATCGATAAAATGAAGTGTCACCGGGTTAGTCGAGATTGCGTACAGGTTGCCCTTGTCGGTCGAAATAATATCCAGAGCCTCGCCACGTGTAGGGATCTTGAAGTGATACAGCTGCTCCGAAAACACGACCGAACGGCCCTCAGACCTCTCCAGATCTCGGGCCACTCCAGGGGTCACATTCCATCCGCCGCGAAAGACAATCGGTTGAGACTTGACCTTGCACTCGACCGCGCGCTCGTCGGCGGCCTTCTTCCAAGTCTCTGTCAAGATGGGCTCGCTGACCTCGACCTGCTTACCGAGCTGGATTGTGAACTCGGACTCGAGACCCACAGGGATACCGTGCTTCTGGAACGTCTCGATTAACATGTCCTTCGAGTCCGCATCGTATTGATCGAAATCAAACACGTTCTGCAGAATGCGTGAGATGCCCTCCTCAGGGTAGATCTGCATATGTTTAACGACATTGACCAGCTCGCGCGTCGAGTACGGATACGACAACAAACCCTCGTCCACCAGCACACGCAAGTCCTCGAAGGCTGCAGTCAGCTTCAACAGCAGTTCCTCAGGGACATCAGGCCCGTACTTGCGGAGCAAAAACATCTCCGATTCGGCATCCGGATTGTCGACGGCATGACAACTGAATACATCGCCAACCTCTCTGAAAAAGTCGTTTCCGAGGAAAGGGAATCCAGGTCGATTGGCTAGGACCATCATGCGAAAGTCGGGATGGATCACAATTTCCACCTCGTCTGCACCCTCTGTAGGCTTGGAGACAATTCGGCGACCATCGCTAAGCACCATCTGACCATCCTCGAGTAAGTTACGAATAACGCTCGTGACATAGGTGGGCGCCTTATCAGCCTCGTCAATGACAAGGATGTATCCATCTCGGACAGACTTGACCAAGGGCGAGTCGTCATACTGCAGGACACCGTCAACAATCGAGGGGGTGGCGGTCAAACTTTGCACAGTGGTATCGCGATGCAGCTGAATGTACTCTCGAGGCAATCTGAGGAGTTGAAGGAAATAGTCCGCCAGCTTGTTCTTGCCTACTCCCTGATTACCAATTAGAAGCAAGTGCTCTCCAAGCTGGAAGTCCTTGAGCATCTCCATCAAAATCTCTGTTTGCTTGGGATTTTCGTGGAAGATAATATTGGGGATCAAGACAGGGTTTGAATCCTGGCGAACAGGCTCTTCGATTGGTCCAATGCGGAGCGATCGCGGCTGTTCTCTGTTTGGGAGGACTTGAATCTCAAGCTGCAAACAAAATGAGTGAACGTAAAAGAGTAGATGTTAGGTAACGTGGGTTACCAGAGCTAACGAATGTTGTTTTTCAGTCATGATCTCTTACCTCGTTGGCTTTGTAAGGCTTGGGCTTGGGCGTGATTCCATTGGTAGCAAGAAGCTGGTTCAGAGCATCCTTTGCGATCGAAGGCAGGAACCGGGAGAGCGAGACCTTGTGAACAGCCTCATGCAAACTTTCGTTAGGGAAGACTGCCAAGCGGCGACAGATACGGATCAATTGGCTGAAGAGATATGTGATATACAATGCGTTAGTAAGTGTATGCCAAATAATATTTAGACTCATCAAGGAGCAGAAAAAAAAACGCATATCTTACCGAGTGGACATGGCAGAGGAGAGCGTCTTGATAGTCTCGTCGGGCGAGTTTCGAAGATGATTTGCAAACTTGAGAAGAAGGCCCAGACTCTCAGGGGAAACGCCTGGCGACAATGTCTCCAGCAACTGCGTCTCTTCCTGGAGAGAAAGAGGGCGAACCGTAACAAACTGGAACATGCTGACAATCTCAGGTGCCAACCACGATCCGGGCTTGCCACCCTCCGTTCCATTCGAAACAGGTCTCGCAAGCGCCACGATACGGAAAGAAGGTGCGATGCGTAACAGACCCTTTTTTTCCATCTGCTCCTGGCCCCAACCGTACTTGGCCTGCAACTGGTCATAGTGAGAGGGTCGAAGCAGCTTGCGTCCATCTGGCATGGCCGTCTCGCGCTCGTGAATCAAGCGCTGCAGTGAGACCATGGTACCAAAGGATAATGTATCGATTCCATCCATAACCGCCAAAGCGCCCGACATTGCAGCCTTGACAAGAGCCGAGTTCTCCCAGACAGTATCTCCCGAGAAGGTCGTACTTCTGCGCTGGAGCAGATCGCGCGAGGACATGTCCTTATACAGAGGGATAAACTCGACCTTATATCCCAAGTTTTTGCCAAAATGGCGCATCAGCGCACTCTTGCCCACACCTTTGGAACCAATCACACAGAAATCGCCAACAGAGTGCGCCAACAGCATACTGACAAGCGTCGATATGTGGTAGGGTGTCTCCACAAAGTACTCGGCCGGCTCGAATGGGTAGGCACCGCAGTGCAGATCAACCGACGCGGGCTTGCCAGAGACATGTTCAAAGGTTGCGCGTGCGATCGTAGGTCCGGAGCGTTCAATTTTGGCAATCTTGTAGTTTGAATCGCATTGGCGAATGACGGTGCCCTGATCCTGATCGAACCTCTCCTCTTCGCGTCCTAGTCCCAGAAAACCGAAGCGCTGATACGTGGACTCGATCAAGCTGCGCTGCTCAGCCTCACATGTAGACAGAAGCGACCAGGGGTAGACAAGATCCAACACGAAGCGAGGCTGGGCATCCTGAAAGTTGTTCAGCATCTTGATGGCGCCTTCGATCGATACGGGGAATTCAGGGATAGTGACGTTACTGACCATCGACGCTGCTGCGGAGGAGTCGTTGCCTAGGTTCTGATAATGCTGAGAGCCCAGAACCATGGCAACAGAGAGAAGGCGCTCCAACATATCCTGGGGTACACTTGGTCCCAGTGTCCTGAGTTGCTGCATCTGTGACTCGAATCCTGGCGCCTTGACATCGCGAGACTGAAAACGCGAGCGAAGTGGAGGGTCCAAGGGATGACCCACATACTGAGGGACAGGGAGACCTAGGGCGATGACTGTAAAATCATCGCTGACCTTGACCAGCTTGTGCTTCTCCATAGTGTCAATGGCAGACTGACCCCCCTCCTTGACAAGTATGTCGAAGCGCTTGGGATTGACAAGGAATCGACCGTCCTCGAGCGCCATCTCTCGGTTTTCCAGCAAGTTGTTGAGAACAGGCAACACATTACGTTCCGCCTTCTCAATTCCATCCAGGATTAAGATACGACCCTCTGTCGCAGCACGAACACAGGCCTGATCGACATAATATGCGGTGCCGCCGACAATCTCCCTACGCTGCTTAAGGTCGCTCTCAGTGACATCCTTTGACAGCGGAACGTACTCAACCTCACGATTGGTTCTATATTTTTTGACAACGCGGTAGCATTTAGCAAAGCAAATTCGCTTCCTGGCAACACATTACTAACATTCAGCTCTACTCCAATACATCCTCTCATACTTACAATTCCGCAAACTTGAGGGCAATCGATCGGCGGAGATGGCCAGGTGGACTATGATATGGTTTGGAGTGGCAATTGAGCTAAGTATTTCGTTTGTGAAGCAAAAACATAGCGACATAGCTTTGCTGAAAACATACCCGATTAAGAACATGTCCTGGCGCAATTTGTCCTTTTGCATCATCCTACACATAATCATATCGGACGATCGAAAGACGGATTAGCCGAGTTGAGTGGTCAATGACAGAGTACGGCCGATATAGGGCCTGATATTACCATCTCAAGTGACGCAGGACTTCCTATTAACGTGAATGGGGTGGATACAGACTCCTAATTAACTTCGGCATTCAACTTCAATGTAGCAAACGCAAGGTAATGCCTGTCAAGTCCTTACCTGCGAATCCTCGAAGAGAGGCTGATCGTAGCTCGGGACGAACTCGGGGTTCAGTGCAGGGCTGACAGCAACGGTGACATCGCCAATCTTAACCTCTCCATATTCTGCAAAGGTAAAAAAAAAAAAAGTGATCGGCAAATCAGTATCCGAAGCCATGAGAGTACAGGTGCCTGATACAAATTTTAAAAATTCCACGTGAAATGGAAACATTCCCCGCAAGCCGAACGGTTGAACGGATCAGGAAGGATCGTCCCTTGTCTTTGGTCCGAAATGGTCGCTTTGCACTGTAGAAAAAAGCGATCTTTCTTCCTTACCAAGCCCAGAATAGTTCTTTGTGGCAGAAATGATCAGTCCTCCTGACCGGTTTGGATCCTCAGCAATTACATAGTCCGCCGTGTGTGACAAGGCCCTGGAGAGCTGCTCCAGACGCAAGCGCGCCGTTTCTGTTTTGGGATCCATGGCGTTGCTGCCTTGCTAATCAGGGAGAGTATTCCAAGAGAGGACAGGCGAGAAGAAGTGATCGAGATCTACGTGGGTGGTAAAAAAGTTATGGTACAAAGGACTATGGTACAGCAGCAATTGAAGTTGAACAGCTTGCTATTCCTTCAACCAAGCGACTCTGACGAGTAAAAGAAGTGGGGAGGAGCAAGATGTCGTATTCTCAACTGCTGTCTCTATGAACAGAATGAGTGAAGAGTAAGAAAGAAGGGCGGAGATGTGAAACGAATGAAAAGCAGGGAAATAAAAGAACAAAAGGGTATTGAGGGACAGGTGTTGCTTGGGAGATGAGCCGCTTTCTCCGGAACAGGGGCTCGAGTGTGGGGGGGAAGCGAAGTACAAGAGCAGCAGTGCGGCCGGAACCCCACTTTCTCCATCGCCGCGCACCATTCGTTGTTCGCTTCAACAGATGCTGGCCGAAAAGGCGATCGGAGTCACGTGGAAGCTATCCATCCTTGATTCCTTGGCCAATCTCAGCCGTGCCCGAAACTTTTGAAGCATACTCGGCAGAAAGTTTGCTGCGCTTAGGAGGATGCACATGCGCCAAAGTCGTGGTCTACACAGCGCCTATCCGAACAGCTTTCTACCCAACTGAGATACAGCACATTATAGAGCAAAGACGAGTTTTAATGCATTTGTTTTTATTGTGCTGCTAAGAGACGTGCATAGTAGCCAAGAATAAAGGATGTATTTCGATGGCTTCCTGTCATTCGTTCATTTCGTATGCTAACGTGTCATTTTCCTTGTTTAATCATGCTGGACATAAATGCCGCGGACATTGCGGGTCACTTGGGGATAGTGCTCCGCAATGGCGTGGTACAGGTCGGGCTTCGTCCTGTAGAGCGTCTGAGGATCCTCCGCTAGGGCGACAAAGGTGGTTGTCACTCCAGAATCAATAACGTTGTTGGGAACCGACATCATCACTGCACCAAGGATCATCTCGACAATGACTACAATGAATACAACCAGCGTCTCGTCATCCTTATCATAAAAGCCGGGCTGAACCAACTTGATAAAGAGGTAGCCATAGAGACCGCTCGCAAGGGCGACCGAGAGCGTGCCCATGCCCAGGACATTGCCGACCAAGTTGTCGTTCACGAGCGCATCCACGCCGCGGTCCTTGACCAACTCCCAAGTGTCGTGTGCAGCCTTGACGAATGGCTTGCCGTACATCGCCACCTGAGTGAATGCAAACTTGTTGAAGATCTCAAAGAGACCCTCGAGGCACGAGAGGATGCAGTCCGCACACATGGCCAAAAAGGCCATCAGACCGTTGTCTGAGTCTGACCTGAGCGATTGACAGACGTAACGCAGAGTCTGGAGGAGCGCAATCAAGAGCGATCCAAAACAGATACTTCCAAAGGACGTTGTCAGCGCACGCTTAGCCGATCCAAGAGTGGGCGAAGAGGGTGCGCCTGCAGCAGAGCCCTCAAAGAAATAAAAGACGCCAAAGACTCCTGAGATGGTGACATGGACAACGTTCTTGATCACTTCTGTGTTCCAGAACATGACGAAGTTGAGGTAGACCATGACCAAGTATAGACGGTTGTCGTCGCAGACCATCTTGCTTCTTCCGTCCTCGACCTCCTCGACCCTGCAATTGGAGATGCGCTGGAACACTGAATAGTTGATCATCAAGGAGAAAATCCAGAGCGAGGACCATGCAATCTGAGTGAACAAACCAGAGAATGCGACCTAGAACAATAAACCGCCGAGATGTTAGCACGTTGATGAATTCATATGGTCATTTCGTTCAATGCAGGGTCAGTTGACCAGCAAGTAAATTCCGTTAAAAATCGTTGCATGAAAAGAAACAGAGATGTAAACACGTACTGCCAGAGTACCAGGGTACTTGCGCGTGACAGAGGTGATGGTCTGCAGAAGAAGAATCGAGAAGGGCATCCGTGAGGCCCACAATTTGTAACAGAAGAGGACGACGAGGCCAGTGGCCAGGCAAAGTCCTCCCCAGAAGATGCTGCCGGACATGATCTGGATGATGCCCAGGCCAATGGTAAGGAAGATACTAAAGAAGAACGAGAACTTGACAAGGAAGGCGGTTTGGCGTTGGATGAGAATGAAATAGCCAAACGCAAGGGCAAAGGTGACGGCAATCGAGGACAGGGCCAAGACTGAGAGCGAGTGGTCGATAGCAAAGGCGTTGGTGGCGACCTGGGTACCGTCGTCGAGGATTGTGAAGGGGTTGGAGAGGTTGTGGGCGTAGGCCTTGAAAGAGTAGACGTTCAGACCCGTGAAGGCGGCCATGTTGAGGATAAACAGACCGGTGGCCCAGACATCGTTGTAGCGGGCCTCGGGGGCGAACTTGCCCTCGGTGTTACTCTTGGGGATAAGGGGGGCGTTTTCCTCATGGACGTAGCTTGGGGGCAGACTGCTGCTGCCGGCGCCGTAGTTCGGTGCTTCCATGGCAATCGAATCAGTCAGTCAAACAATTAGTCGGCCGATGGGGGTGCGTGGGAATGCAAAGCGCGAATGAAGAAAAAAGAGGGAAGAGAGAGAGAGAGAAAGAAAGAAAGAAAGAGAGAGAGAGAGAGAGAGAGAGAGAGAGAGTGTGTGTGTGTGTGGAGGTATGACCGAGGAAAGGAAGAAGGAAGGCTTTTCTCCGCGTAGAAAAAAAAAAATATGCCAAGGCAGAAAGAAAGTCACAGAACGACTCTTACGAGAGCCAGCACAGCATATCTGAGGGGAACCAGGCGTGTATAACAGCACAGTAACACTGCAAGGTCATCCCTCTATTCACTCGTGTCTACAGGGAGTCTTCTTCGCTCCCTCCACCAATACTCCCGCCCAGGAAGAGGGTGGAGAAAACCCCGTCGCCAAAAATCCTAAAAAACCCTAAACGCACGCTTTTTTTTTTTTTTTTTTTTTTTTTTTGGTGCATGTGTGGCGGCAATAACCTCAGCATCGCGCATGGTAGGTAGTCTATATATCTTTTTTTCCCTATTCACACAAATGTTCTATGGTGCCACAAGTGTAAGATACTTGAACGGTACCCTGACATCCTGCCATTCGCGTTTTGCATGCATGTACCTCTGCACACTTTCATGATACATATGGATTGGGCAGATACTGCAGCCCCGCACGCTGATAACAATATATATATATATATATATATGTGTGTGTGTGGGAGAGAGGGAGGGGGGGTATGAGAATGGAAATGGGATGATTCCTGTCTATGAGTCGCATTGTCTTCCAGACTGGTTGGTGAGAGATCGGGTGTGCCTTATAAAGGACGCACCCTGGTCGACTAGAGCATTGACTACAGGATTGTCTCACATGAATGGGTGGTGTGTCTGCAATTCTGCACCTTCATCGTGGTACGTTCCCATCATTGGGCGTAGTTTCTAGATCCTGATCAGCAGAGGGACGAAGAGAGGGCGGCGTTCATGAAGGAGGTGGGATGATTTTCTATATTATTTTAGTTGGTCTAGCGTTGTTTAGACAAGAAGGATCTGGTAAGGAATAAAGAAAAAAGGGCTGGCCTATGGGTATCTTGCGGTGCTTCCATGCCTCTGTAAAAGATAGTAATGGGAGGGCACTTGTAGAAGGAGCAAGAGGGTATGCAGCAGCGCAGTGTGTGGATGTGTGTGAGTGATGGATAGTGCGTAAAAGTGTGCATGCTGTCCATTAGTTCCTGTTGTTGTCTGTTGCTCTGTGTCGTCTGTCTGGCAAATCAATTCGCCTTGAGAAATGTGGGCTGATGTTTTTTTGCGTGCGTTTTGTGTGCAGACCCGCAGAGAAATCAGAAACCCGTTTTCTTCAGGCACCATCCCCACTCTCCCAGGAATCGGGGCCTGTCTCATAAAATAGCCCTTTTCTATAACATAACAAGACAAGACGCCCCACTTCTCACACTTCTTGTCTCTATTCTCGCTCTTCCTCTCTTCTTCATCCCAGCCTATCCCAGCCCATTGTCAATTCCACCGTTCACAATCAGATCTCCTCCACCATGGATGACATCCTGAACCTGGCGGACCAGTACGTCTTCAACAACGTCTACCCGTCCCTTCCCGCCATCCCCATTCCTGATCTCATTGCTGGCATTGCTGCCATTCCCAAATGGTCAGACCTGCACACTCTCCTCTCCTCAACTGCATCCACCCCTCTCGAGACCCTTGCCTCCCTCGCAACTTCCGTCGCCTCTTCCTCCCTGGCCTCCAATATGACCCTCAACACCCTCCCCGCCGATCACATCCTCCGTCAGATCCTCTCTCTCTTTGTGATCACCTATGTGGGAGCCCTGCTCATGTACTTCAGCTTCGCCTACCCATCCTATCTCTTCGTCTTTGACCAGAATCACAAGAAGCACCCCAAGTTCCTCAAGAACCAGGTCGCACTCGAGATCAAAATGTCTATGAAGGCCCTTCCAGGAATCGCCGTTATGACCGTACCCTGGCTCCTGGGTGAGGTCCGCGGTTGGAGTCAACTGTACATCCATATCCACAGCAGAGATAACATCCCCTCCATCGCCTTTAATCCACCAACCTCGGTCATCCAAGAAACGGTCGCTGCTGCTGTCGCGACCGGCACCGGTATCAATGCTACAGCTGCTGCCGCCGCCTCCGCTGCCGCCGCCGCCGCCGCTGCAAAGACTACTGCCCGTGCTGCCATGCTTGGACCACTCGCGCCATTGGTCGAACCATTCATGGATGGATGGGGTTATACTGCAGTGAGCATTGTCTGCTTTCTGCTGTTCACCGACTTTGGTATCTACTGGATCCATCGCTGGTTGCATCATCCACTTCTCTACAAGCGTCTCCACAAGGTATTGTCAACGTAATGGCTGGGTATTTGTCGTTTTTATTTCGCGCTGTTTTTTGTAATATCCGCTTGTTTGATTTTCCAGGGACGATCAGGGAAACAATAACGCTAATGGTTAATAACTGGGAGGAGAGGAAGACAAAACAACAACAACCAGGGGTCCACCGAATTGCATTCCTCTGCGATATGAGCGAAACGTACATGCAGCTGCACATAAGCGCACTCCCTCCTAACTCCATATCATCTTACTTTCTCTGTAGCCTCATCACAAGTGGATCATCCCAACACCATTCTCATCTCACGCTTTCCACTTCATGGACGGCTATCTTCAGTCCGTGCCCTACCACTTGTTTGTGTACATGATGCCAATGCAAAAGTATATCTACCTGGTCATGTTTGCTTCCGTCAACTTTTGGTCCGTTCTCATCCACGATGGCGAATACCTCGTCTCCAATCCCGTCATCAACTCTGCAGCCCACCATGCCGTTCATCATCTGTACTTCAACTACAACTATGGACAATATCTCACCCTCTGGGACCGTATCGGACTTTCCTACCGCAAGCCTGATGCATCCATGTACGACCCCTCTCTGAGAATGGACAAGACCGTCTGGAAGAAGCAGGCAAAGGACGTCGACAACTTTGATGACAATGGAAAGCCCACAGCGGCCTCGGATCAGACCTTCAAATCGAATGCTCAACCAAAGACTACCAAAGTCTTATAAAGAAAACTGGACTCTTCCAATTTTACCCTTCACACATATCATCTTCTTCATCATCCGAATTATTGCTCATAGAAAATAAAGTATTTGGAGCAACGTGTAACAATTGTAATGCCAAAGAAAGCAATCGAAGGAGCTTCTCAAGAGTGGATTGATGGCGAATAAAAGCGATTTGGAGAATTGAAAGGTATATTTGTCTTGTGCGTGCAGCGGTCTTCCCTTCATCCTTTAGCCATCGATCCATATTCCATGTCCCAATTCCTATACAGATTCAAATCCCTATCGCTCACACTAGCGCGAACCTGCGACAGTGCTTCCAAAAAATCGCTATGGTTGATCGGTCTCAGCGCATCAAGTCCAATCTCCAAAATATCCCCCTGTATTGCCCGTACAGGTCCCAAAGCTGCCTCTCGACAAAGTCCCGTCATATCCGAGCCTGAGTACCCCGCTGTACGTTCACAGATATCCAAGATCTGCTCCGGTGTCAAATCATGCGGCTGGGTCGCCAGCAGCCTCATCATCAAACTATGACGGCCCTGATTCTCTGGTAGCGGGATATACAGGCGTTTCTGAAACCGACGACGTGCAGCTTCATCGATTTCCTGTGGTCGATTCGTAGCCCCAACAATCAGAATCCTGTCCTCCTCTCCACCAACGCCGACGCCGTCAAACTGGACGAGAAACTCTGTCTTGATCCTCCGCGAAGCTTCGACTTCGCCATCACTGCGCTGTGACAGCAGAGAATCAATCTCGTCCATAAAAATCACCGCTGGCTGGTGACACCGCGCCACAGCGAACAACGCCCGAACCATCTTTTCTCCATCGCCGACCCATTTCGATGTCAAAGAGGAGCTACTGATGCTGAAAAACGTTGCCTTCGACTGACTTGCGATACACTTTCCGATCATGGTTTTTCCAGTGCCAGGAGGTCCAAATAACAATAAGCCCTTGGGAGGTCGCCGGAGGCCAGTAAAGATGTCTGGGCGCAGCATTGGCCAAGTAATAGTCTCCTTGATAGATTTTTTGGCGTGCTCTAATCCAGAAATATCGTCCCATGTCACGACTGGCAGCGATTCCATAATCTAGCAATGCAAGAAAACAATTGTCAGCAAATTGCAATATCCTGTAAATGCCATGAATTGACGAAAAGCGATCGAGCAAGCTCACCTCGTTGTTGATAGCCTCCACCATCTTAGGATCAATATTCCTCAGTCTTTCGTCCACTGGCTCGTCAGCTTTGTTCGACCCCTTTGACTGTCCTGCCTTCCCTGTATCGTCAGTGTTCGCCGCGCTGTTCCTGTTGATTGGCGATTTGAATTTGGGCCTTTTTGTTCCAAGCATTTTGGATTTCAGCGTTGCGGCAGCGTTGGCTCCTGCTCCAGTCCCATTCAGTCCAGTGCTCGTGTTCATATTCGCGGCTCCATAACCATTGCCACTGCCGTTGATATAAGAATTATGCACAGGCGGGTTGTATCCAGTCCGATTAAGATAGTGGCTGGCCCGTTTTTCTTCTTGATGCTGCTCCTCAATTGCCTAGCGATTCAACGTGCGGACAAAATTACTTTCGGTTCCGATTGTACCGCGATATTGAATAGTGAAGATAAAATCAATATTGGATCACATACCATCTGCTCCTTTGCTGTGATAAACTGCATGGCCTTTGTGCTATGTTCGTTTGATCCCTCCGCTCTTGGCTAATCGTTTTGGAAGGTTAGAGAAAATTGAGATTGAAGGTGTGAATACACCATCCAGATGGCTTCATAGTGCTGAATATACTCAGTGGAAATGACCGGAGATGGCCTTACCCTCTTTTTGGATGTGCGGTCCACACCGTTTGAAAAATTCGCTGCGGGCCTGAAATCTGGTACGGGAACCGGGTCGCTTCGTTCTTCCTCCTCCTCATCGTCTCCATAGTCAGCATATTTCGGTTTCGACGGTTGGGGTATCGATAGAGCTGATTGCGACGGTATATTCGGCGCAAAACTCGTTATTTCGTTCCCGACTTTTCTCGGTGGGGATGTCGCTCCAGTGCTGGCTCTTTCATCTGACTTGACCTTGTGGATGTAATTGTATAGTGTATGTTCTGCTGTCCTAATGTCAACCTCCTTAGGTTTCGTTGTGGGTAACGGAGTATGCATAGGACTATGGTATTGAGCGGGACTGTTGAAAGACTTAGGGCTGGTAGTCACTGCGGTGTCCATCTTTGTTGGATCCTTGTCTGTTGGCTTTAGTGCTTCGATGGCTATTAATGGCTCCGTTACTGTTGTTGATGTTGCTGCCGCTGCTGCATCTGTCTTATACTGGTCGAACCTCTCTTTGAGCGATTCAAGCGTCTCCGGGGCAGGGAGGAGATCCAGTTCTGGTTCGCAGCTCTATCGTATAGATAGCATATTGATCAGTCTTCTGAAAAGACGAGTTAAGTGGGAAGGCCCACAGTTGATCCTAGTACCAATGAAGTTCCATACCAGTACTAAGAGATCCTTGAGGTGCATCTTATAATCAGGCTTGTCGACTTCGGCTACATTGATGGAGGATACAAATCCGCTCTTTGTCTGTTTCCGCTCCAATGTTTTGTCGACCCTTGCTCGGACTCGATCAATAACACTTTTACCAGCATCCGTTAATGCATTCAAACCCCTGCTACTGGTTGTAGCTGGCTCAGAGGAAATGCTCCTGTGAAGACAGTTTTCGACATACTGTTGATGGTAATGTTGCTGGAGGATCCTGGCGTTCCTGCGCTGTAGTGGCGTCAAAAGAGCGTCGCTCGCCTCCGTAGAGAGAATGAGATGCAGCGCACGGTGATGTGCTGCCGAGATGAATGGCAGGGATCGTGTTGCTTGTGCGCTGATAGCATGTGCATTCGTTTGTCTTGTTCGGGTGTCCATGCCGGATGCCATCACCTGAAGTGATGCTCGAGTGTGCGGAAAGTCAAGCAGGAATCCTTTTCAAACATCGGTGGCAAAATGTTGTTCACAAAATCCATGCGTGACTTTGAACGATCTGAAGCTTCGATGTGGTGCATACGAGCCATGGCCGCGTCCAGGTGGACCAGGCATCAGATATCATCGACCAATGTCTCTATATCCATTTAAAGTGGAAAAAACCCCAGTCTTCATTACAATTTCTTTTTTTTTTCTGCTGATCTCGTCCGATGCCTATGTATGTGCTGAAAAATTCTTTCTCCTCTATTTAACCGATAATAACCTTGTTGCCCTCCTCGAACGAGTAGGCAGGGATCTCAAGGTTCAATGGCGCGGGTCCCTTGCGAATACGACCAGAGATATCATAATGAGATCCGTGGCAGGGGCAGTACCATCCGCCATAATCACCTGCCTCGCCAATTGGGACACATCCCAAGTGAGTGCAGACACCTAGCATGACCAACCACTCGGGCTTCTGGACACGGTCGGCATCGTTCTGGGGATCACGGAGCTCAGCGATGTTGATAGCATTGGCTTCTTCGATCTCGTCCTGAGTGCGATGTCTGATGAAGACGGGCTTTCCACGCCACTTGATGGTGACATTGCGTCCCTCAGGGATGGTGCTGAGGTCAACTTCGACCTTGGCCAAGGCCAAGACATCGGCTGATGCAGACATGTTGGCCAAAAAGTCAGCAACGGTCGTCTTGGCTCCCATAACGGACAAGGCGCCAGTGGTGCCGACCATGAAGTAGGAGAAGGCGCGGTTGGAGGTGTCGCCCGATCCACTCTTGTACTTGCTAAAATCGGGAATGTCGGTCGTGTCGCGAGCAGAGGTGTGATTGAAGCGCTTCTGCTGGGAAATACCAGCGGGAACTATGTGATGTGGATACAAATGGAGATATATAAGCACATTGTGAATGAGTGCTTCCAGAATGCAGCGGGCATTATCGTGCGGAGGTAGAGTCGAAGCTGGGCCGTCAAGTACGTCTAGAACTGCGACGACAATGGACGTGCAAAATCACGTATTGAATGTTGTATGCGCAAAGATCCAAACAAGCGGTGCAGGTCTTTGTTGAAGCGCGCCATATCGATATCCATCTCTTCGGACTGAATGTCCGAGTCGTTTTCGTGATTTTGAAAGAGATCACTTTCGAAGAGATTGTTTACGTAAGATCTAGGTGAGAGGACATACCAGTAACGAAGGTGCGGTTGTTGTTGATGGAGGCGGTCTTCAGTTTGGGGAGTGAGGGGAAGGTGGGAGTGTCGCGGTGACCGTGTTCGTATCCGTGGTGGACATCATCGGTGGAGTAGTGGGCAGATCGATTGAGAACCGCGCGGACACCGGCGGCGGTGGCGGGGAGAGTGACAGAAGAGCGGTTAAGCGAGGCCGAAGCCAGCTTGGTAGCAAGAGAGGCCATGGTAGAAGAAGGAGGATGGAGATGGTGCGAAGGGAGAGATTAGAACCTTGCCTCTTTGCCGAACTCACTGGCCAGTCCAGGGCAGGTTGTTTTCGGAAGGGAAATAAAAAAAAACCGACGTCACTGTTAATTAAATTCGGAGAGACTTTTTTTGAAAAAAATTGTCAAGGTGGTGGTCCAGGGACCATTACGGCTCTGCTCCTATGCCTAGCTTATATTTATGCCCCTGGTGTCTGGCTCTTGAAGTCCTCTTCCGCATTTAACATCTATTATAGGGTGTGTCCCGCTAAACCATCATGAACCAAGGCCCTAATGCAGTTCTCAGGGCCTAAACGCTCTGAGCGTACTATAAACTGAGTTCACTCAGTAAGCGGCGCTTGAAGAATTTGTACCCTGAATACCCTGACAAAATAGTTTTCGCAACTCATGTGTGGGCATTATCGATATTGTAGAGATCTATCGTCCCGGCACTCATTATCGATTATGCTCATGAAGATGGTGAAGCCCAACAATATTTAATAGTATCCTGCATGGTGACGATCCCTGCAGTTGTGGTATTCACATGTGTTGCTGCTGGGCACTCAATTATATATCCTCGATCGGAATCGCCCATGACCCATTACAGCTCTTTCAGTTGCCAAGGCATAGCTTCTGCAATCCGATGGCTCTCAGTGGCCATTTTAATCCCGAGTACACGTCAATTGCAGTATGAACCAGCATTCGGACGTCGATAGTACTGGCGGCGGTTGGCATTGATTATATGTATTACCTCCAATGGGACTAGTATATATTACAATAAAAGGGATGACGAATATGGCTGGACGAACGGATAGTATTAGGCGATGGGCGCTATTTGATCTTGCATTGGCCTGCGTAGATATCGCCTCGGAAAAGAGGAAACAAAGGTGGGAACAAAAGACACGACAGAGAATGCTGAGAGACGTCAATGGTGATAAAAAGCATTAGTCTAACCAAGACCTCCATGGATGCCTCTGATTCTCCTAGCCAGCTGAATGTCGCGTTGCATGAGCGTAACTCGCTTGGCGTGGATAGCGCATAGATTTCTATCGATCAATTGGTTAAAAAAAGGGATAAGTTCGTCGCGCCTGATGTCCATACCACTTGGTCCTGTTGCCAACTGATACACAATGACCTAATGACCTACGCATCTTCAAAGAGGTGCACCATGTATGCCTCCGCTGCTTCCTGTAATGCTAAAATCGCGGATCCCTGCCACCGCAAATGCACATCCCCAGCAATGTATGTCAAGGATGATGCGTATTCATCGGCAATCTCCCGTACCTAACCAATTGAAATATCAATGATTAGACACACTGAGAACTAGCGCACAATGAACTCTGGTCCTATTGAAATAAAATTGTTTCGTCCGCGGCTCAATGAACTTACGAGGCGCGCAAATGGTAGCTTCCGGATCAGCAACTCTGTGCTCTTCTGATACTGCCGAATCTCCCGAAGTGCATTTGCTCCTGGTTTGTAGCGACGTGGTTTTGCTGGTGGAATGGGATCTCCTGGCCTGGACGCGGTTTTCCTGGGAGGAATTCCAGCTATGACCTCAACGGTCCGTTGTCGAGCGACGGAGGCGCTGCTGGAAGCGGCCACACTTGGGCGCACGGGTATGCCTGAGGGTATGTTGGATGGTCTGGCCATAAGATGTGTCTCCAAGGCAATTCCAGCGACCGCTTTGAGAGAAAGATGAGGGTGAAGCCGAAGCGGATTCAGGGCTTTACTCCACGATGTGCGCCCAGGAAAGGTTGGCGGCGGCAGTTGATTCGCGGTTTGTTCTTGTTCGTGTGTGGTGCCGAGAACTGTGGCCCTTTTCTTTGTTGTCTGGTACAGGCACAGCAAGTGCAGCATGGACGCTGCACGCACGATCTCAAAGGGAACAGTACACGTGATGTTTCTCTCTCTGTCTTTTTTTTTTCTCTACTTTTTTTTTTTGTCTAAATCGTCCTCTCGATCATCCCACCCCAACTATACACATACGCAATGGATTCTTCGTCAGGTAAGAAAGATTCTCTGGAAAGCTATGGACAGTGAACCCTCGGGACCAATTATCATTGGGATTGATCCCTTTGGTGGTTGCCCTACCCACCATGCTTTTCCAAGAAAGATGATGGTTGGTGCGTTATGGCAGGCACCTTTTTCATGGTTCTGTGGACATCCTCAAGATGCTTGGAGTACGACTCGGCCAAAGCAATATGGTCGTGCGGGTATCACCTTGTGAACCACAGCACAGCTCCATTATCAGGATTGTCTTCAGACTGCCTTGCCATTCTTCGACGATCAGAACTATGACCCCTATGGCTATGGGGTGGGTGCACTGCGGCTCGCCTATCCTCCTTTTTGTACAGTCTGCTAACTCATCCGGTATTCCTTTTCTTTTCTACACATAGCCAACGTTGATATTAAGAAGAAGCAGCAGCAGGAGGCCCCCACGCCCCAGAATACTCCCATCTTCTCTGCACCTATCAACTCCTCGGTCCGCCCCTCAGTTCCCACCGTCGAGGAAGACATGGAGACCATCCAGACTCCTGGTATGTCCTCAACCCCCTACCTTTTGATCTTACTGTATCTCTCCCGCCTCCCTCCTCAATCACCTGGAACGAGTGACCATTCGAAGGGTTTATCGGATCTGTCTTTGTGCATTTTTTTTTTTTTTTTTTTGGTGGCAATCTTGCTCATCTTTATATATATGTATATACAAATATACGCACCCCAACAAAAAAAAGTGACCCATATAATAAGTATGAATCTATAATTGTCAGGCTAATAATTTATTTCCCTTCGGCTTCTTTGCTTCAGGTTCCTCTCTGTTGGCCAACAACCCTCAGCTCATGTCCATGTTGCAGGGCCGTCTCGGCGGATTGGTCGGCGCTCCTTCAGGCTATGTCCAGACTCTCCCCGCTGATGTTCGCCGTCGTGTCAGGGGCTTGAAGTCGCTCCAGAACAAGCATGCTGTCTTGGAGGCGGAATTTCAAAACGAGATCCTCGCCTTGGAGAAGAAGTACCTTGCTCTCTACACCCCTCTTTATGAGAAGCGTGCTGAGTACATCAGCGGCAAGACTGAGCCCACTGATATCGAGGTCGCCGACGGTGTCAGTGACGACGAGGATGAGGAGAACAAGGATGAGGACGAGGAGGATGAGGACAAGGATGCCCAGAAAGTCGAAGGTAACCCCAATTGCCACTGTGTTGACAGCTATGTTAGTTTCGGTATAAAATTCGGTATCAAATGTACTCACTATCATGTTCTATACTTGTAGGTATTCCCGAGTTCTGGCTCACGGCTTTGAAGTCTCACCCCCAGTTCGCCGACATCATCACCGAGAAGGACGAGGAAGCATTGAAGCATCTGGTTGACATTCGCATGGGCTACTTTGAGAAGCCCGGTTTCCGTCTTGATTTTGAGTTCTCGCCCAACGAGTTTTTCACGAACACTATTTTGACGAAGACCTACTATTACCAGGACGAGCCTGGCTATGGCGGCGATTTCGTCTACGATCATGCCGAGGGTACCAAGATTGACTGGAAAGAGGGCAAGGACCTTTCAATCACTGTCGAGACCAAGAAGCAGCGCCACAAGGGAACCAACAAGACCCGCGTGGTCAAGAAGACTGTTCCTGCAGAGACCTTCTTTTCCTTCTTCACTCCTCCAGTCGCACCTGAGGACGAAGATGACGAGGACATTGACGAGGATGAGGATCTGGACGAGAAGCTGGAGGCTGACTATGGTCTCGGTGAGGAATTCAAGGACTCAATCATCCCTCGTGCCGTCGATTGGTTCACCGGCAAGGCCCTTCAGTACCAGGATCATGGAGATCAGTACGACGATGATGACTTTGAGTACGATGATGAGGATGATGAGGAGGACGATGATGAGGATGATGACGAAGAGGACGACAACGAGGGTGTAAGTGTTTTTTTCTGGCGATGAACGCATTCTGCTTCTTCGATTGTCTGTTGGATGTGTTACTAAACTACATCCCATTTGTCTTTGTTCAATCCACTAGCTCCCTGCCAAGGATGAGAAGGCCCCCGAGTGCAAGCAACAGTAGAATCGTTTCCTTTTGATAACAAGACAGACAACATTATTGCATTGCTTCCACTTTTTTTCTTTCTCCATAATTTGTCACCTTTCACCATTACCTCACATTTTTCATTCCCATTTACATTTACAAAATAAATGACTGTCCATTCATCATATCTTGGAGTTACAAGTCGTGTTTCCAAGCCTAATTGATAACTGTGCTTATGCAGGCTGCAGCTTGTTGCGATAGTCTAGAGCCACGGCGACATGGGTTGATACGCAAGGGCGGGCCGTGGAAATCGAGAATCGCGCCCATTGATATTGCAAGAGTACCGAGACTTTAGGGCCAATTCTCCTTGCATACCAAAGAACGGCCCACGCTCACTGCTGGCCCATCCAAGGTTCAGTCAGCAAAGATAGGGTGCTCTGTTCGTCTCTAAAATCGAGGCCCAGAGCTTGCAGATCTACGTCAGTAAACCCTTGAGACGCTCGAGGAGAGGGAAGAAGAGTAGAGCATGTCCTCCGCCAGACAGATTTATTAGGTTAAACATGTAAACGTCTGCAAGTTCGCGTGGCCTGCCTACGCTTAAATGCATGTAATCTTCGCTCGCTTGCTTTCTCATCTCTCTCTTTAAACCATCAGTCCTAATATCAGGCATCATGGCCATATCAAGTACTTTCTGCAACAAAGGCTGTCGCCGATTTTATTTTGCAAGTGAATGGCACTGAAGAAATACGAGAAACTAATTAAAAGCAACTGATTCGCTCTCTGTGCAACATCTCCTCAAAATACGAGACTTATTCCCGCTCCGTTCTTGGTATTACCGTTATCTTATCCGTGTTGCACATATAATTTCCCTCCTGATTCCGTTAACGGCCGTCGGGGCTGATGGAACGAGCACTGATTCAAGCGAAAAACAGAGAGTTCAGCGTTAGTTTATGATCCAGCTGCTGACGAGACATGTGGGCTAGTGAAACAAAAAAAAAGTTGATGCGGTTTACCGATCCTTAGCAACAGGGCTGACGGAGCGTTGGCGACGATCGGCGTTAGGGCTGGGAGAGCGACCGCGGGCAGGAGAGGCATCTCTCTGGCGGTCATAATCGCGGCGAGAGGACGAGCGCTCGGGCGAGCGATCTTCTCTGCGGCCCTCGTCTCTGTAGTCGCGACGGGAATCACGGCGGTCATCACGAGAGTCGCGGCGGTCATCGCGGTAATCACGACGGCGAGGGGAGCGAGAACGCGAGCGATCTCTATAGTCACGACGAGGGGAACGAGAACGACGACGTGGAGAACGAGATCTATTAGTAGATGGCCGGCATAAAATCATGACGACGTCAATGACGGAACGCGTTTCTGCTAAAGGTAAGGGATTGAGAGGGAGGAGGTATAGACACAATGGAGGCCAGAATGCGAGTGAGGAAGGGAGAGTGATAGGGCGACATGATCAACCGACGCTTAAAATGTTTGCTTGCACATACAAAGAAGCATGACGGCCGAACGGCTCAGCACGGTTCGGCGAGTGAAGCAAACACAGGAAACGGAGCAGAAAAAACCTGTGCTGTCGAGATATGTTGCTGCCATTCCAAGTCTCGAACTGACGAACTGACGAACTGACGACTACCACTGGAGATCGTAGGCCATTTTCAAAAGCACTGAATCCTTGATGCGTTGCGGAGGAAAACGCCCAGGTATTCACGCCGCTGCAACATTGTGCATGGGCATGAGAAGCAGCAGAATTTTGAACCCGTTGGACGTGCATAGGAGGAGATACATTCCATAGGCGGAATATCGATGATCGCTTCGCAAGACTGGCCCAGCAATGGTACAATATGTGGGGAGGAGTGCCAGAGACTTGGTTCCCGTAAATCGAGGACGATCACACAAAGCGCAGGCAACACAAACATCTCGGACTGATGACGACGCTCCAATTGTTTTCAACTCGCGGTGACACACGACAGGGACAAGGTGGAGGGGAGAGCGAGTGACAATACCTTCTGCGATCACTGAAGCGACCGCCCGAGGAACCGCCACGGCAATCACGAGCCCAGTGTCCTAAATAGAGATGTGAAAACCATGGTTGTCATTGAGTTACTCCTTATTGCGCTGCATAGCGTCAATGACCAGTCGCATTAGTTCATGGCCTTTACCCTCCTTGCCGCACTAGATTGAGGAAAATAACCAAACAAAATGGGACGATTAGCACCGAAAACGACATAAAGTAGGTTGGGTTTAGATCGCAAACGAATATCAAATTCTAAAGATGTGTTTACCTTGAAGCATTCGTTATCACCAGCACGACGGCCATTGTTCTTGGCAAACTCGACCACGATAGGATTTCCATTCACAACCGATCCATTGAGCTTATGAACAGCCTCTTCAGCATCGCGGGGATCCTATGTCAACGTATCGAGATGATTGTTTCCATGTCAGTGTTGAATGTTAATGCGGTGTGGTGAATATGCAATAGTCCTGAGTCGTATTATACCTCGTACTCGACGAAGCCAAAACCAGAGTTGGCGCCTGTTATTGACATTGACATTGAGAGCAGGTAAGGAGCAAATAAAATTGTGGTCATATTGGACTCAGGGTCAGCAAAGCGTAAGGCAAAAGAGGTCACACAGGATAATACAAGATAATCGACAAGACAACAGTGGCAGAAAAGAGAGGATCATGAGTGAGGGTGTGCATACCTCGCTTGATGTCGAGACGAGTGACTCTGCCGTACTTGGCAAAGAGATCCTCGAGATCTCTGGAGCGGGTGTCGTGGGTGAGGCGGCCAAGGAAGAGAGCCATGGTTGATCGGGCTTGAAAGGTGGAATGGGATGAGGGAGGAAAGGAGGGAGCGAAAGAGGGACAGTCGAAACAAAAAAACCTTTTCGATAAAGGCCTATTCGCCCTTTGGGGCGGACCACTCAGATGAGGGCGAGACTTTATTAAGGGCAGGTGCCTGGAGATTCTAAGACAATGGGCGCAAAAATTACGTCACCGAAGTGATGGAAGCGGGACTCCTGATTGGCAGACTTTTTGGACGGAAATAAGTTTTTTAAGGGTGGCAATAAGGACCGTCCTATTTTGGAACACAATCTTCTGACCATCAATCAGACTCAATTCCTTATGCCTGTTTGACAACGGCTAACTGCTTCAGCACATTTATCTCTGACATTTTTGTCCCGCCTGGACAGTATTGAGGCCCTTCACCTCAAGCAAGGTCTTCCTTACTCCTGCAATCGTGGTCTGGAAGTACTCGAGCGTACATTTCCTCTTCTTTGTTGAGCCAGCGGCAATGACAATCTCCGATATCATGTTTTTCAGATCGGCCTCAAGATCCTGAAGCTCCTGCTCTTGTTCTTTTTCTGTGGCTATTCTTTTCTATTCCGCCTTTTCTGCCCTTTGCCTATGAAGTAGAAGAAGGATTGCTGGTGGAAGGGGTTGCTCTAAAGACGGTGGAAATGTTGAATCAGGTGAAGGATCAAAATCATTCTGGTCGGCCAGTAGCGCATCTATTCGAATTAAGGGTACCATTCGAATCGAATTCAATAGCTATTATCTCTACGAAGATGACTTCAAGGGAGGATAGCGGAGCCAACCTTCGACCACTCATGCAGGCCTTGTCTAGGAAAATAAAGTTCTCAATTGCTGAAATGCCATGGTTAATGCTGTCTAGTGCATCTGCAGGCAAAAGACCCTTTTTCTTGCGTGCTTCGATCTATCTTGAAAAGGATGGATGATGTCCGCAAGACTTCCCTTGATACACTTTGGTCTGTGTACAGACGATAGCGCCGATTGAAGTTACATGCCAGTATCTTCCCACAAAGATCTTTGGAGCCACTGCAATACTGATTCTTTAACTCGACCGAAAGCTGTGTGACAGTAGATCTCAGAATAGTGGATCCTGGATATGGCATATTTGTCCCGTCCTTGGTTATGGCTGGCAAGAAGTTCTTGGCTTTCTCGATGAACCAAAGGACATAGGGCATCGATCCCGAATTGGAGAGAAGTTCGGAGTTGTAGATGCATACGAAAAGCGAGAATAGGAAGTCCATTTGTTCATCTCTCGTGTCAATCTTGTCGTTGTGCATATCAAGTTCTTGGAGTCCTTGAGCAGCCTTATCGGAATCGCTGTCACTGGGATCATCTTTGGGGACGCGGGGACAGAGTATGTTGAACAGGATTCTGTCTGCCCCATCGACGTCGGTGGTTGAAAGGCGTCCAATGTACTGACCAATAGCTCTCTGGCAGGTACGTTTGGCTTGGGACGCGTGGCGAATAAAAAAAAGGGATGAGACCAACGAGGTTGTGATCGTAGTCGACCTAAGCAAGCTCTCAACAAAGACTAGGCTTTCTTCATTGCACGAGTCCTTCCAGTCCCGCTTTGTTCAAAAAGTAACGCATCACCAAGCAAGTATGTAGATCTGAATCATGTTTGGAATCTGTGAATATTGTGAATATTGTACTGATATTATTGATACTTTTTTTTATTTTATTTTTATTAACGCTCACATAAGCCAGGTCGCTTGGATACATCGTGGTTGGAGTGAACGAATACTACACGTCCAAGAAGTGTCCAACCTGCGAGCAGCAGGCTACACTGCTTAAATTGCGGCACTTCCATGCACCGCGATATTATGGCAGGACACAACATATGCAATACGATACATGGCAATTTACTCCATCAAAAGCGACCGCTCTATCTTCAACCGGTGGATAAGGATGGGAGCTACCCTTGGATGCAAGATGCAAGACCGCACACAGAGGTCGGGGGCAGTAGCAACAGTAGCAGCAGTAGCGCAGTGGGACGAGAGCAAGGGCAAGGCAAGGGAGGACGACTTTTTAGTGCCTTCAGTGACGTCATTTAAGCGAGAAGCGCTGACTGCTTCTAACCCATTCCTACCTCCCTCCATCACCCCATCACCCTTTGTTTCATCCTCCATTACTCACTTACACATCTGTACACCATGGTACTTCCTTCTGCCTTTCTGAATCCTTAAGCCTACCCTTTCGACAAGCCTGCTACTGACACCCATTTTTTTTCCTTTCACGCTCGCGGATGACTAGTCCAACACTCTTCGACCATACCTCAATGCTGTTCGCCAGACACTCACTGCCGCCATGTGTCTGGAGAACTTCTCGTCCCAGGTTGCTGAGCGCCACAACAAGCCCGAAGTCGAGGCAAGGTATGCGACGATGGAAGGAGGATACGAATCGTACTTTGAAGTCATTTACGACCGCGCATGATATAGCTTGGAGCGACAATACAACAGGGTGATTAATCCGTTGGACTCGGCGCGAACGCAGCAGCAGCGAAGGGCTACTCTAATGCCTTAGTAGCATATTCAAATCTTGCGGCAGGCTTCGCTGTAACGCTCAATTTACTTACGCATGCACTATGGGAAACACGTTAGGGCGTCCAAGGAAGTTCTTCTCAACCCTGTCGTCATCAGCAGAAATGATAAGGAGCGCGTCTTGATTGAAACATCCGTCAACTCTTTGCGCGTCAGCATTGCGATCAAACAAGCAGATGAGATCGAGCGGATCTTGGCCCACAAGTTCACGCGCTTCTTGACGCAGCGCGCAGAGAGCTTTGTGATCCTTCGCAGGAAACCAATAGAGGTAAAGGGCAGGATTATTAGCTCGGGCGCGATGCAAGCTCTTATACTTAATTTGGATGTCCGTTCTAACATTTTTTTTACGGCTATTTTGGAATGGTGATTTTCCAGGGATATGATATCTCGTTCTTAATCACGAACGCACACACGGAGCTGATGTATAAGCACAAGCTAGTGGACTTTATCATTCAGTTCATGGAGGAGGTCGACAAAGAGATCAGCGAGATGAAGTTGAGTCTCAATGCCCGTGCTCGTATCGTTTCTGAGTCGTACTTGTCCCAGGTATGGCCTGCAGTAATGGCACAAAGTCTTCATTTCATATCAAATAGCTGCTGAGAAGACGTTCTGCTCACTCAAGTCTTTCTAATGCTTTCATTGCGGCTGAATATAGTTTAACTAGATACCATCAAAGTAATATCAAAACAGGATTTCAGGAGCGTACGAACAAGGAAGCAGTACGAGTGCCTTCAATTGATCCGACAACGTAGATTGTCAGTCCACATACAGCAACTAAAATTTATGATGCTCTGTTTATTCTACAGAACATGTCTTCTCTACTGGGTCTTCGTATTGAACATGGGTGTGCTGGATGATAATGAAATGAGTATATGACGTGTATGTAAAAAGAAAATGAGAATGATGTAAATATGCACACTGATCCATTAGGCAGTTGCTGTAGCCGTAGCGGCGCGATCTTGCAACTGATAATCATACAAGCGCACCAAATTGCGCTCGAGCATGGCGACGGTGACCTTGCCCACGGCAGGGACGTAGATCGCGGCCTTCTTCTTGATTTCATCGCCATCAAAATTCTTGAAAGTTGAAAAGTTGATGCAGACAGCACCGTCGCGGATCAGGTTTGAGGGGACCTTGTATGAGGGAGATGGGACGCCAGTGATAACAACGTCCGATAGAGGAAGGACATCTTCTAGCTTCAAGTCGGTTTCGCTGACCTAAAAAGGTACACATCGCAAAGAGACCATGGCAAGTTAATAAAACAATTCTTTGGTGATACCCTTCATGAGTCAGAGACAAAAACGTGGTCAAAAATTGGGACAACACGGGCAAAATATGATGGAGAGCAAGACATATGAATAATGACAGCAAAAGAAGAAACTCCCCACGATACCCAGCATTTACCTCGTGCTTTTTCAATTGAAGGCCGACACCACGATGGAACTCCTGGATGCCATTGATGTCGACAGAATAAACCTTGGCGCCGTCATTGGCAAGCAAAGCGGCCAAGGGACGGCCAACAATCTCGGAGCGGTTGATGATGGTGACAACCCTTCCGTGAAGGCGGTTGCCGTAGGGAAGAATTCCATTGTAAACTCCGACATACTCCATGACCTTAACCAATCCCAAGGGAGTGCAAGGAATGATGCATTTCTTAGTCTGGGCCTGGTCCAAGAAGCGGATGTTGTGGTACATGTTGTAGACATACTTGTGGTGAAGGCCCTCGACATCCTTGCTGACATCGACGACGTTTTGAAGATATTGATCCTGCGATAGAAAGACAGCCGAATGCCGATATCGTCAGATTGATATCGCATAAAAGTGCAGCCAACCTGTTCGTCTGTTCGATCTTGCGTGTATGTGTATGTCTTCCTACCTGACGATCACCAAATACGGGGTAGTACACCATGATGCCGTGGACGCCTTCATCTTGGTTCGCCTCGACGATCTTGTCCTCAAGGTCATTTCTGGAGCACTTTCTCAGCTCAAACTCGACCCCGGTCTCGGCGCAGGTCTTTGCGGTCCACTCAGCGTACTTTGCAGCGGCAGGGTCTTCGTTTGAAAGGAATCCAACGAGTTTTGGGCGGATGTTACGGTCCTTGATGGTCTTTTTTAATTCGTCTCTACAAAAATGCTTAATGGTTGGATTACCGTTCTTTTGTATTTATGATCTTAATTTATCCTCGATGCAATTGAAGGATGTATCTGTTACCTGTAAGAGGCCGAAATAGACTGAGCAAGAACGACTTTGCAGGACATGATTCAGAGTGTGCTTAGGGTGCGAGTGAAGGAAATGGAATGGCGAGGTCGAGGAAGCGATCAAGAAAAAAAAAAAGAGAGAGAGAGAGAGAGAGATCAGATCTCTTTTTACTCTATTTCCAAAATTGTTGTTCCCCGCAAAAAAAAATTCAATCCGCGCCGCTGGCTCCGATAGAGCGGTAACCCTCCCTGATTTTTTATCGTTTATTGGAATTAACTTACGGGTGTAAAGGTCTCCCTAATCTGTTGACTACAGATTAGTGCAGACTCGATATTGAGGACTCCTTTGCAGAAGTATAGAAACGTAATACTGCTTTATAGGCTTTATAGCTTGTGCGCAGCCGCGATGGAGATACCAACAGGTCTTCTGGACGGGGTGCGGTGCGGCGAACATGAGCCTCAGCAAGTACCGCTGCCATATTTGGGTGCAAGAGTGCACGTGGCGTGCGTCTGCGTCCTCGCAAATGCTGCAGCCCATCGATGTTTATCTGGACTTGATTTTTCAAGTAGAAGCAGACGATGCCATCAATTCATCCACTCCACCGCACCTCGCTGCATCCATTGAAATCCGCAAGGACCAAGGAGCACATTGCAACCAAAAGGTTCATCCAAGTTTCATCATTCAAAGGTGAGTTGTCTTTTTTTGTACAGATCAACATCAACACTTCGCTTGCGATGAAATATCATTTTGCCGCCATTACTGATCGGACAAGCGTGCCCTCTCCTGCTGCCCATCGTGGTATAATATTTCTTCTTTCACTATTACCGCTTATAATTACAACGGACATTGTGATTTACTGCGATACGATAACAGGAGTTGCGCACACATTTTTCACCCTCAATACCTACCAACTGCCTGCTTCCCCAGTACCTCAACGTCGGCCGATTTTCCAACATAAGCCCCTCCAAGGATCTACGTGTAGCCGCTTCTATGGAAGACAGAAGCATCCGTAAGCGCAAGCTTACAGACGAAGCTGCTGCGCTTCCTGTTGAGGGTGTCTCTTCCGTCGCCATGGACTCCGCCGGTACTGGCCTCGTGGCCGTCAACCCTCTGCAAAAGAAGAACAAGTTTCCAGGAAACGATAGCAGCAGTAGGAATTCACTCTACAGTAGCCATGGCAAGGATACCTCAACCTCCATGTCAGCAACTGAGGTATGGACAAATGCCACAATCTTTTTATACCTTTCCCTTGTCCTTTCTTCTTTGTTTTTTGTCTCTGCCTGCCTTTTTCGCAGGCGTTTTCCATATCAGCGGTGCTTACGAGAGCTGAAACCCAGTCATTGCCTTTATCAGTATTCCTCACCACAAGAGCATGAAGACGTCTGGGAGGAGGAGGAGGAGGGGGAGGGCATTATTGTTGACATTCTGTCCTTTCTTTGCAATGGTAGAAGAAAATGAGTATTTTGCTCATACCCCATAATGACACCAGTTGGTTGTGATTTTCCTCAACAGTTGCTTGTATGCGCAGGACATGGACAAGCGCACAGGGATTTTATTTTTATTTTTATTTTTTTTATTGTATGATTTATGGCCTAAGCTCTCTAATCAGTAGTTTCGTTATTGCTGCTGATGGAGCAACTAAGCGAATGAAAACTGCTTTGCCTAATATTTGACCCCTATTGACATTTTGTGGTTATAGGAAGTATTACTCAACTTTCAAAAGGACGCGATATGGAGGCAGATGCAGGAATACAAGCGGGAATGCTTGAGGACACAAGAGAGGATCGCACAGCTGAACGACAAGCAAGTCGACTATGAGTCCCATCTTAGTACAGTCGACGTCTATTGGAGCAAGGTAGGCATCATTGTCAAACAACCTCGATCTACGGGTTATATTTTCTCTTCCACTTCTCAAAGCTGACTATTAACGTAATTTATTACTTCTCAACAATTAGTTATTGCAAGATTTGAAACTGATTTTGACCAGGGTCGATATTCGTGTAGACGCAAAGGACCTCGTATTACAAGGTATACATTCATCCTCGCACTTCACATCGTTTTCTGGATCAACTGAAATCTTTGAGTTTGACCGCAATATTCTTGGCATCTCTTGTCATAGATGGCACCAACTTTGCATCATATCTACTCAATAGACCTGAAAGGGACAAACAGCGCCGTAATATCAACAACTTAACCGCAGCCGCCCTCAAGCCTACATTAGAGAAGCGCTCACAGTACACCAAGGAGATTGTCATAAAATTACTTCAGATTATCGAGGAATGGAGCGAACAACGCGACTCTTTCTGGAATTCTCTCCTTAATACGGGTAAGCTACTTGTAAAATATCTGGTCTTTCGCCTACACGCTGCATTTCAATCGAAGACTCACAGCTAACATACAGCATCCATCTTCATTAAGACCCGGCAGTAAAAGAAAGTGCAGTGGTGCGAGAATTAATGCAGGAGCATGACAAAATAGCAGCACTCTACAAAAAACAGCAGGCGGATATTAATCAACTACAGATCCAATGCCACGGATTCACAGATCAAGTGTTGCGCCTGAAGGATGAGCTCGAGATGACGAAAACTCGGCTTGAGGAGGCAGCCGAGAACTTGGAGGATTCAAAGGAGAAGCTGCGCCGAGTGGAAAAGAGCCTTGATCGCGAGAAGAGTATCATTGTTTCTGCGGTGACGTCAGGCGAGATCTTTGGAGAGAACTATGGTGGAACGCCGGATGTGGTCTCGCCATCTTCAGGACCTATGATCTCCAAAAGCGAGGCTCACGATGCTTCTCACGATGAGCTGCTGCAGCACCGAGAGCTCGCAATGGCGCGTTTAATGGAACTGGAGGAGATGAAGATACAAAGGATTCAATTCCGGAACGAACTGGATTCACTTAAGTCACAATTCAACCATATTCCGGACGAAAGAGTTCAGGACTCTCAACTCGTCAAATCGCTCCTCAGTCAGATGCAGTATGCACGGAACGATGCTGAACACTACCGAAACGAGGCAACCAAGCTGAAGGTGGACCTGGAGGAGCTCTATCTTTCACGCAGGAAGTTCATGGAGAACCTCGAAATGGAAGAGAAAAGTCGAAGGGCGGCACTGGAGGGCGAGCTCAAGAAGTTGGAGAGTGATATTTCTCGGCTGCGGGACAGTCGCGATCGATTCCAGCAAATGTATGAGGCTAGATGTACAAAGGACGATTATGAGATGCAGCAGAATCAGGAGATCCGGAAGATTGCGAACACGAGAAAGGTATGTACTGTGCTTTACCAACTTTTATGATGAAAGGAAAGTATGCCGATTGAATCTCACCAACACGGTTGCGTATTCATCAATACAGGATCGCATTACAACCTTGGCTACGGATATCCAACGTCTACAGATCATGCTGGCTGCTAACACTGGTGACAAGGATGCATTTGCATTTTATCTCAATGGACCGACCGACAAGTCGTTTTTGGATGATCTTCGCAACAAGCTGAGGAATTCCGAGGAGCAGATCAAGGCACTCAACGTTGAGTTGGAGGCATCCAAAGAAGCGGCGTCGCATTTACGCGAACTGGGGAAAGCCACCCTTTCAGAAAAGCATCTGAAAGTGCAGGTGAAGGAGCTAACGACCAAGCTGACCGAGTTCGAGAATCTGATTGGCAACAACACAAAAGATCCAGTCAAGGCGCTAATGGCGAATATCGAGGCAAAGGATGAAACCATTCGGGTGCTGGAACAGAAGGTGCAGGCCCACGAAGCAGTTCAGGCGCCACTGCTGAATGAACTGCATACGGTCGCAACGGCTTGGGGTCAACTGGAAGAGGCGACTTCACGCAAGGTGATTGATTTGGCGCAAAAGGAAGACCTGATTTACAAATTGCTTTCGGACAAGACACGACAGGAGTCCAAGTGTAACCTTTTGATCCGCGCCAAGGATGCAAGTGCGAACATGACAGCGGTGATGAAGCGACAGTCAGATATGCAGCTGGATCAGATTCGAAAGCTGGAGGAGCGTGAAAAGAACCTCAATATGCAAATGGTAGGCAGAGTAACGGCATGGATTTCAAAAGGAGCATATTACGAATTCACGGTGTTTTCGTTTTGACAAACGGTGCCAATTTCTTCGTTTTCTCACTAGGCTACGCTGGAGAGGGAGCAGACACTGTTGAATAGCAGCGTAGCGTTGCATAAAACGAAAGTGCAGGAGTATACTCAACAAAATGCAGGATTCAAAGAGAAATATGCACGACAGGAGGAGCGGCTGGACGAGCTGCAGACGATGCTGAAGGAGCGGACAGAAGCCTATGAGAACGAAGCCCATGCACGGAGGCGGCTGGTGGAAGAGACTGAGGCGATGAAACGCAAGATTGAGGAGCAGGCGAAGGCGGAAGCAAGCTCGGGAGAGCATTCGGAAGCAGCGAAGCAGGCGGCGCGATACTTGAAGCTGCTGAAGTGTCCGTCGTGCGATGTCAACTTCAAGTCGCATGTGATTCTGCGGTGCATGCATGTGTTCTGCAAGCCCTGCATGGATAACCAGCTTGAGTACCGCCAACGAAAGTGTCCGACCTGCCGCGAGAACTTTGGCGCAAAGGACGTGAAGGAGATCTATCTCTAAAGCGCTGGAAAAAAGCAATCAATTGTCCTTTTTTTTTTTTTTTTTTTTTTTTCCTTTCATTATATATTTCTTACTCTTGATCTCTTTTTTGTATTTTCTTTTCGTTTTACTTTCTTCCATTTTCATGTAACATTACGTTCTTGTACCAAAATCACCTCTAAACTCCACCCCCTAATAAAGAGCTTTATGACGATAATGTATGTATGGTACGCTCTTTGCTGTATTTTCTATGGCTGCTGGCTGCCTGTCGTAGTCTCTGTGGTTGCATTGATCGAGGTTGAGATTGTGGTCGCGGCAGAGCTGGCTACAGAGGACGACAAAATCGTGGTGAGCATAGGATCGTACCATTGTTTGTAGACCTGAGCATTGTACTTTGTCAAAAACCGGATCTGCACCGCCAGGGCCTCAAGCTCGCTCGCTAGACTGCCTAATCCCATCTTATTCAGATCCGCCCGATCGAGCATCGCCCCCGCTCGTCGTTCCCCCGCAGCATTCGTTGTCGAGATTGGGATGGTCGTCAGCATAAAGTATCCGATCGTCTGGCGGACACGCTGTGAGAGGACCGTGTACAGGGTACTTTCAAAGGAAATGGCGCGCACGAGCGTGTGACGGATATATTTCTTTTGGTCCTCCGACAGTAGTAATTGTGCTGCAGATGTCGTTGCTGTAGTCGAGAAGTGGGATGCCGATGCCGATGCCGATGCCGATGGTGAAATAGAACGTCCCCGTGCCGCCAAGAGTAGGGCCTTCTCCTTGGCCTCAATGATCGCCTCCGTCAACTGTTCCTGCGAAGTGCTGGGGTTCTCAATCAGTTTCAGAAGTGTTTCCTTTAGCTCATGTTGCTCCTGGTCCTTAAGCGTGGGCGCAACATTCAGCGAGACGTTCAACATGACCGCGACCAGAGCCAGTCCTTGCACCTCGTTCTGGTACCGCATCAGACGCTCCCGATCTAATGCCAGGGTCGCAGGCAAGTAGTCTCGGTCCTCGCGATCGAAATGTCTCTTCGAAAAAATGAGATCGAGCATGCCCTGAACAAGAACCTCGTAATATCTATTGTTGGTCCTGTGACTCTGGGCACTGCTTGCCCCCTCTCCGTGTTCTCCACCCTCGACTGAAGATATCGCTGACGGAGTCGATGATGAGGATGGTGACGGTGATAAGAACGTGGAGCTGGTCGAGACTAATGAGGTTGAGGCTGGTTGGGGATGATTCACAACTGTATCCTGAAGCCATGCCCGAGTCGAGTCTAAAGATACCTCATCTTTGTCCAAAGATTTCCTGAACGCCTCCTGCTCGTATGGAATCGCCTGCTTTTCCAACCTAGGTCGGGCCACCGTCAGCCGGAAGTTCGCCATATCCAACATCATCACCTCCAAGAGCTCAAGAATATCCTGCAACACCGAAACAAGATCCCTGAGCGAAGCAGATGCTGCTGAGTAAGCCGAAGCCGCAGTCGAGGTGTCAACTGAGGATTGCTCGAAAGGGTTCTGTATAACCGTTTGACTCAAGTCCTGCTGAATCTGGCGGACCTTGGGGTCCCGCACTGGCGCACATAGCCTACTCATCAAGGTCAATACGCTCTCGAGCGCTCCCTTGATATCATACACCTTCCTGTCGACTTGCTGTTGTACAAACTCCAGATCGAACGACTCAGACACTTGGACGGCCATAGCTGACTCGGCAGGGATCATATCCAACAACTGCTCGCGAATCGTCGTCAATAAGGATGGGATCCACTTGCCCAAATTTCCTTGCTGAGCGTCTTCACGGATCTTGTCAAAGTATGCCTTTGTCGCCATCGCTCGGACCTGCGCCTCCAGACTTTGTGAGACCTGTGGTGCATCTGCTGTGTTCTTGTCTTTTCCTTGTCCCGATGATGATGATGAACCTGGAGCATCAAGTGGTCGGCGGGGTTCGATTTTGAATTCAGTATCGAGAGCCAACTCATGAATCAGTTGAAGGTTTGTCCACTTGCTTGGCTTCTTCAATCCTACCGGCACTGCGCTTAAGATGTCTTGCGATCCAGATGAAGTCTCCTCCTTGGCAGCGGCATTACTACCGGTGGCGGCGGGCTTCGAGACGGCGGGCTTCTTCGCCTTCGGTTTCTGATCCGCGGCTGATTTGTTTTTGTTTGCCATCGATGTTGATTCTGCAGGGGCCGGTTCCGGGAGAGTCTGAATGTCATTACTAGTGCTGACATGTTCCGTTGAAGCTATCTCAGAATCCGAACTAGAAACGGAAACAACTCTCTGTCGCTTCTTAACCACGTGGTTGGCTCCTGTGGAGGATGTGGTAGATGGCGGTGCTGCTGATATTGATTCAATTGAGTCCGGATTGTTATTTGAGGATAGAGCGTTTGATGCCGTGTCTGGCGCTGTTGTGTTCACAAAATTTGCAAAAACAGCGTCCAATCTGGCTGCGCCCTCCGGTCCTGCCAATTGACCTGCTTTTGCTCGAAGATCTCTGCGCTGCTCCTCGATTCTAGGTTCCCATTCGAGGCGAGCCGAGGAATCGCCCTGGACTGTGCGCCATAGAGATTCGATCTGCTGGGCGTGATCCAATAGTGTCTGCAACAGTCGTTTGGCATCCTTGTCCTTCCATGCTTCAAAGAAATTGTAGTAGCTGGTCCATGCCCTGTCAAAGTCGCGAAGGAGTTCAGCATGGCGCTGTTGATGCTGGTCTTTGGGGATTCCCTGTGTAGGGTTCGGGGAAGAGGAGGGTTCATCTTGGTGAGAACTCTTATTCGGATGCAAGTTGGCGGAAAGCCATGTCTGAAGTGCCTCGAGGAGTGCCTTGGAGGACTCGACCAGGGATTCAAATGCAGGGTCGGCGCTCAGGCCCGTTGGGCGATCAGCTGCTGCTGCTGGCTGGGAAGTGGGGAATGTGTCGGCGGTGTTCATTGAGAATGTAGATGCAAGCAGGAACGAGGAACGAGAGATGAGCGTAAAGAAATGAGAAAAAGGAAAACAGAATGAGTGGTCAAAAAATAGAACCCGCTGATCTATTAGAGCGTCAAATCGAATTATGACAAATACAAAGGACAAGAATAAATCGTTCTTTTTCAAGAGCACATTGGCATTAATAAATATACAGTCATCGACTTTACCTCTTCAGGAGATCGAATCTGGCTTGGGTGCGCGAGGATCATATACATGCTCAAGAACACTCGTGCTGAATTCTTGAACACACGCCTCGGTCGTTGCTCGTTCGCAAGGGTATCCACCTGCACCAGCTGCGATGAGTACTTGAGCAGTCGCAGTGTCGCCTGAATCAGGTTCTTGTTCGTGTGCAACAGTCGTGCCAGCTCATTGAATCCCATGGCCAGCACACGCTCGTGCGATCCGCCGATTGCCTTCATGTATTCACTCGCAGCCTTTTGGACCAACCGCTGCCTAATCTTTCGCTGCGCCCAGATGGTCATTCGCTCAAGTCCTGCTTCGGATCGGACTATGCTAGGATCAATGTCAGTGTCCATATCGCTGCTCCTGTGATCGGTCTCCGGTTTTTCATGACGACTAGCATTACCGCTGTTGCTATCCTCCAGAATGGCCGTACTATTGCCATTCGCGGCTGTCGATGGCGAAATCGTCGTACATTTCGGGGTCATGCTGGTCAAGTGCTTCTTGTTCGTGTGGGTCATGTTGACGAGGCTATTTTTAGCCAAACCATGTTGTCGTTGTTGCCCATGTCCTTCATGTCCTTGACCACTGTTGTTGTTATTACTGTTATTGTTGTTGCTATTGTCGCTGTCGCGTGCAATGGCTGTCTTTGTCCTCATGGCAGTATCTTTTTTTACAGTTGATGATGATGAGGTAAGGACTCTTGCTGCTCTGCCCGTCGCTGCTCTGGAAACTATAGCAGTACCAGAACTTACAGTAGCACTGGTACTGACATTGGCGATAGTCGAACTCTTACGGCGAAATCTCCTCGAAGGATCGTTCTCAATTGCAGCTTCCAAATATGCGTTTCTCCTTGCCATGGCCCTGACCATTTTTTGCTCGAGCTCATCACGCGCCCTGTGCTGTCGTAGCTCCTGCTGCGTGCGCTGTCGATGGACCACGCGCTGGACATGATCGACCCGCTCTCCTGCAGATAGTCGACGCTCCATCAAGAAATGTGTTCGACTTCTGGCTGCTGACTCGGTTCGTTCCCACAGTCGCTGCTCCAACTCCCACATGTATTGACGGTACTGCTGCTGATCCAGCTTGAAAACATTGTTTCGGTCATTGTTGTCATCATCGTAATCTATGTCCTCGTCCAGAGTATCGGCCTCGTCAAGCGACATGTCGGATGCATCCATAGGGAGCGGCTGTTGCAGCTGCAGCTGTTGGCGCTGTCGGAGACGCATACGTCGACTCTGCATGTACTTTTTGAGATGGGCTCGACGAGCCTCCGTGTTGAAAGGTTCGAATCCGGCTGAGTAGTGCTCGCTCAGCGGATCATGGGTGGCCGTATGGTAACTGAGGTAGGCCGAGTGAGAATTGGTTGATTTCATAAGACCATGTTTGCCTCTGACTCTGGAAGTGGCAGGTCGTCTCCAGCTCATACAATAGTTGTTGCGGGAGCGAGAGGATGGGTGACGATGCTTGCTTCTGGAAATGGAGAAGTGTTTGAAGATGGCGGTGGTGTGGTGGAGCTGCTGCGGCTGCAGTGGTTTAGTGTCGCTGGACGAAATGGTGGCAACATGTTGGCTTCCCAATGTGCCATTTTGTTGAGCGATAGTAGGGACCCTTGCTGGCGGAAGAGGTTGATTGTGCTCCAGATGGATGAAGCTTGGGACGGCGTTGTAGGCAGGACTGGGCATCGTGCAGGAAGGGGCGGCGACCAGCCGCTGAAGAAACGAGGGGAGAGAAAGCTGCTGTTAACGAGAAGAATAGGGTGAACAAAAGGGGGCTGCTTCATAAGAAAAAGAAGGCAGGCAGGCCAGCTAGAGGGCTAGCAGGGTAGGAAAGTTTGTGCGGGTTGAAAGGAAAAGAAAGAAGAAAAAGCCGCTTGGGCTTGATGCCGATCCCATTCCCTACAAGTCGTTGCTTCGCTATTTGGCCCTTTTGTTCTCATGTCATGTGGCCCGTTGGCACTGCCGTGAGTGGGTGGGTGGGGGGTAGCACTCAGGCCGCTAGTCACTCGTTCTCTCTACATTATGTCAATATGTCCATATGTCCATGCCATGCTGCTTCGCAATGTCCTTATGCATCAGTACCACCTCGTAGTATGTTACACTATGCTTAACCACTGCGCCGATTACAAAATGGCAAAATGAGTAAGGTAACATGGCAATGCTGATGACACCATGGTTCACTTTGAATAACGAACAGGGCAAGGTAATTGGAATCGCAGCCGTTGGGCAGCTGAAGGGGACAGCGTGAAAGACATCCGCGTCTGCACTGAAAGCTACCTTCCTTGTCCGGCATTGATCTACCTGTCCACTATGATCAATTCGATCTGTCCTGAAACAGACACACACGCACCGTAAATCTGGTTGCATGACGCGTTGAAAGATACTTTCCTAGAAATGTAATAGTTGACGCGTGGATTTGAAACCCAGCCCAAGGGGGCGGGAGCCACCCAGTAGGATCATGGAAGCCATAATAAACGCGCGCCTGCTGCTTACCCCATACTCATACCTATACCCAAACGCGCGCATGCACGTTCACAAACAGATAAGATACACGTACACTCCAGGAAAGACAGAAGACTACTATGCAGACAATATATACTATAGCACAGAGGAACATTTTTTCTTTTTGTTTTTGAGCCGTGGAGATGGTGAGCAAGAGACAAAGAAAGAAAAAGAGCCGGAGACGCAAACCAGGAGACAGACAGCGAGGCCTCTGAGGAGACATAGCGAGAAGGGAATAGGAACAATGCTCATGGACCTGCCTGCGTTCTCAGTCGCTGTGCTCGCAATCTATTTTGGTGTCCTTTTTATTATGCGGTGAGGACCCGCGCGTAATGCACTCTAAACGGTGTACGGGGCATTGGGTCTATAGCCACGGATAGCTAATGCATGGTTGCGTCCCTTGCTTCTGCAAACCCTTCCTTTCCTCATCTCCCTTTTCCCTTTCCTTTTTCATTCGTCTTTCAGCTGAGTTGTCATCATCTTGGTCTCTACCCATCAATTATTCATTCCGCAACTCTCGCTTTATTTTACTATTCCGCTTTCCAGCTAGATATCCCATCATGGCTCACGTAAGAACGCAAATGTAACAAGACCAAAGTAAATGAGGTCTCAATGATTTACTCAAGCTCCTCATTTGAATTTCATAACAGCGAATCGGCCGCAGAAAGAATGTCAAGAAGGGATTTCAGTTTACCCTTATGGTTGTCGGTAAGGTGCACAAAATGCCTTGTTTACTAGCTCAAACGATATGTGGTGTAAGCAACTGCTACGCTCTGTTGGTTCATTCAACTCACAACAATCTGAATCATCCGGCGGCGAACAATGAATAGGTGCATCAGGTCTCGGGCGCACGACCTTTATCAACACGCTGTGCGATGCCGATGTTGTTCCCAAGCGAGAATGCGATGAGCCAGAGATGGCCCATATCGAGGAAGGCATCAAGATCAAGCCCTACACTGTCGGTACGTTGAAATGGTATCAAGGACATGCTAATGGCTCTGTGCAACCTATTCACTCATTCATTCTCTGCCTCGCACACGACTCAACAAAATAGAGCTCGACGAGGACGGTGTCAAGATCTCATTGACTATTGTCGATACTCCAGGGTTCGGAGACATGATCGACAACGAGTACTGGTAAGCAAGCAACCCAAGCAGGCGATAAGTCAAACTGTGTTGGATAGAGGACGAGCTGTTGTGCACTGCAGCACTAAGTGTGGTTGTTCACAACGGTACCAGCTAGATAGTCCTTCCTGTCCTCGCTGTCGGCGGTGATGGTGGCAGTGGTTTTTTTTTGTCGTCTTCAAAACAATATGACAATGCGTGGTGGAAGTATGAATCACACTCTGACCGATAGATTTCTTGCTCCTGTGGCGTCCTGGCATTGATATTAGCTTCCAAGAGATCCTTGGATACCTTGAAAGACAGTACGATGACATCTTGTCGGAAGAGTCCAGGATCAAGCGTAATCCACGTTTTCGTGATAACCGCGTCCATGCGCTTCTCTATTTTATTGCTCCTACTGGTCACAGGTAATATTTTAAGCTACGTCCTGGATATCCTTGACGGAAGGTATTTGAGTAATGCTGGCTAATGAGGTTTTTTTTTTTTTTTTTTTTTTCACCAGTCTGCGAGAGATTGATATCGAGTTAATGAAACGTCTGAGTCCCAGAATCAATGTGATCCCCGTTGTTGGCAAGGCCGATACGCTCACGCCGAGCGAGTTGGCAGATTTCAAAAAAAGGGTACGTTTGATGAGAGTGCTTAGATTTTGTGACGAAAATATCAAGCTAAGGCAGCTACCCTAACTAGACTATGTTCACTGTCTCTTTTGTATCCCTTCTCAATGGCAATATCGAAACGCGCATCAACAGATCATGGAAGATATTGAACACTACAACATCCCAATTTATAATTTCCCTTATGATCCTGAGGAGGACGATGAGGAGACTGTAGAGGAAAACAGCGAACTCCGATCTTTGCTTCCATTCGCGTTGATCGGCTGCGAGGAAGAGATCGAAGTAAATGGTCGTAAGGTTCGGGCCCGCCAGTATCCATGGGGTGTCGTTGAAGTCGACAACTCGCAGCATTGTGACTTTGCAAAGCTCAGATTCGCGTTGCTCAGGTAAGCGCAGGACAAAAAAAAAAGTGCTCTTGCCGTGTCTTGCTTTGCCTGCTTTTTCGTCTATAATTTCACATCTAATGATAATGTGCTTGGTCCTACTGTTTATTGGTTATTATAGCTCGCATCTGCAGGATCTTAAAGAGATCACTCATGACTACCTCTACGAGAACTATCGTACCGAGAAGCTGTCGCGTGTTGAGGATGAGTCGGAGTAGGTAAACTACCACAATCAACGACCACGATTTGTCGCATCCTCAGCAGCCTTTAGAAATACCTGCTGTTATTTTCTTTGCGTATTAAAGGAAATGAATATCTGTCATTTTTGAACGATCAGAGGACGCAAACGATTTTTTTTTTTGTTTTTTGTTTTTTGTTTTTGCTGATGGTCTACCACTCTTTTTTTTCTTGTTCGCAATGCTTTATGGTTATTTCTTGAAGGAGCGAGTCCGTTCTTGAAGAGAAGCATGCAAGGCTGAGAGAGGAGCACACGCGGAAGGAGGAAGAAAAGTTGCGCGAGGTCGAGCAGAAGGTGCAGCGGGGACTGAAGACGAAGCAACAAGAGTTATGGGTAAAAGAGCAGCAGCTCCAGAGTCTTGTATTTGGCCAAGCTCAATGATAACGGGGCATTTAAGGCAGTCTGGATTGATGAGTTTTAAAGAGCTATTCAGGAGCGTCCACGCCACGTTAATCAGTGTCAATGTCCCTTTCCATTTTACTTCGGCATCTGTATCGTTTTACCCGCACGTTAATACCGACTCTATAAAGCTCCTCACGCAGTATTTTTGCCTGAAACTGTATACATAGTTTGCTGTGAACAGTTCATAGACATTTCATGCTTTGCATCACAAAAATACAATATCCTTTGTTACATTCTTTTATTGCAGTACCTGCGAGATGGGAAAAGGTACGTTAAATGATTGATAAGGTAGGAAGATGCGGCCGAATCTTTGGGAACAGCTTGTACGCGTTTTTTGTCGTTTGATTAATCTACAAAAAAAAAAAAAAAGGCAGATGGCATAGGTAGAGCATTTTAGATCAACGCGCAACAAAGCATTTGCATTCGCCAATGCAAAATCAATAGCTTACCACAGTCTCCAGATCCACGTTCTTGATGCGTGCGATCTCCTGCGCCGCGTAACAAAGATTCGAGGGTACGTTGCTCACGCCCTTCTCTGGTCCCAGACATGGTGTATCGGATTCGAGCAACATCAACTCCAATGGCACCTCCTCGACCAGCACCTGCTGCTGTGGCGTCCTGACTACACTAGTCGGTATCGAGAAGTAATATCCCAATGCCAACCCTCTCCGTACATACTTCAATTGCCCGTCGAATGCGTGCAGAACTACGTCCTTGGCATCGAGTTCTTCCAACAATGTGATCGCATGATGCCCTGCACTTCTTGAATGCACATTCAGCGGGAGATGGTTCTGGATCGCAAACCGGACCTGGCGCGCAAAGACTTTACGCTGTTCCGTCTTGACGTCCTCTTGAGTCTTTAGTCGTATCTGGTTGTTGTGTGGGGAGTTGAGGACCGGGAGTGTAAAATCGAGCCCAACCTCGCCGATACCGACAAGGCGCGAGATATTATCCTGCATGAATTCAAAGACGCCCTCGAGGTCGGACTCGAGTACGGATCGGACACCGATGGTTGCGCCGTCAGCATCGCGGAGGGGCTGTGCTGGGTGCAGACCCGCGCAGGGAAAGAGGAAGTTGGGGTGTTGAACCGATAGGCGGACGATATGGCGGGCGTCGACGAGGGTTTCGGAGACGGAGAGAATTGAGGTCAGACCGGCGGCTTTGGCGCGTTGGAATAAGGGGGCGATGGATTCTGTGGGGATGGTGGGAGGGTATATGTGAGCGTGGCAGTCGATCATGGTGAAGAGGAGGTTGAGAATGATGAATGAAAGGAGCGAGGGATGAAGGCTGAAGGCGATCTTTCAAGGATGGAGGTGGAGAAATAAAATGATGTGACTGGAGTTCAGAACGTGCATGTCAACTCTTCGTCGCCTTGTACGCTCACTCTTACGCTCGCTCACTTGCTGGTTCTTCGTCCCAAGTCCTTAAAATGTAAGAGGGAGAAGGGGGTAAGAGGCCACGAACCTACTTCTCTATGTGTCTACCACACATCAACCTTTTAATTACCGTACGCTGAGTAATTCAAACACGCTTTGAATGTTTATCGCAACACGTCAATTGGGCCGTGGGAAAGTACTCCGCAAACTATGTTCGCATGCCAGTGGCATGTGGCCATTGGATCATTGTTCTTTTCTCAATGCAAATTGGAAAAACATGTACCAGATATCGAAGTATGGCAACAGGCGAATCAGGCCAATTGTTCGCATGCTGCTTGCTGGTCCTTTGCTGGGCGCCCTATTGGTAGTATAGTCTCGATAGCGCTGGAGCATATATTCGATTCCCCTTCTTCCGTTTTCCTCTTACTGGTTCTGCAGAAACCCGGGTACAATCGTACTACGCTTCACGTCCTCACCCTCAGCAAACTGTACGTCTTTGTCGTAAGATCGAAGGATAAGCAGGAAACCCCCTTTTTATCTGACTTGAGCCTTGCTTTTCGCTGCATGCAGTAGAATAATACGTGCTCATGCCGTAGGTATGCTGTATGCTGCGCCACATACATGATGTGCTCTGACCGTCAGGCATCCAGGGCAAACTGAGGTTGAGACCATTCAAATCACCTGACACTAACGCGCTTGGAAGTTCAACATCATCTCGCCTCGGCGCAAGCGGTCCTTTCATCACCTCGCCTTACTCTCATCCTCGTCTTTGCCTGTCATCTTCGCTACTCTACCCCCGCTACCCTTGCGCACGTCCTTCACTGTCAACCCACCCGAGTGTCACTCGTGAAACCGTCGCTCCATCACCTTTCAGACCCACACACACTTTGGTCACCATGGTAAAGCCTGATCTTTTTTGTCGCCCACTACATGTAGAATAATCACCCAGTTTGCAGCGCGGAGGAATGCAATCCGTTATTATAATTAAATTTGCAAGGCATATAACCGCGTTCGTTTTTCCCGTTTATTTATGAATTGTGGTTGTTACTAGGGTATGAAACTGGAAATCAAGGTACGTCGACTTTTACATCCTTGCAGCATCCATAGGCAACTATTAGATATGGGTCAAAGCATGGCTTTCGTTTCCAGGCCATCATTCAGTATCAGGAAATACATAATAATCGCGCACTTGTTGTGGTTGTCCCCTAACGCAAACGAGACCTATGTGGATTATTGTGCCTTTTAGAAAAAGATGATGGCTCACTCGGAGCGAGTAAAGTCCATGGACTTTCATCCGACCGAGCCATGGTTGCTTGCCAGCTTGTACGATGGCCATGCTTACATCTGGAACTATGAGACTCAGGTACGTCGCTATGGCTTAACGAATCTATGCTATTGCTGGGTCAAGGAAAGCGGACTGATACAATCGAATGAACTATATACGTGTCAATACAAATAGGCCTTAGTCAAGACCTTCGAAGTCTCGGATCAGCCAGGTACGGAAGAAAAGACGTTTCTATATAAACCAATTGAGGGACGACAGATAGAACGTAACATCATTGCTTGAGCTGCAGCAACGTATCACTAAAACTGACGTTGCGATATCTCATCTACTAATAGTCCGCGCCGCCAAATTCATCGCCCGAAAGAACTATGTGATTGCTGGATCGGACGACATGCAGCTTCGCGTATTTAACTATAACACGCACGAAAAGGTCCACAGCTGGGACGCCCACAACGACTACGTTCGGTGCATCGCTGTCCATCCTACTCAACCATACGTTCTCTCTGGCTCGGACGATATGACGATTCGCCTGTGGGACTGGGAAAAGAACTGGAGGTGCATGCAGGTGAGAACGCGCTGCCTCTTTTTATGGATCGCCATTCATGAAAGGGCGCTGATCTCACTAGGCCACGGATTCATTTGTTGAATATATAGACATTCGAAGGCCACACGTACTTTGTGATGTGCATTACGATCAACCCCAAGGACACCAATACCTTTGCATCGGCCTGCGTCGACGGATCAGTCAAAATCTGGTCACTTGGATCAAGCGTCGCCAACTTCACTTTGGATGGGCATGAGAAGGGCGTGAACTGGGTTGATTATTACCACGGCGCGGAAAAGCCCTATCTGATCACGGCCGGAGACGACTCTCTTGTCAAGGTGTGGGACTATCAGAACAAAACTTGCGTTCAGACATTGGAGGGCCATACCCAGAACGCGACCTTTGCTGTTTTCCATCCGGAGCTACCCATCATCATTTCGGGTAGCGAGGATGGCTCGGTCAAAATCTGGCATGCCAACACTTATCGGTTGGAGAACACCCTGAACTATGGACTCAACCGCGCCTGGACTATTGCCTACAGTCGCTCTTCCAACGACGTCGGCCTGGGATTCGATTTAGGATCTGTTGTCATTAAGGTAAGGAGAATAAACGCGGACGCTTCAATAGAAAGAATTGATATTGAATCGCGCCAAATACTAAAAGAATTCATTGTATTGTTCAACACTAGTTGGGACGTGAGGAACCAACTGTGAGCATGGACAGCGGAGGGAAAATCATCTGGGCCAAGCACAGTGATATTCAAACAGCTAATGTGAAGGCCAGCATTGGTGAGTGTGCTGAGTTCCAGAAAGAAAAAGAAAAGTTTTGTCCGCAGAATGATTTGTCTCAATACTGATAATATGTCATTCAAATACCCATGTTTTTTTATTAGGCGACGAAATTAAGGATGGAGATCGTATTCTATGCGCGGCCAAGGATCTCGGAAGCTGCGAAATCTATCCTCAAACATTGCAGCATAGTCCCAATGGTCGATTTGTCGTTGTCTGTGGCGATGGTGAATACATCATCTACACGGCCCTCGCCTGGAGAAACAAGAGCTTCGGACATGCACTGGAATTTGTTTGGGCATTGGATTCGAACGAGTATGCCGTCCGCGAATCAACATCCAAGGTCAAGCTGTTTAAAAACTTCAAGGAGAAGCCTAACCTGATCCGTCTCAACTACTCTGCAGAGGGCATCTTTGGCGGAACGCTACTCGGAGTGAGGAGTGCCAGTTTTCTAAACCTGTACGATTGGGAGACTGGAAATACCGTTCGTCGCATTGACTGCGAGCCCCAGAATGTTTACTGGTCTGAGACAGGAGATTTGATGACAATTGCGTGCAAAGACAGTTTTTACGTTCTGCGCTACAACCGTGAGGCGTATTCTCAATTTGTAGAGGCTGGAGGTCAAGTTGGCGAGGAAGGAGTGGAGGAAGCCCTGGAGTTTGTCATAGAGATTCCGGAGACTGTTCAGACGGGAAGCTGGGTCGGAGACTGCTTCATCTACACCAACACGTCCAACCGACTGAACTATCTGGTCGGTGGTCAGACGCAAACGATCGCACATTTCGACAGCGCTCACTATCTCCTTGGCTACATCCCACGCGACAACCGACTCTACCTTGTGGACAAGGATGTGAATGTGATTAGTTACGCCATCTCATTGTCGGTGATCGAGTACCAGACAGCAGTTCTCCGAGGCGATATGGACACTGCAGCGGTCCTGCTGCCTCGTGTGCCTCACGATCAACACAATAGGATTGCAAGGTTCTTGGAGGCTCAGGAACACAAAGACCTTGCACTCGAGATCTCGACGGATCAGGACCACAAGTTCGATCTGGCGATTCAGCTTGAGAGACTGGATCTTGCTGCTGCGATTGCTAGAGAGGCGGATTCGGAGCCTAAGTGGAAGATGCTCGGCGATTGTGCGATGGATAAGTGGCGCATCAACCTGGCAGAGGAGTGCTTTGTTCATGCGGCGGATTTGAGCGGACTTTTGCTGATTTATACGTCGAGTGGAAATGCCGTGGGAATGAAGCGGTTGGCAGAGATGGCCAAGTCAGCTGGAAAGAGCAATATTGCGTTTGCTTGTTATCTCAGTTTGGGTGAGATCGAAGGTTGCATCGACATCCTGATTGAGACCGAGCGGATCCCAGAAGCGGCTCTGTTGGCCAGGACATATCTTCCAAGGTAAGAAAACAATGTTTGTTTGTGCGCGATTGTTAAGGTGATTATGTGTTCTTGTACTGACTATGTTCTTCTCTGCTGCAACACAGTGCTGTGCCTCGTATTCTCAAGCAGTGGAAAGAGTCGCTTGTGGCAGCTGGCAGGACCAAGACTGCAGAAGCGCTCGCGGACCCAACAGAGTATGAGGACCTGTTTCCGGATTTGCAATACGGTCTTCAGGCTGAGGAAGCCATCAAGGCGGCGAGAGTGGTCCCTGTCCCAGCTAGCTCCTACCCTCAATGGAAGGAGCATCAATACCGCGACATTATCAGTGGTAAGTACACTTCCTCTGTATTTCTTTTCCAACTGTTATCGACCCACTGCTGTTGAAGTTGTCTAACAGGATTGCTCCTTCCTCTGTTGATTGCAAGAATAGATTTCAAGTCTGGACATGGATTAATGGGATTTTCAGCACCAGCAGAGGAGCACATCTTTGTGGAATCTCATGGCAGTAGCAACAGTCCAACGCAGACGCACTCGACAGACCTGTCTTCATCATCGCCTCGCTTTGTGAACGGAAGTGTCAACGGCAGTGTGAATGACGATATCTCTGCACCAAGACCTTATCCATCTCTGGTGGAGGAGCGCTTGGATACCATCAGCGACAACATGAGCTACATGTCGCTGGAGGTCAACACCACCGGGACCGGATCCGTTAGGGTAAGTGCTAGTGATTTTTCAAGGTGGACGAGCGCGGATTCGTTCACTGTTGTCACAAGTGTTAACCGTTTTATTTGGACATGCTGTGTAGGGCGATTTTGACTTTGATGACACATCAAGCTTGGTGACCTCGGACCATGACCGGATTGTGATGCAAGAGATGAATGCGGCCAAGGAAGAGAACGCCTATGAGAGCCTGATTTAAAGAAGCGGACGCAGAGATAGAAAAGCTATGGGTTGTGAGAAACAGAGAAGTAATATACAATATAAGAAAAAAGCCAGTAAGAGATTGTTATTCATCTTGCATTCTCCATTGAAGAAATGAGCCCTAGATGTTTGAGCTCTGATCCTTTGTACGACCAAGAAGGTTTGAATTGCATTTATGAGCTTTCTCTAGGTTGATCCTGAGGGCAGACATTGACCGGGTCAAGGAACGGAGGCAAAGAGAGAGAGACGAAGAAGGCAAAAAAAAAACGCGGGTACACGCGTACACAAACAAACAAACAAACAAAACCTGGTGGAACGATAATGATGCCATTCCCGCGAGCATCCCTAGGATGGATGGAATGATATGGACTGTGAAGGAGAGTGGAAGGCGGGAGGAGAGCCTTTAAGACATCGATGGATAGAGTGAAGGGAAAAGGCACGACGCGCTAATCAATGAGTAGTGACGCATTAATGTATGTCGATTTAGATACAGGTTGAGAAGTAATACTTGTGTCCAGCAGGACAACCGATTCCTTTCAGCGAATCAGGGGAGGCATGTTCAGTTTGGTGGCAATTGTGTGCCTGGACGGGAAAAAAGGGCAAGAAAGACGAATGGATGGACAGAGAGAGATGGGGGGCAAGCAATACGTCATTCTGTCCATGGACATGGGCAAGAAAGAAAGAAAGAAATAAAGAGAGAAAGAAAGAAAGAAAGATTCCCTGTTTCTGCTGCACCTTGAGAGTACTTAGGAGAGTGACAGTTGCTGGCCTGTATTGTAGTTGAGCCCAATGCAATGTGGCTCTCTCCTTCATTCGGGACTATATAGCGAAAAAGATGCTACAGTGCAAAGTCTAATCGTCAGCCAGCTCACAGGCAGCGTAAGTAATCCTACAGCACACCGCACCAGTCTACCCGCGAAGAGAGTAGGCTGCTTGCTGTAGCTCCCATTCGTTCATTCGTTCATTCGTTCATTCGTTCATTCGTTCTCGCCTCATCTCAATTCTCATCCCTCTCATTACCTCTTTTCTCCCTTCTTCTCCTCTCTTTTCTTCTCTTCTCTCTTTCTTTCTTCTCTCAAATTCCCTTCCGTCCCCCCTGGCATTTAATTAATTATTATCCCCTGTCCCCCTCGGCTACATATACCCCTCCTCAAACATATCCCTCAGCCGTTACGATTCTTCGTCTATTCCTCGTCTCATACATTCATAACCTGTAACGTCTTTCTCTTTCCTCCCTTCCTCCCTCCCTCCCCATTCCAATGCCCTGAGTGCGTATATACCTGAGTGATTAAACGATTTTGCTGACCAAGACTTCCTCCCTTCCTCTTCTTTCACCCTTCTCCTCCATACAATCAATATACTTCCAAACTGCTTTCTTCCTCACTTGAAGAAAAGCACCATCGCAATAACTATTCAACATGTCCTGCGACTTGACTGATCCCGCTATCCTCGAGGCCTACAATGAGATTGTCAGTGGCACTCCTACCAACTGGTAACACAAACAAATTCCATTCATTATGTTTTGTTTCCATGGATTCTCCTGGACACCGCTTGGAGCGTCCCTTGCCGCGACATAAAGAAAGACCTCCTTACACCTTAGCTTCCTTCTCTTCTTCCTTCAGGCTAATCCTTGGATACCATGACACAAGGGACAAGATCTCGCTTTACTCCAAGGGTTCAGGCGGACTCGAGGAACTCAAGGCCAACTTGAAGGAAGAAGTCCTTTATGGCTTTGTTCGCATTGAGGACCGATTCGCTCTCCTAGCTTATGTCTCCGAGCAAGTCAGGTACGGTATCCGCAGCGCGTTTTTTTTTTTTTTTTTCTGTTGCTGCCTGGCAGTTTAGTGTAGAAGTTGGGATGCCATCTTTATTCTATTTGATTGCGTTTGAATGTCCGCTGGGTAATTTTCTAACATGAGGTGACCGGAACAATTGTCTGTGCAACGATGATGGAGCGGAAGAGAAGACAGCTGGACAAGGAGGCAAAAAAGCTGCTCTACGAATAATTTGTCTTTCAAACAACAATTGGCTGCTCACATCTGTCCATCTTACTTTTGACGCTATAAACATGCGTTGCGCCATAACTATTACCAACCTGCATCCATGGACAACTGCACCAGTGGTCTTCGTCGCGGTAAGCAACAGCATTCATCGCTTGACAAGATGTGCTTAGCGCACCGCAATTGCTAGCATAACTCTTTTTTTTTGTGCCTCCTTCCCTATCCCTGCTAATGTTATTTTCTTGTAATCTCCCGATGTGACACAAAATTAGCGCGCGCATTGGTCCATGGAAAAGCTGTGGGCGCCCTGTTCAAGAGCAGCCATGTCCAGATCAACTCATCCAGTCTCGCAGAGCTTACCGAGGACAAGGTCCGCGCGCGTCTCGGACTGGTGGATGGACCACTCACACCAGAACCCTTGGGCTCGCCTGAGATTCCCTCCTCTCCAGCACCTGTCCCTGCCCCTCGTCCTACCACGCCTATCTCCCCTGCGACTCCTTCTGCAGTTCAAGAGGTCTCGAGCCCTGTACGTGCAGCGTCGCCTGGCATGTCCACACCTCGCACGGAGCGCCAGCTCGAGATCGAAGCAGCCGAGCGTAAGGCTCGCGAGGAGATGGAGCGTCAGAAACAGTCCGAGATTGCCAAGCGTCAGAGAGAGACACAGGAGCGTGAAGCGCGTGAACAGGAGCTCCAGGCACAGAAGCAAGCCTCGGAGCTGGAGCGTCGTCGCAAGGAGGAATCGGACCGGATTGCACGTGAGGCCATGAAGAAGCAGCTGATCGAGATGGAACGACTCCGTGGGTCGGGTCTCTCGGGATATATCACGATCCAGAGCTCTGGGTCGCCGTACTGGAGACGTCGGTTCTATGTGATGCGAGGACAGATTGTGGCCTTTTACAGGGATGAGAATGATCGACAACCGGTGTCGGAGATGCGGCTAGGTGGACGGGTCACCAACATTGAGGACGCGTCGTTGGACTGCCTGATCCCCAACTCTTTCCGAGTGGATCTGTATATGGGCGAATCACATCTCTTCTTTAGCGACACCTCCAAGGATAAGGAGTTCGCCATTGCTGGGTTCATGAAGTGCAACGAATCTGCTTAAAAAAAAGAAGGGTTTATGATATGTTTATTCACCATTCTTTCCATTCTCCCTACAACTGATATTCTTACCCTGATCATAATACAACAATACCAAGGGAACCTTTCTCCTCCCCTTCCCTCCAGCGAAGATAACAAATCTACTATCACATTTTTCTTGTACGACATCTAGTCTTGCCCATTCTAATAAAAGCAGCCAGCCGAGTGCAATCGATGGTGCGTGAAGTCGAAGTCGATCCGATATCAAATTTTGGTGGCAACCTCCTATTTGAATGCAAAGAATATCATGTTCAATTGGGTCAATCCTGTCTGGCCAAGGCACTGGTGAATGAAAATACAATTCTGCGTTCTAAAGACGGATGTAGGAGGGGGTCTAATTTATTTCTGTTTTCTATCGCACGCCGTACATCGCCTTATCGGCTCTTCCATGCTATGCCATGAAACTCATGATTGGTGATATGTTCGCCCCTTTCCTCCTGTTTTCCCTTTCCTTTAATCCTCATATCCTGATGGGGGGTTGCGAGCGCGGTTGGGCACTAGTTAAGATAAAAAGAAATGGATCCTGTTAGGATTCTAGTCCTGCGTAAGCATTTCAAGAGTACAATGCACTGAGCCTTACAAGGATAAGTGTCAGGGATGCGAGCAGGGCTGATGTAGCCGCTGTTCTTGCGGATAGCAGGGACACCGACAACCAGGACAGGTCCTAGTGATAGAGAATAGCATCATTTTTTTTTTTTTTTAGTATCCAGTCCGCAATGGATCATTAAAGTAAAATAATTTACTGTTGATTTTCGTAGCCCTTACCGATGGCAGCGACAACGAAACTGACAAAGATGTATGGGTTCTTGTTGGCGGATTGTTTCTATTAGGAGCGTTGTTGCAATATGTGGATAGTGTCAAGACGTGAATAAGAGTTTGGTTTCCGATTTCTCTATTTTCTCTATTATCCAGGTTCCGTTTGAACACTGATTCCAATAGAATGCGTTTGCTGAGAAACCGACAGTATCGGGTCCTGATCCTGAGGCATTGTCCTGTTGCTAAAGCCGACCTACAAGATATTGGAAGACCATGGCGCGAAAAGTGGTGTGAGAGGAGAGAAAGGGAATGGGAATGGGGATGGGGATTGGATCAATTCTAATGGGATCGGAATCTCATTCCCTTTCTCTTTCCCCTCCCCTCAAATGACGTCGCCTCCTCTTACGATGATGGGAAATAAAGGGATAGAGCATTTCACTTAGACTGTCCGCCTTTTCAATTATCCTTGTCGTTTTGATCCCATACAGCAACACTTTCTTCTGCCTTTCAGGACCATGGATCCCTCAAGGAAGCGATCAACAGCGGCAGATCTGCCCTTGCTCGTTGCAAAGGCAAAGCGGAAGCGTCCCAACGACAACCAGATCTCATCTAAGGCACGCATCTATTCATCAGTCTTACACAGCTTCGCTTTGATTGGTTCTAAACAGGATGGCGCGTTTGCCTGCTCTTACTCTGTCAGAAAGGTCACTAACCCCACTTCCGTTCTCATTTCTCCCGCTAATATAGATCGAAGCAATTGTCCCCGAGTCGAAACTGTACACGGAGCTACTGGACTTCGAAAAGAAGCTGGATGCTACTATCATGAGGAAACGTCTGGACCTACAGGAGACACTCAACAAACCTGTTAAGGTACATCCGCAGTACTGGGCTATAGGTGCAATTTTTTGACAAAAAGAGACAACGATCGCAACTGTATGGCGCGTCATCGATGCATGAAGGTCTCCGCAACTTACAGTGGAAGCGACTATGTGTCTTTATTGGTACTCCTGTATTTAGATCAAGCGTACACTTCGCATCTTTATCTCAAACCTCTCACACGACCAGGACGCGCCAGAATCCGAGGATGATGAACCGCAGCTGGACAAGGGGCCCACACCTTCATGGACACTCAAGGTCGAAGGACGCCTCGTCGATGTACGTTTACCGTACGCATCAATTGCTCTTTATTCCTTAATATCATCCATCTATGTCTACCCTTTTCAGCTTTATAACACGCCATTTCCATAATCCCCGGGCTTTATAGGAAGCAAACGCATCAGCGTACAAAAACAGACAGACAAGCCGAAAGTTTTCAAGTTTCTTCAGATCAGTGATGATTGAGCTGGATCGCGACTCGAACCTGTTTCCGAACGGCAATTTTGTAGAATGGCATAAATCGCCCAACCAGGCGGATGTCGATGGATTTGAAATCAAGCGACACGGGGATGAGAACGTCAAAGTCCGGGTTATTCTTCATGTCGACAACTCTCCAGAGCGTTTCAAATTGAGCCCCGAGTTGGCGGATGTGCTGGCGATCGATGTGGAGACCCGTCCGGGAATTATGCTGGCGCTGTGGCAGTATATCAAGTTCCATCAGCTGCAGGATCCTGAAGACAAGAGGAATATCAACTGTGACCAGAAGCTTGCAGCAGTAAGTACTACTTTACTGGGAGACCCTAGATGAGAACAGCCTTGCATTTGGGGGACGACTGACATTTTTGTATGGCATTCTTTTCGTGATCTTTATTTTTTAGTTGTTCAACCAGCCAAAGATCTCATTTCCAGCACTCCCAGAGCTGATTGGACGCTTCTTGTCGCCCCCAGATCCTATCGTGCTGGAATATACCGTCCGGATTGACAAGCCCTATCACCTCTCATCATACTGCTACGATCTGGACGTGGAAGTCGACGATCCCCTGTTCAAGAGCAAGATCTCTTCTTTGCTTTCATCCACATCCCTCAATGCGGCTACCAACAGCCTGCCGAAGCAGATTCATGCGCAAGATGAACAAATCATGCAGTACATTCAAAGCATGCACAACTCGAAAACAAAGCGCGACTTTTTACTACGGTTCGCGAACGACCCCGCAGACTTCTTGGATCGATGGGTGGCCTCTCAGAGCAGGGATTTGGAGGTCATCCTGGGCGAGTCGCATGTGAACCTGGAGGAGCAGAGACGGTCAGAGTTCTATAATCAGCAATGGGTCAACGAGGCAGTTTTCCATTACATGACCGCCAAGAACCAGAAGAAGCTGCAGGAACTTTTGAGTGGAAACCCTCAGCCGGTCCCGAGCGCGCCTGCAGTGAACCCTCAGCAGCAGCAACAACAACAACAGCAGCAACCACAGCCAGGCATGATACCGGCAGGAGGACATCCGCCACCACATCCTCAGCAGCAACAGCAGTTCCAGCAGCAAGGCATGGCTCCTGGTCATCCTGGTGGGCGGTTTTAGACGCGCTGCTGTCAAAGTGTGCTGTCTTTCTCAGCTGGCATCTCCCTTTCTTTTCCCCCAATAAACCAAAGTAATATATGACAAATGTGAGGTGTATTATGCAAAATTATCGCTTTTGTATATATATATTTGAAGATGATGGTAGCGAAGGTGGATGTGATTGTGAAATAGACGTCGATGAATGATTGATGGTGAGTGCGCATATGTGCGCATGTATTCTCTAGCTCATTTCCTCGTCTTCGTCATCTTCGTATTCAATTTTGCCGCCTTCAGGCTCTTCTAGCTCTACTTCTGGTCCAATAACCTGAACGATGGTTTCCAACAGTTCCTGGGTATGTTGCAGTAACGGCTCGTCTGTTGACTCTGTTGCATGCCACAACTATGATAAAAAAATAATAATAATAAAGACGAGCAGATTAGATATGCCTCTAATTGTGTTCACATACCACAAGCAGGGATCTCTTTGCCAAGCTTTCGTTTGACTACCTTTACGCATGCGTTTAATGCCTCACGAGCATTCTCCAACTGTTCCCTCCTCTCCTCCTCCGCGTTCTGTACAGACTCATCAATCTCCTCGGCCGCAATATAATTCGCCCATCCAAACAAATATAATGTATCCGGGACCTGATCGTTCTCCTCGATCAATCCGTTCAGGACCGTGAATGCCTCGTCGTACATGGCCGTCTCCAACAACAATTTGACTAGCGCTAGACGAGTCTCGTAGTCTGGTGTGAGACCATCATCCTCTGTCGGATCCGATCCCAACCAAAGAGCGAGTCCCTGTGCGAGTGCAGCCTTGGCCTCGTCCATACGCTGTTGACTGAGACGGACGGAGGCCAGGGTCTGATAGGTCTCTGGAGTAATGGGCTCGATTTGCATGGCTTGTGCGAGGTAGGATTCGCATTGGGACTCTGCGTCTGGCTCGAAGCTGAAGTGAAAAACAGGGGAGGAGAGAGGGGGACAAGAAGCAACGCAGATCAGATTTGATTTCCTTGCGTCTGAAATAAAAAAAATCCCCTTTTCAGCGATCCTAAACTTGTTAACGATTCCAGTCGTTCGTTCCTTCCTCTTTCTTCCTTACCAGCAATCAGTGAGGTAGATATCGGTCATGGAGCAAAGTGCGGACGAGATTTTGCTCGAAAGTACCAGATAATCGCTTCCTTTGGTCAAATCAATTGGCATTTTGGAACGCTCTTCCATCATGAGTTTGACGCCCTGTTGAAAGTACGAGATCGCCTCCAGTTGCTCGGACATTTGACCCAGGTACATGAATTTGGTGTATCCTGTGTTTGGCTGAAGCTTCACGCATTCCAGGAAGTGCTATAGTGGCCGAAAAAAAAGCGCGTGAGAAGGATGTAGGGTGAATGACATTCTACTTGTCTCCTTGCAACAACATTGTTGTTTACCTGCTTGGCCTCGCTGAAGAGTTCCAACTCAACCTCAATCGACCCCGCGGCTTCGAGTGCATTCAGATTCTGGGGCTCCATTTGAAGTGCACGCATGACAAACTGGTGAGCGAGTTCGAACTCGAAACGGTCGACGGCCTGGTTGGCTTGGGTGAGGAGGTCGCTGACAGTGTAGGTTAGTGCTCCAGAGCCACCGGACCGTGTTGTGACCTTTGACCGCTGGAATTTGCCCATACTGTGGATATATCGTGTGTGAGAGAGAAAGAGAGAGAGAGAGAGAGAGAGAAGTCAGAGGGGAGGGGAGGCGGATGGAAGAAAGAACAATGACCGAGGACAAGAGATGCAATTGAATGAACACGGGCTCGTTCCAGGACAAGGGCGACTCAATAAGTAAGCTTTTTTTTTTTTTTTGTAAAGCCGAAATGTGAAAACAACCAAAGCCACCGTTCCTTTGTCGCAGAACTTCAACTCCTCCTGTGTTGTGGAAAGCGGACGCGAATGTTTCGACAACACCGCTTTTGCTGATGAAGAGTATCTTTAATGGTACATTGTTTCGACTATTTTACAAGAAAAATGATTGTGTGGAATTCTGGACGGAAAACGTCCTGTGAGTGCTGCTTCAAATAGTGAACTTCATGCACCTATTGCAAGAAATTGATAAGAATAAAAAGGCATTTCAATAAATACACGAACAATTATTTTCATCCGCAGCATACCCCCACCCCAGAGACGTACCTGGTGTCTTCGTGAGTTTTCAAACACTTGAGATCGCAGTACCGCATTCCGCAACGGCTGCATCGATAAATACCCTTCCATCCGCACACTGAACAAAACTGTCGGGACGGGTACCGACTAGTTCCCATGGCCGCAGTGACATACGTCGGTACCGGACTCTGGCTATTAAATAGTCCTGATTCTTCTAGCAGCTGATTCAGCGGCTTCCGAGGCAGCACAGGTTTTCTATGACCGAGCATTGACGCCGGCGTCCCGCTGTTCATATTGCCATTCATATGTGGAGCATTGTTTCCTGATGCATGACTGCTGGATTGGTTCTTTTTGGATCGACTTCCTGAGAGCGGTCCCGAGGTTTTAGGACTCAATGCGACTGCGCCTGGTCCAACTGTCCCGACAATACCACCGACAATAGATCCTACTGCTGGACTGAGTGGTGGTAGAAGACCCAGGGGATCTAGATTGGTGTGAGTCAAAGAAATGGGGCCCTGTGCAGTGGCGGCAGCGGCGGCAGTGGCGATTATAGCCTCGTATTCGTTTAGAGCTACATAGTTGTCGCGCTCGAGAGAGTCGAGGTGGTGTCTGAGCTGACGCTTCCGTGCTTCACCGTCTAGCACCTTGGGTACTATAGTTCAGAGATGCATTGGGTAAGTATATACTGTAAGAGATCCTGCGGTCGGATCAGTCCAAGTCGATCGATGCAGCGATGGGATGATGCACACACCTGCTTTGGCACCGCGGTCTGGTTTTCTTGACATGAATGCGGGACGTCTTTTTGTTGGTGGTGAGAGGCGTGTAGATCACTTTAAGAAAGCGAGGCATAGGAATGAAAATAAGTTCCCACAGGGCCAGTTGAAACAAATAAGCGCAGCCTATGAGCCTACGGAATGGTGAAAAAGGTGGGCGGTTGCGACCAAGTGGCGGATCCAATCGCCTTGCAGCCTTAAACGTAAGTTCCCCTCTCTCTTTCTCTGCTCCTCATCTTTTCCTCTCACGCTGTCCACCATCAACCTCCACCATGGCTCCATCTCTCATGAAGGTCTTCACCTCAACCTTGTGCACCACTATGCACACGCCGCAATACGAGTTCCTCTCCGGCGCAGAAACCCAGTATTATGGTAAACCACCAAAACTGCTTTTTCCCCTGAAAATCCATTTTCTCTTACGTGTACGTAGCCCAATGCCAGCTCAGCGACTGAAATTGCACCTCCTGCTATAGAGAGTCCCCAGCGTCGCGAAGCGATCCTCCAATATCTCGAATCCCACCCGGAGTCATTCGAGATCACAGAAAAGACCAACGATTATGGCTACGAACCCATCAAACGCGTCCACAGGCAAGACTTTCTAGATTATCTCGAGCACGCGTACGAGGAATGGATCCAGGAAGGCGGTCATCCGAACGGCGTCTTGCCTGCGACAATTCCTCACTACAAAGTTGCGCGTCTTGGAAAACAGAAGACGTCCAATTGTCTCGCGAAATCTGGAGAGTACTGCTTCGACCTCTCCGCTGTGATCACCAAAGGTACGGGCGATGGTCAAATGGTCAAATATGCACGGACAGCTTGTTCCCTCTAACGTATATTATGCATTTGCTTTATAGATACATTCAGGGCAGCTTGGAACGCTGCGCAGGTGACTCTGACAGCGACCGAGGAGCTCGTGCAAGTCGGTGACGAGTTCGAGAAGAGCCTCGCCACTGGAACAGTATCCCGCAGTAATCCTCCTGGACTGTACGCGCTGGTGCGTCCTCCTGGGCACCATGCTCAATCGGACGTCTGCGGGGGTTACTGTTTCATGAACAATGTTGCCATTGCTACACAATGGTTGATCGATCAGCCTGGTTTGAGGGGCAAAGATGGTGGACCTAAGAAAATTGCCATCCTTGATATCGACTTTCACCAGTAAGTCCGCAAAAAGTCATGAGAAATGGGTCTTATAAAGATATTTATAATTGCTTTTTTTCCTGACGCGTGCTATTTGGTTCAATCTTATATATTTATATATTTGTTAGTGGAAATGGCACGCAAGAGATCTTCTACACCACCTCAAACCCCCTCTACACATCACTTCATACTCAGGATGATTACCCATACTTCACCGGATCAGCACTCGAGAAGGGTGAGGGCGAAGGCCTGGGCTTCAACATTAACATTCCCCTACCGCAATCGACCACTGACGACGAGTATCTGGAGACGCTCCAGTCGTTGATTCAGCAACATGTTATACCATACAATGCTGATTACATTATTGTATCCCTTGGAGTCGATACCTACAAGGACGATCCTATCGCCGGATTCTTGGTCACTTCTGAGGTCTACCCGAGAATCGGACGGGCCCTTCGTGAAATTGGATTACCGACATTGTTTGTCCAGGAAGGAGGATACTGCATCGAAAAGCTGGGAGTGAATGTTGGAGGCATCCTTCGCGGCTTCTTGGGTCAGATGTAGTATGGAAAAGGGTCCAATATGGTTTTTGAATGCTACAGAAATAAAGCGCTTTATGTGTATTTATTATAGTCATATGTGCTTCTTCGAGCAACCTAATTGCTGCGCTGCTGCTGCCGAAGAAGGTCCAGTAGCTCCTCATGCTTTTTGTCAGCCTCCTGTTGCAACCGCTTCAGACTAGTCTGAAACTCCTCTTCCATTCTCTCTAAGCGTCGTTCAATATCCTCTGTTCTTTCTGATGTCGCTGTGGCCGCCAATGTCGTAGGCGCTGCCCTATCGAAGAGTTTCACCAGATTTGGTTCCTTATTAGAAGTCGATGACAGCGATGTAGTCGTCATCGTTGTTGTAGGAGTGATAGGAGCGATAGGCACCGGTTTAGAGTTCCCGAAGTATTTATCGTGGTACTTTTGGACCTCTTTAGCCGTTGTCGTGTAGTAAATAACGCTTGGGAACCAGTGATGCGTTCTTCGGAAGCCTACCATGGCGAGAAATAAAGGGGAGGGTATGGTCAGGCAGTAGAAATATGAATGATGGAAACTGGTTTTTCGCCGTTTGTATTTTTCATTCCGTTCTGCTTACCTGGGACATGAAAGGACATGTTCTCGGCTTTCTCCGCATAATGAAACCGGTTCTCATACCATGTGAGGCGCCAGCTGTCGTCACCTGTGTTGAAGGCAACGTTGATCAGGGCAATCAAGACGTTCAGCATTAAAATAACGGTCAGGAAGAAGTAGATGGCCATCATGATGTGGAAGGCCGTGTCGTCCGACGCAAACTTGTCGCTCACAGGATCCAGGCGTCCGCCCATGAAGAAGTAGGTCGCCGACAGCGCTTTTGCAAACGGACGTGGGAAATCGGCCGCTTGGGTGCTGTCGCCTGGCGAAGCGTTGGCCCATAAGAGATGCACGAACGCGTGCGTAAATGCAAAGATAGAGGCCGCAAAGATAATGAAGAAAACCTTAATCTTCTTCACAACACTCAGAATGATGGTGACAATGTTGCACACACTCTTGATCACTCGCAGTTCGAACAGCTATGAGAAACGAATAAAGAGAAGAAAGGGCGATATCCCTGTTAGAATCCAAATGAAAAACGTCAATAGAGAACCACAAGTAGCGCCTCCCTTACCAGATGCAAGTAGATCACCAGGATGGTGAAACTGAATGCCCTGGAGTTACTCGATGCACTCTCTAGCGCATTTTCAGCCAGCTGAATTACACTGGACGCGAGTGGAAGAACGAAGACGCCTATGTCCACGTAGTTATAGGGGGAGGTGATATATTCCATAGGGCTCATCATGAATTGCAGGAACTCGAGCCAGATGAACACGGACGCGACGACAATGATGGCGATAAATGCGCCCTGGAGTTGGTAATCTTTTTGATACACTTGAAACATCGTCGTAATCAGCACTAGGAGGTAATACATGCACTGGAATACGAAGCGGGCGACCCAGTACCACCCCGCAAACGTGTTCCTGTATGGATAGAAATATGCGCGCGTTAAATAGAGAAAATAACAGCCACTTCGTATAGCATTCATAACGCGTCGTGGATTTACCGAGATGATATGGCACACACTTACCATTTGTACTCAAGGAGAGCCGCAATCGCTGGGTTGTCTAAGAACTCGGGCATGAAGGCGTGTGGACGGACATAGCGATATCCTTTCGGCTTGGCCTTCCAGAACAACATGGCTGCCAAAGACTTCCACCAGATCGTCTTATCGCCCATCTTGACCTTTGCTGTCTCTATCGCCCACAGCATATCGAACGTTGCGACATAGACCTCGCCAGTGTACTTGCTCGCATCCATTTCGTCCCAGCTTGTTTTTTGCTGTGATGGAATCAGCCTTTGTGTCTGGAACACAGGCTGTGAGCACTTCTCGATGGGTATCGGTTCTGGGTTGGGGGTCAACAGGCGACGGATCGTGGGCGGAGAGCACACTAGGGAGCGGTTAACCACGTATGTATGAGATTTCTTGCTCGTTGGTACAAAAGCCATCTTTCGCATTGCATCCAAGGCTAAATCGGGTTGCTGTTCCATCATCTCTGGAAGCGCTTCAATCACAGGAGAAAGAAAGCCAATGTCGCGCTCGTGCTTGGCTGTATTGGCACAGTAGTCGATCAAAGTCCTGGCGAGAGCGAGGTAGACCGCACGGGTTCTGGCAGCCTCGAGAACAGACGATATGGGATTAAACCTCTTGCCAATAGGCCCTCTTGGGACCCACGAGCGTTCGGGGGCATTGTATGCCAGAAGGTCCTCAAGAAAGAGACCATACCCGCTCCATTCTTCTGCTGCCTTTGATTCAAGGATCCGTTGGATGACACTATGTGATCGATCGGACGGGTCTGGGTAACTGTTAATGTGCCGAATGGCGTACCGTAACAATGCTTTCCGGTAGCTCTCGTCGGCCTTGCTGTATAGACCAATCATGAATGGAACGCTGTTGATGCAGGCCTCGGCATGAACTGGATCCGAAAGGGTTGCTTCCGAAAGTTCGATCCAGGTACCAGCTATGGCAGCGTTACCAAAGCAACCTTCTCCGTCATTGAAATGAACAGTCTGACCGTGGCAGCAGACGTTCGCTTCCGGCATTCGGTCATACACGAGTGATGTCTCCTCCTCGAGAGGAATTGACTTCATGAGTAGGAGCTCGCAAGCCGAATTCTGCGGGTCGGTCGGCAGCTTCCACAGCTGAAGGTAGAACCCGCCCTCGATGATGAACCGTGTCCTGCATGGGAGAAAATACGCAGCGCTCTGCTCGCCGTATCTACCGTAATGGAAAATTTTTTGAATAACGCGTTCATCCGTGAACGAGTCTGGATCGGTCATTGCCAGGAGCACAGCCTTAGTTGTGAGATCCATCTGTCCTTGCCAAAGTGCTGGCTGATCCAGGTACAGGTTGTCAGAGTCATAAAACTGCAGTCTGAACTGCAGCCCGGAGGGCGAGGTACACTCCTGAGGCCGATCGTTTAGCAGCCGTCGCCCCATTTGACATTCCTCCTCGCAACGGCGCTCGACAGTACTGACGATGCTGGGATTTTTAACTCTGGCGTAGACTACAGATTGTTGCAATGGCTGGACTGTGATCCTAGACCCGTGGGTGAAAATGATTACGTCCGTCATGCTCGTGCGTTGCTTCTCTTCCTCGGTTTTCAGAACCGCTTGAACGACTGCCACGTCGCAATCGTTTGAACTAGGAATGAAGACGTGTCTGTTTGCCTCATTTATGTTTGATGGAGTCGTCAGTATTGCGGGACGCTCATCCAGGTATATCAGGATCTGCCGTCCTTGGTCCACAAATAGGACCTTCTTGACCGCTGAATGAAAGTTCGAGCGCTGCGGTTCCAGTGAAGTCTGCGAGTGTAACATATGAATATACGCATGGGCACCCTCTGTAACAACTGCCATAGCTCCGTCGGGCGAAAAGGCAACGTGACTCTCATCATCCGCCAAGTCTCGTATGAAATCCGAGACGTGTTCTCCGGTCTGCAGATTGAATACCGTAAACACCATGGCTGTCCTCCACGCACATAGCGGGCCTTGTAAACTCTCGACCAGTGTCTTGGCGCTTCTATGCATCATCTCAAGACATTTCTTCGCGTCTGTCTGCTGATATTCCTGACCTCCCTCATTGATTTCGGCAGAGACGGAACCTGGCAACGGAACGGGATCAGGCGGCAACGTCAAGTCTAGACGAAAGAGCCGGGACCATCTCCTCCGCGTGCTGTAGACCGAGACTGCGTAGCCATCACAGGCAACAAAGACCTCCTCTCTTTTATCCTGATTATCCAAGAAATGGAATTTGCCATACCCGGCAAAACCTTGAAGCGCTGGATCAACGCAGGCAGTCGTAGACGAAATCAAGGAGCCCTGGAAAGCGGCCTGGATGGCGTGGTCCTTTTTTTGTCTTTGCTTCTCCTGAAGTGGCTCCAGTGCTGGTACAAAAGTAGTGGAATACTCCAGTAATTGGAATCCGGGAACATCGGGGAAAAGTTTTCTGTCGAGGGTAGCCGATGGGAAAATTGCGATCCTTGAGACGTCGTGAGAAAGTGCAATTTCAAGAGGTGGTGCATTGCCGGCGTTATCTCTTGAGATGGTGAAATCAGCTGTTGCACAAGGAACGCGATGGACCTCGGGGTCGGATGCAAGGGAATTGTTCAGCCTCCAGAGGTCGATATGAGCCTGGGTCTCAGTGAAAGAGAGAGTCGCGACATGAGTACCGTCTCCATTGACTTGGGACGCTGCGATGCGAGCAGGTCTCGGCGCTTCACTAGATGGATTTGTGGGGTCATTATGACAGACGTCGATAGTTTGTAGGCTCTCTGCTGACCCTTTCAAGATAATGATATCTGGAAGGAGTGGCATACAAAGGTGATTATAGATTTTAGATATAGTACTTTGCCCTGAACAGGGGCGTTCTGTCCCTTATCCTTCATGCATCAATCATCACCTTCATGCTGCTTATCTGTGGATTCACAAAGGGCTGGATGGAGTTCGACGTGATGGACCTCCAGGTAGGACTCCTGGATCTGTACCTCGGTCCAGTCTTTGTCCTGTGCATAGCACTGTATGCGCAAGCGTAGCTCCTCAGAAAGGCCATCGATCCAGACTTGCATAGGCGCTCTGACCCGAACGATGCTAGTATTTGCTTCCTCTTGATGCTTCTTGATCGCCTCGATTTCAGTAATAGAGATCTCCATGATGACATTCCTCCGATTACTATACTGGTATCAGAACGCGGTCATCCGACAGGCGTAATGATTAAACAGAGCGTAGAAATAATCAGCCAGGTGCACAATGCGGAAACAAACATGGTGACAGAGAGCAAAAGAAACAGCGCCTTACATCATTCGTGTGATCCTCCGAATCGAAGCAGAGAGACTGGAATATAGTGGTGTCAAAGTGTACAAGAGAGATGGTCCAGATGGCGTAGTAGGCACCGTGCTTCAAGTTGATCGTTTCAACCGATTGTTCAATCTATTTGGGAGAGTGCACAACCACGGGCAAAACCTCGATTGTCGGGTGAGTAGGATGAGCCTTTGCGTGCGTATATTGTATCATCAGGACAAAACAGAAGCATACCCGCGTAAGAGTGTTGGAACCGGCGTGGACTTTCAATGGCGTCGTTGATCTGATCGGTGAAAATGAATACATTGATAGTCGATTAGAACTTTAACTCATATCATCAATACACGTTAGCAATGCATTCAAGGCGAACATGTCTACTTCGCTTACCCTTCATCTGCGTTACCATGAGTAATGCATATCACATCTCCGTGTAATAACCCCATTAAATCCTCGGAGAAAAATCCTCGCAGGACTGAATTGAGAGAAGAGCAATGGTGGCAAATTCCGGGGCGTCTTTTGTTAACAGAAGAACATACCAAGACAAGTTTAGTATTACCGAATAAAAGGGTATGAGTACATACCGGCACAGGCGCTCGTCGCGGTTGCCGGACCGACACATGGTATCGTCGAGCCTTCGTCAGCTGGGAACTTTTGGATGGGCTGGTTCTCCGGCATCGTGGGGGCACACTCGAATACGTTCTGTTCTTCCAACGTCTTTAAAAAAATGCGCGAATAGTACAGAGGATCAAAAGTTGAAATAAGTATGTCGAGGTGGAAAAAAGGTGCGACATGAAAAGAAAAGTTGAAGCTTTTATGTCTGATGAGTCAAGGCGGCAGCAAGCTCATAAGATACCGCAGTCTTTTTTTTTGTTTCCTGCCTTTAGCTGTGGGTTCTAGACCGCAAAATCTTGTGTAACATGAACCTTGTATGGATCGTTCCTCGGAGGCGCTGTACGACGCGCCTAGACCACATCCTGCAGTCTGCCCTTGGATGGACCCATTTTCGGCGCACATCCACAGGATGGAAAAGAACCTAAAATTTTAATATGTAATCATGGTAAAACCCGCCACGATTACGGTGGAGAATTATTGGTTCAGGGCACTTTATCGATCTCATCACCTCTACCATTTCAACCTTCTCCATGGAGGACTTCCCTCACGCCTTTTATATCGGCCCTCCCCAGCTGAACTCCCAGATAACTAGTCTATCATCCCTTCGTGTCAGATTACTTTGGAGCGGAATATCATTTTAGAGAGGACGACTTTGCTTGCCAATACTCACTATTGAAGCATTACAGATCTGGAATGTAACGGCATGAATCAAGGCACAAACTGCCCTTCTATTTGTATCAAGGGTGTGGGAAGCGGCAGCATAAAAAACTTTTAAAAATTCGGATCACCAGTGTTCCGGCCGGAAACAGGAGACGTCCAAATTAGGAAGACCTTTTTAGTTACTGCACAAGGTGCCTAAGGTAGGCTCGAATCTAGGCTCGTAACCAGCCTAAGGACGCCATCACGTGCAGGCAGCAGGCAAGCCCGTTACCATAAATGGAAACTCTGCACAATCTTTCTCTCTCAGGCTGGGATAGAACTCGAGTTATTAGCAGGGACCGGAAGAAAAAAAAAAAGCATGCTATCGACTCACACATTTCGTTCCTCTCTCAGCTCTTCTCTCCTTTCTTCATACTCCCACCTTTCCGCCTTTGCATCTCCGACTGACAGTGTCTTATTTCAGATTCCATGGCGGCGCACCGCAAGAGGCAGCTTCCCGAAGACACCGTTCAAATCTGTCAGGCAGCTTCAGGGCATGCACGCCTACTTTTTTTTTATTTATTTCAGTGCGGCAGATAATTTGCATGCAAAAGAACCACTTCACAGCCTATTTTCGACTTTGAAAAAATTGCTCTCCTTTATTTTTTCTGGTCCCTGCTAATAACTCAAGTTCTATCCCAGCCTGAGAGAGAAAGATTGTGCAGAGTTTCCATTTATGGTAACGGACTTGTCTGCGTCCTCAGGCTGGGAACGAGCCTAAAGGTGCCTATTAAAATTTTTAGGCAAGGGCAGATTGTACGCTGGCGAAAAAGTATCCCCACATCACACGCGTACAAAGGCAGACGACCGTCGATCTCTAATGTTGATTCTCATCAACGCATTATCCACTGAGCCCAATGTACCCTCCACTCCTGAAAGCTTTCAGATGATGCTGTCATTAGGGTTTTCCGAGATTATCTCGAGTTTCTGAACATGGCGCAGCGCAGGCACTGGGGATGCTTTATGTGTTTACAACATTGCATGAACTGTTGGAAATTATAAAATGCGATTTAAGAACAACTTTATTACATAAAGGAAGGTTCGTCTTGACGAAAGAGGGAGAGAAAGAACACACCCTTATCTGAAGCCTCTAATGATATCTCCTGCCCTTAATATCGTCGCGCCAAGACTTCTCTAGCATCCAACTGGATCTGAGTACAATGTTCTACCGCAATGTTCTTGTTGCGAGTGGTGAAGAGAAATAAAGCTGTATAAATTGTACAATGCACTGAGGGCGAAAAAAAGAAGCGAAAGGTTGAATAGTTGGCGGTGATGCTGTTGGCGGTGAGGTAAAACTCTTAGTACTGCTTGGAGGGGAGCTGGGTCAACAAGAGGCCGAAGCGTTTTTTGAGGGTGACACGGTGACGGGAGTACTTGTCATCAGGCGAGAAGCGAGCAGGGTGAGCGGACTTTGTGACCTTGCCAGCTGAAGTGAGTTTCTATAGGAGACATCGATCAGAATAGAGCCATGCGTTAGACGACTCGCTTTGCCGATCAATTTGTTCAACGTGGTGCTTGCTCCCTTTGGCTGTGAGGAAGTGAGTAATTGAATACCTTAAGCGTGTAGATACGCTTGCCCTCGGGCGACAGGGAGTACATAAGATGCATCTAAAGATACGTAGGTACGTAGATTTGTCGATAACTAGTTAGGATGGGTTGCTTCTTAGTTCGTATGATCCACTCTATCTGCAAAGTTCCCGTAGTCTGAATAGACTGTGCTTAGTCGAGAATGAAAATTCCTGTCCATGATATGGTATCTTAAAGATCACTGATCGGTAGACGAATGTCATTGCCTTCAATGTATCCATGAAGATACCAAGAGACGTTTGCATATAAGACCATCCTAGTCCCATTCCTGCAGTTCAATCAGTTTTGCTGTTCCGAACTTTAGACCGGTCGCGAATTCATGGCTGCGGTCGAAAAAGCAAAGGTGTATTCTGGTCCTCGACTGAAGTGTCTCAGCTAGATGTCCTTGACAGAAGCTTCAAGCATACCTTGAATGAGGAATGGGCGAGTGAGGTGGACAGTGTGCGTGGGTAATGATGGATAAAAAGTTTTGTTTATAGCAGACTGGCCAACATTTATCTGTGGCTTAATAGTATAGGGCTATTTGTTTTCGCTTTGATTTCAGTACGTGTGATATCGTGCAAAATGTGACTACCGAAAAAAAAAAAAAAAAAAGAAAACATGCTAGCAGTCCTATACCTTGTAATTTGCAATATTTCCCTGCTAGTTGAAGTTCAACAAGGCCCACATTACCACTGCTACTACTCAACGGCCCGTTTCCATCCCAACCATTCACACCACAATCTACTCACAACATGGGTATATTCTTTTGGCAAGAATGAACATCGAATATCACTATCATCACCGTACAGCTCCGTTTACTCACCGTGTTTATCACTCTACTTGCACGACTGCTTAGGCAAGACCAAGAAATCGTTGGCAGAACAGCTTGCCGAGCTGTCGACCACTGCTCCAAAGGGTATGCAGCTGAACTAAAGCGCAGAAGAGAAAGAACATTGGGTGAATGCATTTAAATGAACAATCTGGCATCTTATTCATTAATTTAACACTGCGCCATAGACTACGATCCTGAGGATATAGGTGGCGATTCCCTCAATAGCAAATTTAATGATGATAGCGATATGGGGAGCGATGGAGATGGCGACGATAAGGTGCACACTGGTCGCGAGCACTATGTTTCAGTTGGGTAAGAACATGATCGATTGTGTAGCTCGGAACATAATCCAGAGTACATATCGTGAACGAAGCTAACAATGTTCAACTTTCGCGCATGAATAGGAAGAGTCAATTAAGGAGCAAGATATTTTTAATGGACGACCCTAAATACAAAGGAAAGAAGAGCTCTAGGAGAGAAGCCCTTGAAATGAACGGCCACGACGACGAGGATCAGAACGAGGATGAGGATGGTAAAGAAGATAACGAAGAAGAGGATGACGATGAAGAGGATGACGATGAGGATGAAGAAATGGCTTCGGACGATCTGGATGATGGAGAGGACCTCATGACTGGCTTTGATCGGGACGGAAGCGACCATGATGATGATATCGAGGGCGAGTATCAGGAGGAAAATGACTCTGAAGCGGTGGACGATGAGAGCGACGAAGACGACGAAGGTGGTTATGGCGATCTTACAAGGTCTGATATCACAGAGACAACTCAGGAAATGCAGGAAGAGCTTCAAAAAATCCAGCAGGAGGAAAAGGAGTTGCTCAATAGCATGACCAAGAGCGTTTCGGACGACGTCGAGAAGGGAATTCATGTCAAGGCGCAGATGGTAAACGAAATTCATGAGTGCAGCGCTGAATGGAACGGTTATGTGTTTCATATGCAGATCACTGACGATTTTTGGTATCACGAATTGCAACTTTCTATGATATAGTCGCTCTGGGAGACCCTTCTGGACACTCGTATCCGTCTTCAAAAGTCCGTCTCGTTGATCAATACATTTCCTCAGCCTTCAATCTACGACGAATTCTTAACCGACGAATCAGCAGAACCACTGGAGGAAGCAAAGCACAACCTGCGTTCATTTATCGACACATTAATCACTGTCCGCACGAGTTTGCTCCGCAACATCCCTGATGTTAAAATCCCCAAATCCAACAAGCGTCAACTTTCAGATCTTCAGGATGATGAGGCACGGAATCTGGATGACGACGCATGGCAGTCCAAGGCATGGAAGGATATGGAGGCATTGGAGGATGGATGGAGATCGTACCGCAACAACACCCTGGAGAAGTGGAGCAACAAGGTCCAGATCGCCAGTGGTATCCCGCTCAATAAGAAATTCAAGGCCATGAACCAGGTATGGCCGCGATGATTTTTACCTTTCGCTAAGGTCGACGATCTTGGTACTTTCGAAGCTAAGTGATTTCATTGCTCATTTTTGAATTATTATAGGGAATCATGACGCAAATCTCCCAGACAATGGCAGACAAGGAGCGCCTGGTGAAGAGGACGCAGTTGAAGCGCTCAGAGTATCACATTTTGGGAGCCGCACCTGAGGCGGAGGAGCACGATAAGAACGACACAGCAGAAAAGACGCCGGAGGTCAGCAAACTGGATGCCCATTTGTCAAACCACGACCAGGAGATATTTGATGATACGGATTTTTATCAGCAACTGCTGAGGGAACTGATTGAGTCTCGGATGGTTGATAACGATGACCCCACGGCCATGGGTATGCGCTGGGCAGCCCTTCGACAGACAAAACAAACCAAGAAGCAGGTGGATACAAAGGGAAGCAAGGGTCGCCGTTTAAGGTACGAATTCTCGTGTTGAGAACCCGAATAAGTGCTTATATCCTAAAAACAGGTACTGAAATTTTGAATTCCTGCATACTAGATACCATGTCCATGAAAAGTTGCAGAGTTTCATGGTACCCATCCCTGCAGGAACCTGGCACGGTGAGATGGTCGAGGAGCTTTTCTCGTCGTTGCTAGGTCGGAAAGCTGGCAACTTGAACGACGACGATGACGAGAATGACGAGGATGCACACGCGGAGCAAGAGCAGGAAGATGTAGTGGACGATGGACTCCGTATCTTTGGCTAAATCCGCCCGACGATCACTGTCCTCTCTCCATTGCATTTTCAACCATTTAGGGCATTTTCATTTGCATATTACGATCATAGATAATGTAAAACGTTTTGTTTCGTAATGGATTTTGTCCACATGCTAGAAGATGAGAGCTAGATGGGAAGTGACTAGCAAGAGCAGTTTTAAGTGCGCTCTCCACGAAGTCTGCGGGCCAAGTGGATGTCCTTGGGCTGGATGGTGACACGCTTAGCGTGGATGGCAGCCAAGTTGGTGTCTTCGAAGAGAGAGACGAGGTAAGCCTCAGAAGCCTCTTGAAGGGCACCGATAGCCGAAGATTGAAAGCGAAGATCAGTCTTAAAGTCTTGGGCGATCTCACGGACGAGACGCTGGAAGGGCAGCTTGCGGATCAAAAGCTCAGTGGATTTCTGGTAACGACGGATTTCACGCAGGGCTACAGTTCCGGGGCGGTAGCGGTGAGGCTTCTTGACACCTCCAGTGGCGGGGGCGGACTTACGGGCAGCCTTGGTGGCGAGCTGCTTGCGAGGGGCCTTGCCTCCAGTCGACTTGCGTGCGGTTTGCTTTGTACGGGCCATGCTACTGTGTTTTTGTTTTTTAATTTCGTGGTGGAATGAGAAAAGAGGAGGAAGGATGTGAACAGGGATTTGTGGATGAGGAACAAGGACATCCAAAAATAAACAAACAATATGCGCGCGTCAAAACTTTTTTATTTCGCGACGGCTTTATTTTTAAACGCGTTTTTTTTTTTTTTTTTTTTGAGTGGGACAAGCTTTCTCAAAGACTGTGGCATGGAAGGACCATAGGCTATGATTTGCCAGGACGCTGGAAGCACATCTACTACTTCGCCGTCTGCTTACATAGAGACCTTGTCTGAGGAATTGACGGGACTCATCGTCACCTCACAGCTCGTCTACGTAAATGCCTAGTGAGATGGCAAATTCATCAAACTACCTGACTTCAGCGCAGGTCCAGCCTTTGCGATTGCATCCACTAGCGATAAGTTGTGAAGACAGATGATATCGAGCTTTCTCCACAAGGAAAAGTTAAGATGTTTAGATTGTTTCGGAATGAAGGCTGAGAAACATCAATTAGAGACATATGAACATTTACCTTGCCATCCGCAGTATCCGCGTTGGGTGCATGTTTCCACCAAGGTAACATCCATTGGTCACAGCCCTGATGTGCTCTCCTTCGCCTCCTCAGGTCCAGCGGCACTATCTGTCAGTGTGTATTTCACACGCGGTGCCTTGTAGATCGATATAATATTTCAACAAAATGGTGGCGCTTGTGACCGCCTCAGTCCTTTCAGTCGGGAGCAAAATAACAGGAGTTGCGCGAAACGCCACCAACCTCTTCACTGACTCCGTCCTCTCACAATGTCCATCATGGAGACAGAGTCAGCAAGCATTGAGCGCCGCAAGGCTGCATTCGACAATCTCGGATCACTACAGCGAAACTTTTTGGTGGACTCGCGCGAGTACAAGCTGCAGTATGCACATCTATATTTTACGCGCCTTGTGTTGATGCGACCCAAGGTGCTCAAGCAAGCAAAGCTGAAGTGGGGTATGAGAACAGGCCTTATATGACATCCACTTAGTGATATCGAATTAGCTTTATTAACGATGTTTTAATACTGCATCTTCGTGTTGTTAGGATCGCTGGATTCGACGCCGAAGCATGTGGAAAAGGTGCTGGACGTGCAACCGGGGGAGATCTCGTACCTGATCGGTACCGTCTACATGGATATGAAGCTGAAGCCCAATATCTTAAATGATATCACCAAGGATGTATGTGCTATGGGTCAGACTGCTACGGAATTTTCTAGATAACCCGACAATGGAAACTGACACTGCCCGCTTGGACATTTCTAGCACTGGATTACAGCGCAGCCCGACAGACCGAAGTACACTGACGACGACGACTCCGTATATCTGGAAGATGAATCTGGTCGTGTCAAACTTACTGGCGCCAAGATTACGAGCGTCATTTTCGTCACAGGTAAGGAGTACATAGTTATAAGTGATCATAAGCTTCTGGTTGTGCAATCAGCCTCTAATGCGTGTATGTTACCTCCTAGGTGTCGTTATGGGCGTTCTTGGAAGCGAGGACATCAACGGAGACTTCAAGGTGGTGGATGTGTGCTATGCAGTACAACCTCCACAGCAGCCACTCAGCCTAATGGAAACAGGTACGAGCCACTGATCATCCTTCTCTACTAAGATTGGGTCCGACAAACAACTAATAAACCCCAATCTTTCGATTTATTCACTTTTCTCAAATAGATGAGGCAGACAAATATGTGGCCCTCATATCAGGGCTGCGGATTGGCGGTGATAGCTTTAAACCGCTAGAAATGGATCTTCTTGCAGAGTACTTGACTGGAGAGATCGGCGGGCTTGAAGTAATAATCTATGTCCTGCTTACCTTGATCTCTTCACGCAGCGGTGTGACTATGTCTACAACTTACACCCCGAACTGATTTTCTCGTCAACACCACTACAGGAGCAAGCAGAAGGCGCCAACCTTGTGCGGGTCATTATCGCCGGGAACTCGATCGTCACCCCGGAAATTGTTGAGGATGACACAAAAACGGTTTGTAAAATCAATCTAGCTGAGGTTCATATGTAACAATTCCGCCGTAAGATAGATACACTAACATTAGTTTGTTTCTAATAGAAAAAGTACGGATACGATAGATCAACATTTGTTGCAGAATCTACAGCAATCCTGGATCGTTTTCTTCAGGATGTGTGTTCCAGCGTACATGTTGATATCATGCCCGGTGACAGAGACCCATCTAGTATTTCGATGCCACAACAACCCATTCATCCAGCATTACTCCAGTCCGCACGCGAATATTCAACATTCCAGAGTGTGACGAACCCTTACTGGAGCAGCGTTGATAATGTCACTATGCTGGGCACTTCGGGGCAAACCATTGACGACATTTACAAGTATATCAAGTCTGAGGATCGACTGGAAATGGCCAAAAAAACCTTGAGTTGGGGACATGTCGCGCCGACAACACCGGATACACTGTGTAAGCTACGACTCATGACGCCCCTATTGAGGATTTTCATGGTACAAGTCAATGGTTTAACAGTATATCTCGTATTTAAATACATGCAGGGTGCTATCCGTTCGGCGATAAGGATCCGTTTATTATGGAACAGGTTCCGCACGTCTACTTTGTCGGGAACCAGGACAAATTTGCAACGGAACTGGTCATTGGTAAGTTGATTCGCCACTTATCAGTCGTTGCTGCTCACATGCATTCTAGTATCTTAATTAAATGATGATATCCATTTACACGCAACAGGCATGGAAGGGCAGCGAACTCGGGTTGTTATGTTGCCACCATTTGCATCCACGGGGACGATAGCTATGGTCAACCTGAGGACATTGGAATGCCGCAGTGTTTCGTTCTCCACTGGTTCCAAGAAATGAACAATGGGGCCTGGCGGGATAGTGCCGCATTCATTGAGTTAAATAAGAAAAATACTCAAAGTTTTAAACATATCAATGCCGAATTTATTGTAATGATGAATATGAATGTCTATGCGAATATTTACTTCATGGTAACCAGCTTGACCTCAAAGACCAAGGTAGCATTGCGAGGAATGTCTGGGGGGGCACCCTGGGAACCATAAGCAAGGGCAGGGGGAATAGTCAAGCGACGCTCTCCGCCCAGTTGCATGCCTTGAATACCGAGATCCCATCCCTTAATGACCTCGCCGCGGCCCAGGTTAAAGTTGAAAGGCTTTCCGCTGGTGTTCTTGTCGAAAACCTTGCCGTTAGTGAGCTGACCGATGTAGCGCATACCAATCTTCTTGCCAGACTTGGCGCCAGGTCCAGTGCCGAGCTTGACATCTTCAATGATCATACCGTTGGCGAGAACCTTCTTGTTGTCCTTCTTGGGCTCCTCCTTCTTGTTGTCCTTCTTGGGCTCCTCCTTCTTAGGGGTCTCCTTCTTAGGGGCCTCTTTCTTGGGGACTTCCTTTTTAGGGACTTCCTTCTTAGACTCCTCCTTCTTGCCAGCCTGCTCCTTGGACTCCTTCTTGGCAAGCTGCTCCTTGGCGGCCTTCACGGGAACGGCCTTTTCCTCAGAAACCTTCAGTTTCTTCTCAGGGACAGCCTGCTTCTTAGCGGGCTCCTCGAACTTGGCGACACGTTTGGCACCCTTAGTGACAATAACGCTGTCATCCTGCTCCTCATCCTCTTCCTCGTCGTCCTCCTCCTCATCTTCATCATCGTCCTCGTCCTCATCGTCATCCATGTCGTCATCGCCCTCATCGCCGTACAGACCTTCTTCGTCACTGTCAAAGTCCATCCCTTCGTCTTCAGGGAGGTAGTTTCCAGACAGGTGAACAGTGCTAGGCATAGACATGATTCGATTAAACTTAAGATCAATTGCAATACTCACAAACAGCCAATGCGAATCCGGGCCTCAATCTAATATGACTTACTTCTCGCCAGACACGGAGAAAGTGATGGACTCGCCCTCAGTGAAGACCAAGTCCAAGGTCTGCTGTTCGGTCTTTCCAGCAGTCAGTGAGCAGAGAACAAAGGTTTTCTTATCGACGGTGACGCGAACGGAAGAGCGACCGGGCTTGGTGTTTTCGTCCAAAGCAGCCTATAGCGAGATATCGACAATCATACATTGGCGATCGGTTGAGTGAGCTTCAGGCGTTCTGCGGTCCCAATTCCAATATAGAATATGATTTCGATGTAAACTATAAGAGAATGCCTATCAACTTACCATCGACAACTTGAAAGAGTTCTCGACGACCTGAGTGTAGGTCTTTTCAGGCAAAACGGTCAAACCTATGTGAACAAATAGATACAAGTTAGTTGATATATACATTATAGAGAGACCATAACGGTTTTCACCGTGTCTGTGGAATATAACATTCGTGTGCAAGATGCTTACCCCAGAATCCGAGCATGGTGTGTAAAGAGAAGGTAGGGAAGGAAGATGTCGATGGTTGTTTGGTGTACAATTGCGCCAGCTGTTTTCTTTTTTTTTTTTTGAGGTCTGAGCAAAGCCACTTTCAAAACAATCAAATCTTTTAAATGGTCTTCTTGCACCATCACCCACTCACTTAATCCACTTCATCGCCTTCCATCATGTCGATCTGCCCACTTTGCACCGGCCCTGTGGCCAAATTTATCCTCTCCTTTAACGTCGAGTTTGAAATGTGCAGCAACATGGATGTAAGTCGCCTCTGATATGGTCTTAGCGTTGTTTTGCCTGGCTTGATACTCCTGTTATCTAACTGCTCTCTCTTTTGGTGGCACGGTAAATAGTGCGTATATCCATTCCAAGACGACAAGATATGTGAAGCCTCGCTTGTCGACAAGCGCCCTTTGAAACGGAAACCTCTTTCCTCGGGGACAGAGTCCATGAAGCAAAGTGTCTCCAAAAAACTCAAAGCTGTTGGTCCCACACCAGGGACGAAGGCACTTGACGGGCTTGTACCAGAAAAGGGCGCCATCACAGACCTAGCTGCACGAGTTTCGACCAGGGCAACATTGATTGAGGCGTTGCCTGCGTTAACTTCTATCTCATCTTCAACAAATCCTACTGTATCAACATCATTTGCGACAGATGCAACGACTTCAGCATCATCCGTTATCCCAGGTGTATCATCAATCCCTGTGGTCGTTGCAACGACGTCTACCGGCATTATGAAACCTTTGGCCTCGACAATTTCGCCTACTAGCATGTCTTCGATCCCTTCTTCACCAGCAGAAGGGGTGCCGGACCTCATTTTCGACATGTTCCCTACAGCATCTTGGACCACACCAGTTACACCGCCAGACAACCTTTTGTCCTCGTCCATTGATATGTCGAAGTCCATCACCTCTGCCATAGACACTTCGGCTGTCAACATCGAGAGTCTACTTTTTGGGGACCAATTCGAAATTGATTTCAGTGGTCTAGAAGGCCTCGTTAACTCTGCAGTGGAATTCGATGCCGATTTCGAGGCCATGCTCCAGCAGCAGCTCTAATGCACACGATGGATCTGCTTCGACCGCCTTTGACCACCTCAAGTGATCAAGGCACCTTGTACATATTTGTACATCCACCGACCGTTTTATACCTACGCGTCAGCGCTTCTTTGCTACCGATGGATCTTTCTTTTCGCCTGTATTTTTGTCATTCCACTGTACTTTTATGCATTCAACCATTTCATCGGCCAGCTTGCTTATTTATTGACCTTTGAACGCTAATTTTTTTCTTTTTCCTTCGCAATATTTGCCTGGCGACTTCTGGAGAATAAACCAGGTGTAGTGAGTGATTCTCTCAGGTAATATTGTCTTCATTTTGGATGGACCACATGTCGCGATCAAGGACAAGAGGGGAAAGTGAAAAGGGAAGACGAGCGCGTCAAGACAAGCCATTTTTGATCGCACGCGCAATCCCTCTGGCAAACATAAGGTAAAGGGCTACAGCTGCGCCTTCTCTTTCTTCTTGCATTCCTTTTATTGCAATGGAGAAGAGTATGCCCACTGTGCAATGTCACAAATACCGCCGTGTTCTTTCCTCAAATGACTTTTGTATTTGGTGGCAAAACATAAAAGAGCATGCTCTGCATGCAAGGAAAGAATAAATAAAGAAGGCTACTCAGAGCGGGGGAAGGGTGCTCGGTTGCCCTCTCATCCTCACTTTGAAATCTTGGCCCACATATATGACGACTTGCACAGTGACCGCATATTTAAAATATAGGTACTGTGACGGTATTTGCACCATTCAGGTCATAAATTTTGCTGACCTCCCCATATGTTTTCCCATAATTGAATAAGAGGGATATATTTTAGAATAGATAAAATAGGGAGGTCGGCCATATCCTTTGACCCCAACTCAAATAGGACCATATTATGCATCCATTCGCACAACACCATGGACCATAACTCTATTTCCACCAATAGACCAAGAGACAACGGAGAAGGGTCTTCCACAAGTGCCTCTTTCTCCTCTTTCTCTGTCAATGGAGTCGACATTGCACATGCTGGTCAAGGTGATGGTATGCTCTGACATTAGCCAGCTGAAACGCAACTCATCACACCGATCGACAATACCAACTTACTATTCCTTCTTCGTATCCACCGGTCGTATATTCATGTATATAGCTGCTGCCACTTCGTGCCAGGCTTTCGAAGACTCAGTAGACACGCCAGACTACGCCTATGCGTATAGCGATGTACTCGAGGGATCGTCTGGCAATATCTATGTAGAGCGCGACGATCCGACGTTTGCTGAACGCGTTGATCAAGAAGACGACACGGACGACGATACGACAGATGAGGATATAGACTACGGCTTAGACGACGTCGATGGCACCAGTGTTGCAATGAGTGACGAAGAGGAGTGTCGGGAACAACTGCTGGATAGGCGTAGCAAGAGAAAGGCGGAACAAGCACCAGGGAAGGCGCGACCTGCTCGCAGGAGGGCAACAATGGAATCCGGCGACCAGACTGCACAGCAACTGTCCACATTCACTTCCAAGGCCTTCGTCCAGCAATACCCCTTTTCTGCCCCCAAGGCCTTCAGCACAATCAGCTCCTCCAAGGCCATTATGGTCAAGCAGCACAGGTTGATTTTTTTGCTTCTCACCCTCAAGTTCGCGTACTGCCTTCTCGATGGACTTGCTGGGAGGTCCTGCCGTGATCGAGTGCTGCTTTTTGTGTTCCCCTCCAATTTGAGCCCGCGTCCTAGCTGCTTTTTGGCTTCTTGGAATGCTTGGTACTCATCCTGCTGTATAGGGGGTCTAACAACGAGCTTTGTAACTTCTACTATTAGTTCTATTTACAACAGGAGACGCCGCGCGATTAGGACTTCGGCGAGGGCGTGCTTCGGTCATTTACTGGTTCGCGGTGCAGGGTCCTCCTTTAGATCGGAATGAATTGACACGAAGGTAAAATAGACTAGACAGAGATAGAAGGAAATAAATATAGGGAGTTGTTTGGCTAAATGGTTCGAGCTAGGACTATGTTCCATTGAGAATGACTGAGGTAGTTACAAGGTATTCACATATATGATGTCCGATGAAGTGAGAAGTCGTGACAATGAAGTCCACCCTCAGGAGTCGTTATATGGCAATGTTCGCTGATTAGACCTCCATTGTACCTTTATAATACCGTTTCACGAGGGTAAGCCGATGACGGATGCTCAATAATGAGACGATCGGAGATCGGGGAAACGTTGCAATTGATAGTGCAAAGGTGGTGAATGATCAGGCTTGGCATTCTCTGTTGATTGTATCTCGTTGCGTGGGTTGCTGACGACGGCAGTCAGTACCTGTCGATGATGCGGTGTTATCCGGACAATCTAGACGAATGCATACAAGATATATATGTGAAGAAGACTCTGGTTCAGGAACCAGACCGTTTATTCTTTTATTCTGGGAGCGGTGCTCTTCCCCGTAATTTAATAGCAAAAGTTCTCATAGGCTTTAGTCCTTTGAAGGTTGACCGCGCTACTTGACTGATTTCCCTATCCTCCATTGCATCCCTAGCGACCTATCTAGATTTGCGCCTACCTGCGTACATTGGAAACAGCGATGATGGCGATGTGGGCGGACATCTGTGTCAGGCCGTGGCAAAGCTACTCGTATATCACTGATCGTGCTTCGTGTCAAGCGACTAGCATCTTTCAGTGTGATGGCTCTTTATCAAAGCCTTTTGTTATTGTGGTAATGCCTTTCTTTATTGTGGAAAGTCTTTTTTATTGCGGAAAGTCTTTTTTATTGTGGGAAAGCAGACATTGCTTCTCGCCTACAAGTATTCTGCCGCACACTCCACAGCTCTCTTCGTTCATAATCCTTTCTCCTCATCGCCCTTTGCCCGGAGTTCACTATCCATATACATCTTCACGCTAGATACTATACGCCTGTAGAAAAGGTAATGTACCCTCCAAGCCTATCCTTCCATATCTTCAGCGTCCTTACGAGAGGGTTTCACTAACACTGCTAAGCTTTCAACCCAACATAGTGATCGCAGCATGGGCATAAGAGGCCTTTACACTACTCTGAAGAAGCGCGGTTTGGATCCAGTTGCCGCGGATCCTCAAGATTACCAGAACCAAGCTGTTGAGGTTGACCTCTTCGGCGCGTTTTATGGATCCCTCGTTCGCCAGATCACGGATGATTACGATCCAAGCAAGGTCCGAGCTGTCGGTCTCACGATGGCAGCGCGTTTGGCGAAGGACTTTACCCCTGCGCAATGTACGATTCACATCGATGGCGCCCCATCCCAACAGAAGCGGAGCGAGCACATCAGGTGAAAGAACAGACTGACAGCGGACCTCAAGAAGTTGCAGGCGAACTTGAAAGTCATGAGCACGAAGTCGTCGAACGGCCAATGGACCTCGAAGAGCGTGGTAACGAAGATCAAGAAGGGCCTCCGCGATGTATACAGATTTGATGCAGCAGCCAAGCAGACACTCCGGGATGCCTTACGAGAAAAGGGGTTTTCTGTCTGCACTTGCAGGACCGAGGCCGACACCTGCATTGCACGCACACTGACCATGGCAGCCGGTAGCTTCGTGGCGTCAGCAGATTCCGATCTGTTGATATATCCGTCGGTCACCAAGGTTTTGCGGCCGATCTTCCACGGCCTGGCCTATGCATTGTATACCAAGGAGAGTGTTACCAATGCACTTCACGTTCCCAGCGCAGACTATGTGACGTTGCTGGGCATCGTGTCCAAACGACTATACCGAGAACATTCCCGGCCTTGGAATAGTTCGCAACCTGGAGATCATCCGCGCTCTGCCCCAGTCGCCCGATATCAGCTATATGTTCGATGCTTACAGATTCATGGCAGCCATCGAAACCCACGAAGTTATCGACCAGAGCCGATTCAAGCCGTCGGAAGACATCTTTTTGGACCTCGAGGAGAAAGTGCTCCAACTGCAGCCAGGAGATGAGGCCGCCGATGAGGACATGCTCGGCTTTGATTTCAACAGTGCAGCACCGCAGTTCCGGCACCTCGAGCTGCAGCGATTTGCCGTCGCTGCATATCAGCATGCGAGTAGAAGGTAATTTAAGTGTGACACCACTTCATTCACACACGCGTTGTACAGATATCAAGTTCTCTAACACCTTTTGCATGGCGATGTATGCGTATATTTACTAGTGCGGTTCCCTTCTACGTTGCGAGGAACTCAAAGCGGAACCAGTTCCGGCCGATCTTTTCAGGCAAGAAATCGATCCTACCACGTCAATCGATTGACTTCTCGACTGCCGTACCTCACGATCGCCCACAGCCAAAAGCAAAGCCCCCCGTCAAGACTCGGAAGGCGGTCCTGAAGAAGTAGAACAAGAAAAAGAGGAAGAAGGAGGCACTGCCGAGAAAATGGAAGGGGTGGGCTCTGCCGACCTATCGAACCCACGACCCACTTCTGCAACTGCAGCGGACCGCCGCCTCCGCAAGCTGCATATAGCCAAGGCACTCACTGTGGGGAGTGTCCAGGCCAACGTAAAGCGAATGGATCAGATCTCGGTTGCAGAAAGCAGGTTCCTTTCAGACAGGCTACGTTCAATGGTTGCGATCCTTAATGCGATCCAGATGCATATGTACGAGGCTATTGCACTGGATATCGCGCGGCTTGTTCGTTCCAAGGACACAGCGACAGATGTGACACAGCGGAAGGAGGATATTGCAGACATTCTCGATAGCAAGGCCTTCTACTTTGCACTCAACACACTCTTGCGCAGTGGTCAAGAAGGACGAGGTTCTCAGGCTGTTCGAGTATCGGTTGCTCCTGCGCGCAGGATGAGCATTCGAAATACGCCGTTGGTCCCTGGCGTCCCGCAACCGCAAGTACAGGCATACCACAACCACAACCACAACCAACAGCCACCCATGCCCGACGTACCTTTGATGCGTACACGACGCTCACCGGCTTTGTCCCCTTTCGCCAACGAGAGCCATAGATGTTCCCTTCGACGGTCTCAAGGCTTGCTGTTGCGGCAGTCTACAATGCAGTGCGAGTCCATTACTATGGC